CAAGTTCGTGGACACAGGCACTTTACCAGCACTTTCGTCGATAAAAGAGGATTCGGAATAGGGGCCTTTGAAGTTCTTAGCAGACGATCTTTTTAAAATTCTTTTAATTTAACACGCTAACATTAATTATAACATTGATTTAATAAAAAAGGTGCCAACACACAGTTGGGCTGGGAAATATAAATTCGTGCACAAATATCAGGGGGGTCGATTCTGTATCTTACAATACAGTGAAAATGCTAAAAGTGAATGACTTTGTCTCTTTCCAAGTTAGGAAGAGACAAAGGCCCGTATTTTGAATCCTTTTTTTATCGATAAAAGCGCCTCTAAAAGTGGCTTGTAGCCAATCAGAAGGCTTATTAGCCACTTTTAGAGGCGCTTTGATTGACAAAAGAGGATTTAGAAAATAGGCCAAAGAGTGTTTTCCAGAAATGTACACAGGCGACACTGTGTAACACAGTGAATCGTTTTATCTTTGTTTGCCAATATTAAACAAGGATAAAATGATTCTCTGTATTACACTGTGTCAATATGTGTCTCTTGCTGGAACGCACCCAAAGCTGTTCACTTTTAGCATTTTCACTACAGTGTAAGATACAGAATTGATCCCCAGGCACAAAAGGTCCAGCTCAACCTGCAACCATACATATATTTTCTATTCACTCAAACTGTTATCACATTGGTCGAAGTCATCTATTGATCAGATCTTTGTTGACATTTGTTTACATCTTTTATTATCCCAAGTTTGCACGAGGCCTCTCGCGCAGACAGTCTTGAACATCTCTGTGTCGTCTCGTCATCCTCACGTCTCAACGTTCTTTCTTTGCAGAGAGCGAGCTGGACCACAAGTTCAAATCGCCGAACCGCTTCCGGCTGTCCTTCAATCTGAGCAAGGTACCTAGCGGCGAGACGGTGCAGGCGGCGGAGCTGAGCTTAACACGCGTCGCGGTGTTGGACAAGAACGCGAACGCGAGCGCGAAGCACAAGCGCGGCCGAGTGCTGGTGTACGACATAATGCGGCCCGGCGTGAAGGGTCGCAGCAAGCCGATATTGCGGCTGATCGACAGCAAGGTGATCGACACCACGGAGAACGCCACGATCAATCTGGACGTGCAGCCAGCCGTGGTGAGGTGGTTCGAGAATCATCAGAACAATCACGGGCTGCTGGTGCACGTGACCGGCACGCACGTCCGCGCGCGGGAGCACGTGCGGCTGAGACGGGCCGTCGACGAGCACAAGGACGCGTGGGTGGTGAGCCGGCCGATGCTCTACACGTATATGAACGACGGCAACTACGAGATGGCATCCGCGGATCGGATAATGGAGCGGCGGGCCAGGCGGGCCGCCCTGCGGAAGAACCGGCGGAAGGACGGCCGCGAGAATTGCCGGCGGCATCCGCTCTACGTCGACTTCGCGGACGTCGGCTGGAACGATTGGATCGTCGCGCCGCCCGGATACGACGCCTTCTACTGCCACGGTGATTGCCCGTTTCCTCTGGCGGACCATCTGAACTCGACGAATCACGCGATCGTGCAGACCCTCGTTTACTCGACCCAACCGAACATGGTGCCGAAGGCGTGTTGCGTGCCGACCGTACTCAGCTCGATATCGATGCTCTATCTTGACGAGGAGAACAAGGTAGTGCTGAAGAACTACCAGGACATGGCGGTCCTCGGGTGCGGCTGCCGCTGAAATACCCGACATGCTAACCAGCATGTTCGGCGGCACGTACCACGGTCCAGTCGCGGAGGGAGAGGACGGGGGGGCCGGTCGTCGAAATCATGAAGTAAGACGGGATAATGGAGATAGTTAATGCGAGTTGTAGATGGTCGGGTAAACGAGTCTGGCTCTCAAATAACACATATGTCTAAAAGATGTCTTTTAGACATGCGTGCTATATAGGTTGATCTACGGTTTTGTGTGTACTCGCCGCCACGTTTACGGATGTATTAGCAAGGATGAACGTACACGAGTACAGCGGTGTGAATTGTTATACTTAAGGAGGAAAAGACAGAATTTATCGTCAAAGAATAGCGCACAATAAATGTAATTTGTTGCTAGACATGACAAACGATAATAGAATAGAGATAAACGCGGATGATGTTATATGCTATTCGGTGATGATGCGAAAGAAACTTTAAACAAATTCGTTGCTGCGTCGAGTTTTTTTTAAATACAATTACTGTATTGCGCAAAGTTGTCGCGTGAATTAAAGATTGCCTTCGATTGAGATCTTTATCGTAAGATCATCGAAACCGAGTATTTTTCTCCGTTTTAAAATTTTGTCCACGATGTCAATTTACTCGTTCTAATATGCGCAAAATGAAAACGTTTTCTCACGCGTTGTAGCGCGGCAACTGCGCGAGTAGTAGCGGGAAGTAGAACGAGAGAAAAATTCTAATTCAGAAGAAGTCGACTTTAAAATGAAGGAAGGAGACTGTGGACGATTCGCTGTATGATATAAAAAAAATATCGCTCGTTCGTTGGATCTTCGATAGATCAGTTAATTTTAAATAGCAGCCTTACAGTAACCTTTGACTTCAGCCGGATGTGACGTGGCTCCCAATCACAGTAGATCCTTTCTTCCTTTCTCAAGTGGAATTCTTTTTCCTGGAGTAGAATCTCTCCGCTCTCAGAGATCGTCGGAGCCGAGTTCTCCCTCCATTCTGAAATCTCTCCTTGATCCTCACTTTCGCTCGAATGGCGTACGACCACGTGGTTTACGTGGCGAAAACGCGCAGTGCAAGAGGAAGAGGAAAATGTCAGTATACAAGAGGGCAGCTGTCTCCTCTACTGTGATTAGCGGAATCGGCTCGATGTGACGATGATCAACTTGACTGCCGCCGATCGAAAAACGCGAGTTAGTTAAGAACGATTGACACAGCTTCTAATCGTCACGTTCACTCGCGAGTTACCACAGAACCGAGTGACAATTGCGATAGTTACCGGGTCATTGTCAGAGTTTATTGAAGACGCAGTGATGAGAATGAGCTACTCGTTTATATAAGCAGGTCCAACTGAGAAAATGACGGTAGGGAAAACTCCTCCATCTGAAAAGGTGACGGCCGAGAAGTGCGATTTCGCGGATTGTCGCGGATGTCCACCAAATACGTCGTTCGGATCTTCGTGATGCGATACGAAGACTTCGAAGGATAACAAAACGAATAATAAACGTGCACGAGTATCCTCGGTATATAGCTCTTGCATTTTTCATTCTTCGTTAGCAGTTCTGCATCTCTTCGTTTCGCGAAATCGTTTTGCGTGAATGAACTTTGCAAGGTCCCCAACGGCACATCGATTGTATTATTCTCTCTGATCAGTTCTGACCACGGAGTATTCGACAATTTACCTAACTGTATCAATATATTATCCACATTGGGGAATAAAATATTGTTTTATAAATTATGAGAGATCATGTATTATTCGTGCGAAGGAAGATTTGCCAATGTAGCGTTTAATTCAGTATTGCGAATAGAATCCGTCGTACGTCTCGTGCATTGATTGTCAGGCGCATCGCCGATGCATGTACAAATGGATTAAGAGAAATACAGAGAATACATTGCGACGTTGAATAAAAGCGTTCTATCATTCGAAGTGCTCTTCTTCAAATAATTGTCTTCTTGAATTGAATTCTAATTCTATTTGCTTTAAACGCGCTCGATGGCATCTTATGCGAATTTAATTCCATCGAACCCTCTCGACTTTGATGTATGAGCTTTCAAAGCGCGACAAAACAATCTATTAATTTTAATATCGCTAACGAGGCAAGAGTCGCGCCGAGTGATAAAAATATGTACAAGCGCGAGATGTGTGAGTTTTTATGTACTTGCGTCATCGCGAACTCGCTTAATGCATCAGACATTTCGATTAGGCTTCGTGAAAATAAGATGAACGATGTGTAGAAATAAGCGCGATACAAGTATGAAGCGATTTTAATGCCGGCAAATATATTGCGCATTATCGCAAAACATCTCCATTGCGAGAGACATTGTAACACTTCAGCAAGTGAGCAATGAAATCACGTGTCGGAAATACACAATTGACCAATGGTAATTTCAGCGATGTAGCAATAGCTCTTCTACACGCGATGAAGTATCAACCACAGGGCAACGTTGACCATTTTTTTGCAAGTAGAAATGGCGTTCGTTGTGCAAACGCGTACGTGAATGCGTATCTCTCCGCAGTCGTTGGATCGCATTAGCGTTTCCGCAATATTGCCATGATGTTTTAAAAAGGACTAAAGGGCAGCGCAAATTAGATGCGTAAATCGGCATGTCCGGTTGCGCGCTAACACGGAGCCACGGAGAGCAATGTTGCGTTCCGTCTTTTCAGACGCGAGTGAGCGCACGTTCACGTAAATCCTGCCGCCGCGAATAGATTGTACCTGCCTAAGGATTACTCTATTTATTTTTTTTTTCTTTCTTTTTGCCAAAAGATTTCGAACACACGTGTATATTTGTACAGAAGTGTTATTGATAAGCGAGCGCCGTTGTAAAATGTGTAAAGTACGTAAGATAAACGAGTCTGTGTAAACATTGTAAATAATACATTGTAAAGTATCGTGCGCATGTATATTCTTTATATATTTTACCATTATTTTCCTAGTTTCTCACGATTGTATACAGAGAGTGCGTGTGTAAATATTAAATAAATTTAATGTGGCAATAACGGGGGCGTGGGCCTGGTATTTTATGCCTCTCCACATTGTGTCGCGGCAGGCATCTTTAGCAGCGAGGACTAGGCGCGTGGTCGAACGATGCGTGCAGAAAATATCCAACTCGCGCGCAACTTGCGTCGTAATTTGAAAAGTTTATTCAATTTGATTTGATTTATCACAGTAATTACAGTTAAAATCGATAAAAACAACAGCAAAAGTCGATCGCATAATAGCCGCTGGTTATTTAAATACTGCATTACGCAACGACTATGTAGTTATACTCTACTTACCGCCTACAAAGTACAATGTTTTAATAAAAAAAGACAATTCTCAATGTGTATCGTTGAATAGGAGCTATCAAGACGTTACTGTAAACATTGTAAAAAGCGGCTTTCATGAGATAGCTGGAACTCTAATTTTATATAAGAGATATCAAATTATATATAGCATTCAGAATTTTAGATTATTCCGATACTTAACGTGTTCCTTTGCGTAAAAAAATATCATTAAATATTACATGCTTTGTACAAGACAATTTCGATTCTTCCTGGCAATGTTGAAGACGACTTGTCAACTCTGATTAAATCCAGGTCCATGAAGTTCTATAAAGCTTTCGAGCGAACGTGGAACGTTACCACGATATGGCAGGTCGTAAGTTTTAATTGCTTTGGCTGCCATACACGTTAAAGACAATTTGGTCTGAGTACGTAATATTATTTTGGCTACGCCTGAAATAGAAATTGAATATCGGCCAAGTGACTCGCATGAAAATGCAACGACGAAATACACAAATTACTAATAAAATTTACAAACTTACCCGTAGTGACCGCGTCGTACGGTGTATGTCCCTTATTATTTACAGTATCCATATGTGCTCCAGCTTCTATAAGATCGATTATAATTGAATGTAAGGTCGCAAAATCGCTGTAAAAAAAATTAAAGGATTACAAAATCCGTGCAGATTTGGTGTAAAGATAATATCGCAGATAATATTAATTTTAGCAACGCACCTAATTGCTTTACCGTAACCGACAATAACGTGGAGCGGTGTATTTCTTTCGTTATCCATTGCGTTTATGTCAGCGCCACAACGGATCAACAATCGCGCTGTAGCCGCGCATGGAAATCTGGAAACCGAGCGAATAATTTGCTTAACGCGATCCTGATTGCCAACGTTCGCTTCAACATTGCACTTTGACATACTTGCACACGTCATTAGTGTGAAAATCGTCGACGGGAGTTTTGGCATTCAGAGCAAGATGCAATAGAGTCTGCCCGTCTTTTAGGCATACCCGTAATGCGCATAATTTATGCACCAGATGATGCGCCTGTGTTAAATCCGCCTCGTCACATCTGTTTCCGTTGAGCGTCATCAGTTTTGTCAGAATCGTTAGAATATAGAGAGTCGTTGTAATATTTGATTCCATCTCTTCCTATGCAGATATTTCTAAATATGTAGAGACACGTTCCGTTTGTTATAACAATATAATGTACAGTCGCATGCATTAATATCCATTACGTCGGCATATTCGTAAAATATACTTTCTGACCTATGTCTCATCAATTCATTTTGCCAACATAAGCGGTTGAACTGTGCCATTAGCTTCCACGCGAGTGGAAAAGTACGTTCCTTAATCACGGGGAAAAAATACTGTTGAGTGCAGGCACAACTAGACACTAACGCATACGGCCGTAGTGTAAAACATGATCCATAGATCAAAGTCCCTTTTATTGAGCTTACAACACATTGATCGATGTCATCCTTGGAATCTGGATTCTGGATTCTAGCCTTGTTCCTATTCAACTCCGTTACGCTTGCCTCCAGAACGTTTAGCACTTGAGAGATATCTAGATCGACGCCCACGTGTATCATTTGCGAGAAGACTTGCGCAAATCGAAGGAGGTCTGGCATAATGGATATATCATTGAGCTGTTGTCTCAGTTTTAAAGCGTGTAACCACAAGTCTATGCATCTGTCGAATCTCGCGTTATCCGCAAATATAGCGCCTCTGAACACTATAGGATGTGGCAGTTCTGGGTTATTGAGACCTGACAAATAAACGGCGTTACTTTTTCCTAAAAAGAGAAGCGCAACAGTCGTACTTTAATGAAAGTATCGAGTACACGTCTACCTAATATCCTCTCCCGAATAGCGAGCGACTCCATATGTATGGCATTGGGGTTGTCTTTGATACTTTCTAATTTTTCTAACGTTTCGCATTCCTTCCAGTTCTCGTACGCTTTCACAGTCGACCCTAATCGCTTATGTACAATATTGTCAGTATCGCTATACCTAAGGTGCGAGAAAAATGATACATGTAATAGAAAAGCGACCGGTAGCGATTTGGTAGAATAGAAACGAACGGCGAGCGCTGTCCCTCCTACCTTAACTCCATCGCCTTATACAGATACGTGTACGCCTTAGTTAGGCAATAATTATCCTTATCGTTAGCGTAAGACCCCCCGAGTAGCTCATAGGCATCTATTTTCTCTTCCTTCGTCACTTCGCTCCTTTGCACCAGATATTCAACAACTTCCGCGCGCGTCCGCTCGGCGGCCGTTATTAAAGGCGTCATGCCGCTCACATTCTTCGTCATTTGCGCCCCGTACTTGAGCAGCTCGCACACGATCGCATTGTGCCCGCATTCGGCGGCAAAATGCAACGCCGTCGCCTCGCAATATGCTTTCTTGTTCGGATCCGCCCCTTTGTCTAATAGAAAATTAACCTGGATCATAGTGCGAAAGAGTTTAGAACAATTTACACAATGGTCGCACGATGGGCACACGTCGGGCAGCAACGTTCCTAAGTATATGCTACAAATCCGCACAAGCATACTCACGATATCCAGGTGTCCCTTGTACGACGCTATCATGAGGCAAGTGTTGTTAAACATGTTGGGAAGAGTTACATCCGCCTGGTGATTGATTAAGTATTTAACAATGTCCAAACGTCCATTGTAACACGCTGCGCGGAGCGGCGTGGAATTGGTCTTTGTTGGATGATTGACGTTCGCTCCCGCCTTCACGAGGGTTTTAAGGACGTTCAAGTGTCCCGCTCCTGGAAAGAATCGACATTAGTGCTGCAAAACTATTAGAACAGTTGTCCTGTTTGAATATTAATGTCTCTTTACCTGCCGCGGCCCAAAGCGCGCTGGCCCCTTCGATAACGTATCCGTTGAATTTCACCGTCCCTTCCTGCTCTAAATCGGGCTTGAACTTGTCCAGCAACATTCTGACCACCTTGTTGTGCCCGTAACGCGCCGCAACTATTAAAGGTGTGCACCTCTGTCCATCGTCTTCCAAGACTTTCTGCAAATGCGAATCCAAGAGCCACTTTACAAACTGTAATTTTGCAGCGGACCAATTCTGTGTCTTGGGCTAATATTACATTTGTCGTACGACAAATTTTTCAAGCGTGTCGTTTGGCTACCGAGTAGAACATTTCTAGGTATACCCGAGAATTTTACTATCTCGCAGCCAATCAACACACTTGAAAAATTTACTGTACGACAAGTGTAATGCCAGCCTTACACTGTGGTGAAAGTGCTAAAAGTGGGTGGATCCGTCTCTTTCCAACTGTCCCCTTAGAAAGAGACAAAGCCGCTCACTTTTATAGCATTTTCACTACGTTGCGAGATACAGAACTGACCCCCTGTTCTTGAATAGTTACGAACGCCTAGTTTTCGGCGGTGTCACAAATGACTATTTAAAGATTGCATACGGTATAGATTTACGTTTGAGAACGCGGCGCTTTATTTACGTAAGGATTTTTGTAAAATTAACGACGGCACGCAGCGACAGTGTCCGTTTTACAAAAGGACACTCTAGAATCTCATGACCTGTATCATTATAAATAACGTCCACACAGTTTCCTTTGTTCACGCGCGTACACATCTCTAAATATAAGTGTTGCAAGTTGTCCTGAATAATTCTTTGCGAGTGCTGCGGCGTCACGCATACGCATATTTGTATTTATATAAGGACAACTTATTTCAAGAATTTTAATTGCCGTCGAGATAATTCGCAATTAGGACTAAACGTATATGAAATACTTATTGCAAATAACAAGAGGTAAGTCCTCTAGCATGAGACAGGGGGTTTTCAACGTCCAAATTCAATCACAAATCTTTTTCCGCGACGATTACACGATCCAACAGTCAATTGTCTACTAAACGGACTTCGCCCCGAGGGGCAGAATTCGTGGTCAGGGTCAAGAATCAACAGACGATGTCTATTAATCCAGCAGAAACTCCCACTATCTCATATTAGGAGCCTATAGGAGACTTTCCTCCATTATCAATCTAAACAATGGTCCAGGTCAATTCTGTATCTTATAGTGAAAATGCTAAAAGTGAGCGGCTTTGTCTGTTTCTAAGGAGACGGCTGAAGAGGGACAAGGCTATTCACTCTTAAGCCTTGTGTCCACGATCCAAGGACTGTGTCCAAGTTCTAGTTCCAAGAAATGCGTAGCCAATCAACCTGCAGCTATTCCATAAAAGCCGCAAGGTGATCGGCTACGCATTTCTTGGAACTAGAACTTGGACACAGTTCTTGGATCGCGGACACAAGGCTTTAGCATTTTCACTATAGTGTGAGATACAGAATTGACGCTCCAGATAATTGTTTTGCCAAATTGGAAATTGCGATGGACCACGAAATCTAGTTGGAAATTAAGTCAGAAACTGTAACATACAGAATACTTTGTTTTAGACAAAGAAATATACACGTTTATCAGAAAAAAAAGCGTGAAACTGGTAAACACTTACTAGTAGACTCATACATATATGTATAATTATTGAAAAATATTCCCTTTTTGAATTATCACTGGCGACAATAAGATTCACTCAATTTTAAGTTCTTAAAATATTCCTTATTCGCTGCAACAATAACATAATTCAAGAACCAAAGTTCTCTCAGTAAATTAAACTCAATTGTTCGAGCCCTTAAATTTTATACACTTGTTGAATGCAATTTCGGTGTGTAACAATTGGCTGTAGAGGACTAAACTTCTTACCTCCTCACTCATTTCATCGAATTCTCGTTACTCTTTTACGCACAACCGAAAGAAAACGACAATTTCTTCAATTATGTCACAGCAAACGAGCAATACGCATAATTTTGAAATTATACTTTAAACACTTCTGCATATTCCTCTTCTTCTAAAAAATTAAAAACCGTGCAAAATAGTCGAGCATTGACGCACGAAAGACAACAAACTACAGGTCCACGTATGGTGTACTTATCGCGACTGCACTTTCTCGCAAACAATAAGCGCAAGACAACGGTCCTGGTGGACTAATCGGGGTCCCGTTTGCGGTTTATCTGAAACGAGCGACCGAAAGCAATGATGAAAGAAACGGAGGCGTGGAAGACGCTTCACCTGGTTGATCAGATGATCAACATCCTCGTCGAGCTGGTCGTTGAGCAGGGTGTAAAGAGCGATCGCCATTCCGTCCCTCGCCGAATAATAAATCCGCTTGATCAGCGACTGCTGGGGCTCGTCGATCATCTCGCACGCGGTGTCCATCCTCGCGCGAGGTGCCGGACGCCTCTCGTCGCCACGCGCGGGTGCGTGCGGATCGTGCTACGACGGGAGAGGAAGTCAGCTGGGGCCGTCCAGAGACGTGGTAACCTCAAAGTTCATACGCCTCGCTCGTCGTCAGCGCGCGGAAAATACATCCCACGCCGTCGTTGTACGCCGTCGTCGCCGTCGCGATCTATTCTGGGATCGCGTTGCGCACAAGAATATAGCGATTTCGGGTGCAAAAATAAACCGCGACAAAGCGGTTTCTGCGCGGCGCCGCGAGCCCCTTTGTCGCTTTCTTGGGGGGGTTTTTCCCCGTGCGGGAACGCCGCCAACCTGAGGGTTATTCGGCGTATTCTGTTCCCCCCCGAGTCTCCTTCGTACTGTCTTCCTCGTGTTCTTTGTCGCTACGACAGCAACGTCAAGCGCTGGCGCGCGATCGCCGAGCCGCGGAGTCTCCGTCCCCGTCCGCGTGCTGCTCGCTCGAAAGCGCAGAGCTCGCCGAACGATTTCATCAGCGATCCGCCCGCGAGCCGACGTTGTTCACGTACGTGTGCCGTGCCCGAGACAATAGAGTTTCCGACCGCCGAATCTGAAATCTGAATCGCCGGATACGTCACGGAACGTCACGCGGACGTAACGCGACGAACTGCGATCTCGTCTCGATCGCTTCACCGCGGGGGAAGCGCTTGGAGGCGCTGATTAGCGTTTCGATACAACCGGACTGACGGGTCAGCCAATCACGACGCGGCGTTCGCCTCGCCAGCGGAAATCGCGGCGGCGACGGCGACGAAACATTCGCCCCGCGAAGATTGCAAATTGCGGGACTTGCGATTTTTCGAACATCCCCAGTGTAGGATGTTCAATAGTCCCATCTTGAATTTAAGATCGCTGTTGCAATATGCTGTTTCAATAGTGAGCCAATTATTGAAAATTTTTGTGTGTGTAAATCTTGTGTATGTTACCCCAGTCAGAAATGATTCGTCGATCGACATCGAAACGACGTCGTATCGACATCAAAACCGTCATATTGACGTCGATTCGACGTCATTTCGACATCGATCTACGAGTAATTTCTGACTGGGACACTACACAAAAATTTTCAATAATTGCCAATGCATGTGCATAAAGAAATTGATTGGCCCACGAGTAAATGCATAAGGAAATAAATCAATCAAATTCCTTCTGCATGCTTATATGAACTTATGCATATAACGAATTTGATTGGTCTATAAGCGAATGCACAAGGAAATGGACCAATCAAATTCGTTATGCATATGCTCATGCACTTATGCAAAAGTGTGTGCTCGTCGCTTTAGGATCAGATTCCTCATGCATACGTTTATACGCTTATATGCAAGATACTGGAGGTTTTCGTCCCTTGACGAAATTTAATACAATTATTATAACAATAATACAATACGAAGGTATAGAAGTTGTTTTACTGTTATTTGTTATGATAGTTCTCGTCGTTGGTGGTGGTACTTCTTGTTGATGACGTTTTAACATCGTTAGTCGTTAGATAACATTGTCGTTAGTTTGCGATGATCTCTCGAACGGAAAGCAACCCTGTTGATATATTTCTAGCATTGGAGAGTAGCAACGGTAAACGTTCAATATAATTAATTCGAACACAAGTATTTTAGATATCTATCGGCACAATATCCCAGTGAGAAATGATTCGTCGATCGACGTCGAAATGATGTCGAATCGACGTCAATTCGACGGTGTCGGTGTCGATGTCGATTCGACGTCGTTTCGACGTCGATCGACGAATCATTTCTCACTGGGATTAATGTTTGTTTAATGAAACTTACTTTATCAAATTAATCTTTAACAAATTTCTCCTTAAATTATACAGATATCGTAATGTATTCTTAAATATATATCATTTTAAAACAATGATAACATATGTATGTACGTACCTTGCTTCATTTAAATGTGTTATAAAATTTGACCTACAACTCCTAAATTGTCGTCTTAATTATTCGAAAACGTAATAATTTTGTAAAGTATCATAAAAATTTAATAAAAAGGTGGTACTAGTCAAAATTCTACATGTGAACTTTTAAAGCTTTTATTATAAATGTTGTCTTGTTATTTGTATTAATATAAATAAGACTGATATTATGCCAAACTTATAATTATGCAATATGAATACTTAAATAAATTAAAATTAATACAATGACATATACATATAAATATCGTATGCACGTACACACATTTCCAATTGAGATATTTATTGCATATCAATTGTATTTAATAGATACAATTATACTATGTGGAGGGTTCAAGTCAAACTTTTGATTACGCAGAATAATAGAACACATTTATAAGAGTGGAAACTACTTTTATTTCCTGTTATAATTTCCTGCTACATTAATGTACTTATCCGAGCCTTTCGCTAGTGCTTGGATACTAAAATGCAAGTACATAGCATAAGTACATTAGCAGGGAATTACATTAAGAAAGAAAGATAGTTTCCATAAATGTGTTGTATTATTTTGCACAATCAAGAGCCCCGATTTTACTTGAACGCCTTTCGTAAATAAAATTGAGTGGGCGAAACTAAAAGCGGAGATATCCCTCCATTACTAACAAGAGTGAACAGCAGTATCTCAAACATTTCATACAGATACAAGATGAGTCTTTATCGAATATGTATATATTGCGATAATTAGAGCGTTGTTATTAGGTGGTACCATGACATACACATCATTGTTTTTCGTAGGTTCGTAAACATAACTTGAATTTATTCTCAAATTGCTCTGATAGCTCGCGTGTACAACCTAATGGACCAAATTGATGAATGCGTACAAAATCGTGGCAGTCGACCACTCCATCTCCGGTGCAATCCTATTTAATTAATACATATTAGACATTACGGCAAAAAAAGTGTTAATCGAAATTTGCGTGTAAGACTTAAAAGAATTACTTACGTGACCGTAAAAGAACATATATTTTTCTACCGTACGAGCAGCACAGTAGGGTTCGTTAACGCAATTGGAATAAGCTATAATAAAAAAAGAAACAATTATTATACACTTTTATTTTTTATAGTATTTTATGGTATTTATCAGTTAGGTCATAAAATACATATTTATTAGCTATTAAAATCAATAATATAGGCACTTTATACAACACATAAACAATTTATATAATTAATAAAATATATAAATAGTATACATATAATCACTGATGTAATTAAAAAATTAACAAAAAGTTAGTCAAATTACAATAAAAATGGAATTATTATTTATTATTTATTAATTAAATTCGATGGGATTCTATTTGTGAAACCCTTTACTTCCATTATTTTTTAAAAATCGAAATTAACATTTAAATTAACATTTAATCTGACACATTCCGATGGAAACATCGAATTTGATATCGTTTCTTCTCTTATAAAAAGCGTCGCTTGACAAAGCAAACTATTTTATTAAATGTAAAATATCAGATACTAAATATTCTTGCAAGAATGTTTCACGAATTTTTTGACTCTACAATTAAATAGTTTTCAAAAGTACGCGTTTTATATACAGTTACGTATCGCTGCTCCGTTTTTGGATAATCAAATGTTGTAACCTTCCCAATATAAATTGATACGTGAATTTAGTCTAGTATTTTAGTAAATACATCTGTGTCCATGTTTTTATATTTGTTTAACAATCCTTTCTACATCTTTCTTTTCTTCGAAGTACAGTACTAACAATAAGCTCCTTTATATCACAAAAAGTATGAAAGCAATACAGCCATAAGGAATAAAACAAAGAAAAAGAAATGGAAGAACAAAGAAATGTAAATTATTTCTATTACTTGAATACCCCAGTGAGCTCGATAACATACTGAAGTAAGTGGTCCTATTGTTCTCGGTATCGTCAAGAGAGAAGCGCTGTTGGGTGAACTTTGTCTCTTTCTTTATTATCTGATTGGTCGACGATCTTCTATCTCACTCATGTGAGGTGAAATAGACCAGTCCAGTATGTTATAGAATTCTCAAAGTATTTTGCATAAAAGAAAACACTGACCGTCGTTATTGACCGGCTCGTCGTTTAGAGTTGGTTTACCAGCATCAGACCAGAAACCCCATGTTATGGCGAAAGGTCCACATACGTCGTGCATACATCCGATAGTGGTGTTACATCCTGAGCTCATTTCGCACATACAACCTATACAATTCTGTGGTACCGTTTGAGCTGTAATAAAAAATATATCAATTAGTGTGAAATCAATTAGTTTGGTTTACAGATTATCTTTAAAATGTACGTATAAATAACTTTTGATATACGTACTTATACATTGATGTACTATACTATTAACATTTAATATGGTGTAGATATTGATTCATAATTTTAATTAATATTTCTTTCTAAAACTTTGTATTGCGGCAAGAGAGGGCAGTTATAACTGACTCATGTAGCTTATTATCGCAAGGTTATTGCAACAAGGAAAAAAAATAATACGAGGAAATTATACGAGGCAATGAAACGCGGACACAAATGATATTCGTATTAAAGTCGATCAAACATGTTTTCTATAGCTGCATTTTATTTTCTTAATTTGGATTTTATCATAAATAGGTTGCAACTATTACGTTGTCATTTTCTTTTAGTAACTATTATTTCTAATCGCCATCGACGATGCATCGTTCGAACATAGCTGAAGAATACAAATCATAACAAGCATCGTAAACCGAGCGCACAGTTATTTTTCTCACGACATCGCTTAGGATATCAGTCAAGTTACATAAAATCACGGTAAAAACATCTGTCATTTAATTTTTTGTGACAAAGAATGTCATCATATAAGACTAGCCAACTAGTTGTAGCAGACTTTTATCAATATGATGCGATTGTGATCCCATAATTTTATCTTACACAATTTCTAATATCTACTACGATATACAGAATACGATTAGAAATAACCCAGATAGCCAACTGACGTTATTTGTCATCATTTTAACATCAAACGTGGGAAAAAATAAAAGAGAGAGATAAGAGCAAGTTAAATTTTTTTTCATATATGTTAAGAAATATTCTTTTATATTATATAATAGATATCATTCTTTCTTTTTAAGGTTTAAAATAATGTTCCTAATATTAGTGCAACAAAATAATAAGGAGAAGGTTACAGAAATGAAATAAAAGAACTCCTGAGATTAGCCGACATATCACACACAACAGTCAAAGGCGCACAAAAACACTTTTAAAGAATTCCACATGCAAAACTGCTATTAATGATACGCAGCTGATAAAACTTCTTGGAAGCGATAGCCGGATATAAACGGTTGTTCTGTTTCCCATTTCGATCGAAGATTAATGCCAAATTTCACTTTGTGCAGAAAGTAAGTTTAATAAAATATTACTTAATATTTTTAAAGTGCATTATACAAAAAAATATTTAAAAATTGTAGAAAACTGGTAATTAGTATGCATTAAATTTTATGCTGAAATTAGAATAGATTTGGTTATTGTTAAATGTCTTCAAACTTGCATTTCAGAATTTGTAGCTAAAATTTTCTGAATCAAATGAAATTATTGAATGTACATTTAATTCCAAACCGGTTCTAATAAGCTGTATTTGAAAATTAGAGATTTCAGATAATATTTTATATTTTCATATTCGTTGAAAATATTTCAGGCTAAAATATTCCATTTGTAATGTACTTCAGTTTCTGACGAGTTCTTAATCAATATTTTTTCAGATTGTTAATTTCTCCCAATTTATAGTTTCCAAGCGAACATTTCACATTTGTAATATGCGCATTTCTTTGAAATTCCTAACCATTTCATTGCTATAGTATAGTTGTAATATTAAAACCTGAATTTTCATGCGTTAAAAAAAATTCGCGTTATAATTCGTATTATAAATTGTTTTCTATTAGAGAATGAGAAAAAAAAACGTTGATAGCTCACCGGAAGTATAAACACAAAATAGCGCGATTATTGTCACAGCAACCCATGGAACTTTCGCAAACATCTCGAAGACGTAATGTTGCTGATCCGTACGAAGCAACGTCTATTAGCGCACTGTATTTGTCGACTGGTGCGAGATGATCCGTGCTTTGCAACGCTTCTCGACGATCGCTTTCTTATATACGGCGATAGCAATGCATGACGAAGGCGAGGACAAGCGGTGAGAAAACTGAGAATACGAAGGCACAGAAAGAGCGAGGAAAGAAAGACTTGTTCACGGTCAAAGGACGAGAATTTCATCGCTGTTTGCGGCAGAAGAAAAAAGAAACAAAGTACCAAACACGGGGTCTGGAAATAGCAGAAAATTAGCAGTCAGACGATGTCTCCTTTTTTTATATTAAGTTAGAAATCGTTTTGTTCATCAAGTAAATTTGTATAATAAGAGCGAATATATTATATGTATATAATATTTTTGGAAAGAATCTTCTAAAGTATAATAATGGTCCTTAAAAGTTAAATAAACAGTTCTTCAAAAATTTGAATTTCGCAAATGTCTTTTATATATTTTTATTTCGATAAATTGAAAGAAGAGACCAAATTAATCACATGCATCTGCTATCTATCGCATCAGGCCTATGTACTCGGCAAATGCATACGTTTATTCGTAAAAATAAATAATGCAAGATTACTCACGGTTTTCGTACCTTGACGAATTTATAATAATATCAACACATACATAGAGAAACTACAGAAACTTTAGTGCGCAAACGTTAAACCTGAAAAGTACCATGAAAAAAATCACCAAATAACATATTTCAAATACTTTAAAAATAAAAGCATAAAAAGCAAGATAAAGGTAAGTTAAAGGTACAGATGTTAAAAAACATTTTGACACATTTATGAACGCATTATGTTTATTATATTTATAATATGTTGACTTGTGTAATAACTCATTGCAAATAACATACAAGTGAAATGCAATAATTCAGTGTTAACATTAATATTATACAATAATATGGTAGCGTCACTAATTTCTCTTAATTAGTTATTCAAATCATTATGCAAAGGTAAAATAAATAAAGTATAAAAAACATTATAATATATAACCAACTTAGAAAAAAAAGAACTAAAATCATACAGGAAAAAAGGAAAGCTTCATAATCGTCCAAAAAGTCGCTGAGAATATTAAACTATTTCTTTCTTACAACCATTAAAAATCCTGCTTTAAAGTGGATTCTTATTTTATTAAAATATACATACTTATATAAATATCATAAACAGTGATAACACATGTACGTACCTTGCTTCATTTAAATGTGTTATAAAATGTGACCTACAACACCTAAATTGTCGTCTTAATTTTTTGAAAACGTAATAACTTGTAAAGTATCAGAAAAATTTAATAAAAAGGTGGTACTAGTCAAAATTCTACATGTGAAACTTTTAAAGCTTTTATTATAAATGTTGTCTTGTTATTTGTATTAGTATAAATAAGACTGATTATTATGCCAAACTTACTATATAATTATGCAATATGAATACTTAAATAAATTAAAATTAATACAATGACATATGTAGATATCGTATGTACGTACACACGTTTCCAATTGAGATATTTATCGCATATCAATTGTATCTAATAGATACAATTATACTATGTGGAGGGTTCAAGTCAAACTTTTGATTACGCAGAATAATAGAACGCATTTATAAGAGTGGAAACTACTTTTATTTCCTGTTGTAATTTCCTGCTACATTAATGTACTTATCCGAGCGTTTCGCTAGTGCTTGGATATTATCAACATAAAATGAGTTCTCAGTACGTCGGAGGCTTGATTGAATTGCCTGCCTCGTCGCTGCTAAAACACTGGCCTTTCTAGGAACTGAAAACTCCTAAATGGCCCAAACAAATGAAAATCGCTTGGAGCAAAATCAAGAATGTAAGAGGGAAAATAACTCCCAGCGGAGTTCCTGTAATGTGCAAGTGGTAAGGACAATATGATGTTCATGGCTCCGACGTACTGAGAAATCTTTTTATGCTGGCGATATTTAAGCACTAGTGAAATGCAAGGATGAGTACATTAGCAGGGGATTATATTAAAAAATAAAGACAGTTTCCATAAACGTGTTCTACTATTTTGCACAATCAAAAGCGCCGGTTTTACTTCGACGCCCTTCGTAGATAAAATTTAATTAAGCGAAACTGAAAGCGGATCGAGATACCCCTACATTACTAACAAGAGCGAACAGCAGTATCTCAAATATTTGATAAAGATACAAGATGGCTCCTTATCGGATATGCATATATTGCGATAATTAGATGATTGTTATTAGGTGGTACCATGACATACACATCATTGTTTGTCGAAGGTTTGTAAACATAAATTGAATTTATTCACAGTTTTCTCTGATAGCGCGGCGGTACAACCATTTGGACCAAGTTTATGAATACGTATAAAATCGTGGCAGTCGATTATTCCATCTCCGGTGCAATCCTATTTAATTAATACATATTAGATATTGCGGAAAAAAATGTGTAAGTCGAAATTTGCGTATGAGACTTAAAAGAATTACTTACGTGACCGAACTTTGTCATATATCCTTGTACCGTACCAGCAGCACAGTAGGGATCGTTAACGCATCTGGAAAAAGCTATAATAAAAAGGAAATAATTATTATACATTTTTATTTTTTATGGTATTTTATGGTATTTATCAGTTAGGTCATAAAATGTGTATTTATGAGCCATTAAAATTAATAATATGGGCAATTTATACAAGACATATAATTTATACGATTCTATTAACATTGATTTATTGCTAAAATATATAACTGACATACATATAATTAATAATGTGATTTAAAAATTAACGAAATTAGTCATATTACAATTAAAATTGTATTATTATTTATTAATTATTAATTAAATTCGATAGGATTCTATTTGTATAATCCTTGACATCTTTTAAATTTTCTAAAAACGAAATTAACATTTAAATTAATCTGACACATTCCGAAGGGAACATCGAATTTGATATCGTTTGTTCTGTTATAAAAAGGGTTGACAAAGCAAACTATTTTATTAAATGTAAAATATCAGATACTAAATATTCTTGCAAGAATGTTTCACGTATTTTTTGACTCTACAATTAAATAGTTTTCAATGATACATATTTTATATACAGTTACGTATCGCTGCTCCGTTTTTGGATAATCAAATGTTATAACCTTCCCAATATAAATTGATACGTGATGTTTTTATATTTGTTTAACAATCCTTTCTACGTCTTTCTTTTCTTCGAAGTACAGTACTATGCTCCTTCATAGCACAAAAAGTATGAAAGGAATACAGCCATAAGGAATAAAACAAAGGAAAAGAAATGGAAGAGCAAAGAAATGTAAATTATTTCTATTACTTGAATACCCCGGTGAGCTCTATAACATACTGAAGTGAGTGGTTCAATTGTTCTCGGTGTCGCTGAGAGAGAAGCGCTGTTTAGTGAATCTCTGTCTCTTCCTTTATTATCTAATTGTTCGACAATCTTCTATCTCACTCATGTAAGGTGAAATATACCAGTCCAGTATGTTGTAGAATTCTCAAAGTATTTTGCATAAAAGAAAACACTGACCATCGTTATTGACCGGCTCGTTGTTTAGAGTTGGTTTACCAGCATCAGACCAGTAAGCCCATGTTATAGAGAAAGGTCCACATATGCTTCCCGAACATCCGATAGTGGTGTTACATGCTGTTTGAACTTCGCACATACAACCTAGACAAACCTGTGATACCGTTTGAGCTGTAATAAAAAATATCAATTAATGTAAAAAACGAGATATGTATAACATTTCTTAAATGTCTTATCTTACGCGGAATAATCAGACAGAAGTACAATACGTCGATGTTACAGAAACGTGTCATCTAATTATTATAGTAACTGCAGCTTTCTATTTTTATTAAACAAAAAGTGTAAGTCGTTTTAAAGAAAATATTCTTTAAGAAAACAAGAAACATATCTCGTAATATTATACTCGTTTATGTATTGTATAATCGCACGGGCGTGGTTGTTTTGCAGCGTCAACGTTAAAAATAACTTAAATCAGCCCATGAATTTAAATTACAACATATTCAGAAATGGCCGCGACGGCTGTAGTAAAGACCTTTCTTTCGTTCAACTCTTATTTTTCTCAATTACAGTGTAAACGCCTTTTTCGGACCTGGCACAGATGGAGGTGCCGCAGTGCATCTGTTGAACGGATGCACTACTCGGAAGTGCCGTATTGTATTTAATAAAAAGTTTTTATGTGATTTAATCCTGTCACCTTTACAAGACTGTCATTAAATTGTTACCGCTAAGTATAAATTTTGTATTTTTATTTTCATTGCAAGAAAATAACTGGAAAGTAACGACTCGTTCCTTCTTGAGTAACTGTAACTATAACGCGTTACTTTTTAGAATCGGTAACTTGTAACTATAACTTAATAACATCAGTGATTTTTATTGACCGTTGTAACTTGTAAAATGTAACTTAATAGTCTTATAAGATACAAAACATAACATGCATCGTAAACCGAGCGCAAAGTTATTTTTCTCACGATATCGCTTACGATATCAGTCACGGTGAAAATATCTGTCATTTAATTTTTTGTGACAAAGAATGTCATCTTATAAGACTAGCCAACTAGTTGTAGCAGACTTTTAACAATATGATACGATTGCGATCCCATAATTTTATCTTACACAATTTCTAATATCTACTACGATATACAGAATACGATTAGAAATAACCCAGATAGCCAACTGACGTTATTTGTCATCATTTTAACATCAAACGTGGGGAAAAATAAAAGAGAGAGATAAGAGCAAGTTAAATTTTTTTCATATATGTTAAGAAATATTCTTTTATATTATATAATAGATATCATTCTTTCTTTTTAAGGTTTAAAATAATGTTCCTAATATTAGTGCAACAAAATAATAAGGAGAAGGTTACAGAAATGAAGTAAAAGAAAACTCCTGAGATTAGCCGACATATCACACACAACAGTCAAAGACGCGGTCACGAAAACACTTTTAAAGAATTCCACAAGCAAAACTGCTATTAATGATAGCAGCTGATAAAACTTCTTGGAACTAGCGATAGCCGGATATAAACGGTTGTTCTGTTTCCAATTTCGATCGAAGATTAATGCCAAATTTCACTTTGTGCAAAATGTAAGTTTAATAAAAGATTGCTTAATATTTTTTAAGTGCATTATATAAAAAGTAATTGTAGAAAACTGGTAATTAGTTTGCATTAAATTTTATGCTGAAATTAGAATAGATTTGGTTATTGTTAAATGTCTCCAAGCTTGTATTTCAGAATTTGTAGCTAAAACTTTCTGAATCAAATGAAATTATTGAATGTGCATTTAATTCCAAACCGGTTCTAATAAGCTCTATGTGAAAATCAGAGATTTCAGATAATATTTTATATTTTCATATTCGTTGAAAATATTTCAGACTAAAATATTCCATTTGTAATGTACTTCAGTTTCTGACGAGTTCTTAATCAATATTTTTTCATATTGTTAATTTCTCCAAATTTATAGTTTCCAAGCGAATATTTCACATTTGTAATATGTGTATTTCTTTGAAATTCCTAGCCATTTCATTGCTATATAGTTGTAACATTAAAACCTGAATTTTCATGCGTTTAAAAAAAAAGTCGCGTTATAATTCGTGTTGTAATTAAATTGTTTTCTATTAGAGAATGAGAAAAAAAAACGTTGATAGCTCACCGGAAGTATAAACACAAAATAGCGCGATTATTGTCACAGCAACCCATGGAACTCTCGCAAACATCTCGAAGAAGTGAAGCTGTTGGTCCGTAAGAAGCAACGTCTATTAACGTACTGTATTTGTCGACTGGTGCGAGATGATCCGCGCTTTTGAACGCTTCTCGACGATCGCTTTCTTATATACGGCGATAGCAATGCATGACGAAGGCGAGGACAAGCGGTGAGAATACTAAGAATACGATGGCACAGGAAGAGCGGGGAAAGGAAGACCCGTTCACGGTCGAAGGACGAGAAGTTAGTCGCTGTTTGCGGCAGAAGAAAAAAAGAAATGAAATACCAAACACGGGGATTGGAAATAGCAGAAAATTAGCTGCCAGACGATGATCTTTTTTCTTTATATTAAGTTAGAAATTGTTTCGGTCTTCATCAAGCAAGTTTCTATAATAATAGCAAATATATGTAATATATTTTGAAAAGAATCTTCTAAAGCATAATATTCCTTAAAAATTAAATAAACAGTTCTTAAAAAATTAGAAGAATTTCCCAAATGTCTTTCATATATTTTTATTTCGATAAACTGAAAGAAGAGACAAACTTTTTCCTTTATTCCATTATTTATCATGGATTTTGTTAAATTATTAAGTCAAGGAACTTGCAGATCCATATACATTAATAGTTATAATTATACAATGACATTAATTAACTTATATCTTGATTGGAAATTGTGAAGAATATATTTTATCTTAAAAATAAAATTATCCTTATTTATTTTTGTATATATTTGTTGATAAATATCTTATATATTTATTTATATTAAAAGAATATAATTAATATACTTTGAAGATCTCACATATCATAATTCATATGTTGTATCTTTCATTCTCCCAATCAAATTTGTAAAATTGGAGATATATTAAAAACAAAAAAAAGCAAGTCTCGCATTCTTTCGTGAAATCCTTATAGCGCGCCTTATAGCGAAAATATCGATGTCAGCGTTGATACATAAAAATTAAAAATAGAAACTTTAAAAAGAATAACGGCACTAGGATCTGATTTTGTATTATTTTACAATGGAAGAGGACAAATCTGGAAATCGAACCCTGCGATCTGTATAATGCCTAAAACATCGTCGTTACTTCGAAACTTGCAACACAAAAATGTGAAGACTACGACAACCGGATCCCAAGTTCAATGTCAATGCCCTAAGGCCTCGCCTCTCCTCGATGATCTTACAATCGATACTTTTCCTTGGAAACAAGTTTGTAAGGGACGGCAGACGCGCGTGAAGAACGTGCGTCGTTGTATGTTGCACCATCGGCATATCATTATTAGTCAAAATTATCGGTTTCGAAATACGAAATTTTTATGTACAATATATTGCGTACCGGGGAAAGAGGGAATTCCACTTTTGCTTACATAGATGTATAGATAGATAGCCCCGACAACTGACGGTCAATCGATCGACGTATCTGCTTATTATTCATCACGCATTACGTCAATAAAATGTCTGAAATTCTCGCTACATTATCAAACAATATAACACAACTCTTATTTCATGCTTTTTTTCCTGCTTGCCGATAAAGACAACCAATACCAATTTATATAGTATATTCTGCACACCTACATGTATATATAACTATAAGAAACATGTCAAAAAATTAAAATTAATTGCAAAATTAAAGCCGATAACTATTATATGACAGTACGTACCGACATATTGTACCTCCTATGTCACACAAAATATCTTCGGTAAAATTATTGCGTTCTTTTATAATAATTACAATATTAAAACTTCTACGTTAATAGAAGTTGTCAAAATAACATCTTCAATTTACACATTACAGTTACATACATTTTATTTTGGCACAGATAACAAGTTTATGGACATTTTGTAAAGAGCTAGTGAAATCGAATAGTATGTGCGTGGAAACATACCAAGGCGAGCGATCAATTTGGCGTGCTGCATCTTTAACAATGTTAAAGCATGTAAGGTATTAAAATGAATGTATGCAATGAAGCTTTAGTAAAATTGTATTACTCTTGAAGACTGCACAAGGAATCCTGCGGGTATATTAAGAGAGTAACAAATTGTGTATATACAAACAATTAATATTTATTAATCCAATATTAAAAGTAATGAGCTGTTTTTGTTTTTTTTGTCCCTTAGATCTTGTTGAACGAAGCAATGTCTACAGATTGAACGAATTCCTCGAATTCTTGAATCTGTTCAATCAGTAAATCCACCGATACTTTCTCGTCTTCTATCACACACATTATCTGTAACTTGTGTATGCCGTAGCCCACTGGGACAAGTTTTGCTGAAAACACATAATTCAGTTGCGTAACTTGCTCACGCTCGGTCTGCATATATTACAATCGAAAGAGCCAATAAGGAATACGACTTACATGCACCCCAAACAAGACCGTCCATCTGAATCGATCTCACCGCGTTCTCCATTTCCTTCATATCGGTTTCATCTCCCCAGCTTTTCACGTCCAGCACGATACTCGACTTGGCGATAACCACGGGCTTTTTTGATTTCTTCTCCGCGTACGCCTTTAACCTTTCCTCCCTGATTTTCGCGGCTTCCGCGTCCTCCTCCTCGTCCGAACCAAATAAATCTAGGTCATCGTCATCGTCGTTCGCCTTTCCCGTGGACGAAGCCGGGGCGCTCGCGGTGCTAAAGATGGCAGGGGCTTTCTTTTCTCCGGGAAGTGACTTAAAGTCGTACGATCTTATGTGGTTGTACCAACGGAGTACATGAGGGTTTGAAGATGTCGGTGCTTTCCCCAGTGCCTCGAGTACTGCAACATCGGCCTGAGTTGGTTGCCACCTATCGAGTGTAAATTCTTCTATATGATACGTTACTTTCCATTAAAGTCGAGCCTTATTACACGTTACATATTACTTAAAAAAAGGGACTTACATTACGCTTCCTAGTAGCATTGCATTCGGAAACTCTAATACCGCTTTAACGTTATTAACAAATCGATATGGCTAGATTGATACCAAGTTTTTTAAATTTTATTACCATTCTTACTATAAACAGGTCAAAGAATTAATAATACACATTATATAAACTGCATACAAAATTTATAAAACTAAAACGTGTAATATTTTACATTTCCACTTTGCATTACACATTACTTGCAGCATGTCAAAAAGAGCGGACACGAAGAATATGCTAAGGGTAAAAAAAAACCTAAGTACTTTGAGTCATGTCAAGCGGATAAAATCATTGAGACTCTTATTCTCGCGTACGTTCATACGTGTATTGCAGATACATCAGCAATCACATATGGAACGGTGAGTGGACGAGTTGAGGAGTCTGCGAAGAGCTGGTTCTACGGAAAGATTCGCGTCCAAAAGGATAGGAAGGTGAAAGAAGCGGCGTAAAAATAAATGCAAGATGTGTGCGTAGGGCAGTCCAGCGTGCGTATGTGCCGTCCGTGCGACACATGTTCATACGTGACACTGGTAACGTCTCGTATTTTACTACGAAGGGACCGAGGGCTGAAGTGCAAGCGGGAAGAGCGCGCGGGTGCTCGCGACGGTACGCACGAAGGCCCTTCCTCGCGGGAGAGCCACGGCGTGGAGATGCGCCGTGGTGCGCACACGGGGCGAGTCAGAAATAGAGTCCAAGATGCCGACAAGCTGAGCACGTGTACCGGAGACGTCGGGGACGTCGGAGTCGCGACGAGAGCGCACTAGAAGTAGGCTCACCCCTCGATATAACTGCGGTCGGCGAGGTAGGTGTTGAGATCCTCGACGCCTTTGTCAGTCTTCAGGTCGCCGACGGCCATGGTGAAAACGTATTCCGGACGAGTAAATAGACGAAACGGTGGCAGGGACCTCTTCATGTGGTCACCGGAAGAGAGAGCTGCGCGCGGCGAGCAGGCGGAGGGGGCCACCGCGGCCGGATCCGGCTTGGTTCGCGTAGCTCGATTTGAGAGGGCAGCGCGACGTGACGTTTATTCCGGCGCGCCTTCCCAGTGGCCGGGCTGGGCTTTTCATGTGGAGACGGCGAAAGGCCGGTGTTTTCACCGTGCTGGAACTTGGGCCCGGTATTCCGTAGTCGATTCTTAAGCCCGCTGCAGACGATGCTATTTTTCCTGCTGGATTGCTTGCGATTTACTAAATTACTATCGTTGCACCATTCAGCACTCAGGATTCCTAGTAATTTAGTAAATCGCAAGCATTCCAGCAGGAAAAATAACATCGTCTGCAGCGGGCTTTATTTCAAAATCGTCTTGAGTGTTGCCTTGAGACGCAATTACAGGGGCTCGATTCTTGAATTTATTCGAAGGAGAAACGTATGCGAAAATTCTGCTCTCACAGAAAAGTTGCAAGTTGATTGGCTACTCGCATGGCTTTAACCAATCGACTTTCAACTTTTCTGTCAGAGCAGAGTTTTCGTATACGTTTCTTCTTCGAATGATTTAGAGAATCGGGCCCCAGCTCTGCGATTGGCTGAAAACACATTAAGGCCGGCGTTCATAGTCGGAACTACTGTTCAAGACCGTCTTGAATTTATTTAAAGATGCTGTATGGAACATTTCAATTGCTGTGTCCAGCAGAAGTTAGCGCTTGCTAAGCGCTTTGCGCTCATTGGATTATACTTTCAGATCTGTGCTGAAATAGAGCTATTCTTTTAGATCTATCCAATCAGCATAAAGCGCTTATTAAGCGCTAACTTCTACTGAACACAGCCATTGGCTACGGAGTATCTAAAGGTGATCTTAGGACGGTCTTGAATATAAAATCTGACTATGAATACCGGCCTAAGAGTATATTATACATATATATACATTTCATAGCACGGAGTATCTTTTTCTCACTTTTCACGAGTTCCGAGAAACGTGTAGCCAATCAACTTGCAGCTTTTATGGAACAGCTGCAAGTTGATTGGCTAGAAGAAAAGATTCGTGATTGGGCCCCAGGTGATTTAAGACTAAATCCTGATTGGCTCTCGTAAGCAATCCAATAAGGAAAAATAAGGTTTGTTTTCTGTTCCCGCACTGGTGAACTAAAGCGTCGTCTACAATGAATGCAAAACGCAAGACGCTAGGCCGCAAGCAAGAAATCGACCAACGACAGTCGATCTTTCTTCTCATACTTGACTGTGATTGGTCGATTTCTTGCTAGCGGCCTAACGTCTTGCGTTTTGCGTTCATTGTAGACGACGCTTAAAGGCCTTCACACACAAAATTCCGTAAGGACGTAAAACGTAAGCGTAAGAAAATCGACCAATCACAGTCGAGAACGTAAGGCAATAACGCAAGCAGTAGCAAATCCAATCTGTTGATTTTCTTACGCTTACGTTTTACGTCCTTACGGAATTTTGTGTGTGAAGGCCTTAAGCTAGAATGAGAAAAAATATACTTGTCCTACTCTAATTTATTGCACTAGTTCACCAGTGTAGCAACAAGAAACAAGCCCTATATTGTTGTGCACAACGAATTTGATTGGTCCATTTTCTTGTGCATTTGCTTATAGACCAATCAAATTCGTTATGCATATGCCTATGCACTTATGCAAAAGTGTGTACTCCCCGCTTTACGCTCCATGTGAATCCAGCCTTAGTGTACGCTCAGGCCTCGTGTTTATGTGTCTGTGGACTCTCTAACCTAGCCTGAGGAATCTTGAAATTTTACGATAAATTGAATATTTATAAATAAAATTCACAAATTGCAGCGTACGTAGGAAATACTTTGTAAGAATATAAAACTTGTGTGTAATTTTTCAAATAAAATTAGTACAGAATATGTGTACTTTTCGCAGATTAACTTGGGTGGTGTACAAATTTAATAAAAGAAAAAAAAGGAAGAGTCATGTAACATTAATGTAATTGTTCATAAATAAGAGAAATTTTTATTTGTAGGGAATGTTGTTGAAAGCATGTTAATTTTTGATCGTAAGAAATCATTAGAAATTTCCTTTTGCAGTAACGGAGGACGAAAACTATTTCAAAATGTTGGGTCGAATTTTTAAGTGTCCCATTATTTCTCAAACTTTATTAACTCAAATACGATCTGTCCATCGGATAACACACAAGTATTTTATACATGACAAGAATACCTTTTCAACAACGATGGCTGTTAGAAGGTTTCTAACTAGACGTACAAGGTAACAATTGTTATAAAAACTTTCGATAAAATATATAAGTAATATATTTCAGTTATCAATTATATTATTAATATTTATGTAAATATATATATGTGGGGTATTCTCGATCTGTATTTATTGTTACGTCTTTTAATTACAGATGAAAGAGATTGAACTACAAAAAAGTAGAATATTATTGTCGAGATGTCAATACGACATTTATTTGCTCTGTCATTAAGAAATTGTTAACTCCAAATTGAATTTATGAATGCCAAAAGTGACAAGAACTAGGATATCCTATACATTTTACAATATAAATTGATAATTTAGCGTCTTACAAAGTGACAAATAAAAATGCAGATTATCCGATAGAGTATTATAGCCGTCAAGTTTTTTCAGCTCAAATGGGTCGCTGCAAAATGTATTAATACAGCATCGACAAATGTCGCACCTGGATGTAAATACGAAAGTAAAAAACAACGTAATTATATACAAAAACGATAGGAGCTTGTATTTCCGAAATGCAGGACTTTTTGGACTCGGACAAATATTTGGTTGGACATTATTGGCCTTTTATACTTACAAGCCATCATTCTGGGATATATTCAATACTGATATAAAATTTAAGGAATATTTCTCCAATCATCTGCTTCGACTTAATCTGTTTCTTTTCTCAATTATTGCAGGTGAGAATCATTTTTCATATATAATAATATTTTATATGTGCGCATAAGAGATTTATATCTTTATATTATTTCCTGAGCAATTCATTTATCTATGATAAAATGGAACGGATAAATTTTACCTTTTTCTGAAGCTGATGTATTTTGTAGGCCCGTTCATGTTTTTCTTTACGTATGTTTTGTGCTCTCGTACTGTCAAATACATTATCTTAAACAAGGGTGGTAAAACACTTTCGATTACAACTTATCACATGCTAAGGAACAAATCCAATTTCAACGTACCAGTGGGAGTGGTAAGGACTATTTATATATAATTATGAATATGAGATTAATTAACATTTGAATATTAATAATAATAAACGTATAATACTTTTAGGCCCGGTTTTTCATATTCTGGTCACTCGTTAACCAGAGGTTAGTCAACTCTCTGTCTCTTCTCGGATAACAGAAAAAATGGAGAGTCCACTAACTTCTGGTTAATAGTTAACCAGAAAATAAAAAACCGGGCCTTAAGGCCTGTGTCCACGATGCTAGAACTTGGTCCAAGTTCTAGTCCCGAGAAACGTGTGGCCAATCAACTCGCAGCTATTCCATAAAAGCTGCAAGTTGATTGGCTACGCATTTCTCGGAACTAGAGCTTGGATCAAGTTCTAGCACCGTGGACACAGGCCTTTAGAGTGTCAATGTAAAGTGATAAAAGTATATTATAAATATTTTTGAAACATTCCTCATATTTGATATACTTTTTAAGGTAAGAAACGTCTCGGACAGGACCCTAGGAAGAGTCCTAGCACTTAAAATAAAAGGTAGATTCTTTTACTACTTGGTTGATAAAGAAGGCACGTTTGTAAATTCAAAACTTTTTGATTATGTATTAGGGTAATTAATTTTATAAATAAGAGTAGTATTATATCTTCTCTCGTTATAATACATTGTACACATTTATAAAAAAATGTAATTACCGTCATATATTTATGTCTTATATAAATACACATTTAGAATGATCTGTTACTAGAAGTGTTATTGATGTACCAACACGCTAAATTGTACGAATCGCCGAGTTAACGCTGAAAATTCTACATATTCTTTTTGAGAGAGAAATTATTTTGTACAGATTATTTATATTTGTATTATTAAAAAAGTACAATTTATATATTTTCACGAAAGAAAATGTTAGTATAGTATCTATACATAAATACACATAAGTACTATATTGCACTGAGATTAGTTTTTGTTTATTCGTCATTGGTTTTTAAATTTTACGTAAGAGTTGGCAGAACGATTGGTGTTTGAATTGAGTGAAGTCAATGCCACTTTTGATATTCCAATTAATATCTCTGACTTTGTCGGTCGTAATATTTTCCCGAGTATTTACTGTATCGATCGCTATAGCCGTCGTCCTGATATTTGTCTTCCGGTTTATAATAAACTTCAGGTGCTGTAGAACCGACACGACCTTGCCAGTAATGGGTCCAGTATAGGTCTTCTGGATTGATATCGTGTGGATGTTTGGCATTTCTAAATACATGTACGCAGTACACGAGGCTACCAATCAGCGTCAAAAATCCGAACACAAGAAATACTATTCCCAAAATCCTACAAAAAACAAAATTTGCGTTACACGTAAAATTTTATAAGGGACGTATCTCTAATTGTATAATCTATACATCATGCTTTTTCTTTACCTCTTAAATAATTATTATCAATATGCAATTCTAATTTTATCCTTTATAATTCAAGTAATTGCACTTGTTGCTGAAAATATTATAATCCGTGCAATGTAAAAATTTATTACATTGTAATCTTACCAAACGACTAATGGCTGGAAGAATTGTATGACGATAACGAAGCCTAGAGTAACTAGAATCAAGCCAAGATTGAGAAGTAACATGAGGCAACAGACGCCCTTAGTATTTGGACAAAATGGATTAGGCGTCGACATGGTTTCCACAATTATACCGCCTTTTCGTGACGTGCGAGTTTTCACTGTCGAAGTGCCTGACCTGCCGGAACCGTAGCTATAATGACTAGGCGCTCTGTGATCCAATCTGGAGCTTGGTGCGAGGCTGCGGCGCGATACTCGGCTATTCGTAACGTACAAAACATATATTTAATACTCTTTACGGGTGTATTTACGGGATAATTGAATGTTACGTTTACAAATCTAAGCAACCTTATGTCGGAAGTGGCTCTGTAAGCGGCGCTGGTGACATATATATCCGAACCGTTGTCACAAATGCTGCCGTGCGAGGCACTTTTGCGAAGCGGGTGCAAACTGTGCTTTGAAGATCCGGACAGCACCGAGTCACGAGTATTATGCGCGCTTCTGGACCTTCTGTCTTCTTCTCTGTCATATCTGTCCGCGTGATTCTTTCTTGGAGGTTTCACCTGAAAAAGAAGAGAAAAATTAAATATATGAGGTGGATGTGTATGCACCAATACAATAGAATAGAACACGCTTTCGCCCATATTCTGAATTCTCTTTTATTGATGAAAGTCCTTGTAAAAGATCTTTTCAGCCAATAAGAGGCCTTCAAAACCAATTTTAGTGGCACTTTTATCGACAAAAGAGGATACAGAATATGGTAAAAAATGTTTCACGCATGAATATGCATAAATATATAGTATTATATAAAGGGAACATTGCTCATTTATAATTATATATAACTTTGTACAATTGTACACAATTATATATAAATAGAAATAAGTAATTTTGTGCATTGAAAAATGTTTCATATAAAAGCATGTATAAATCTACAAAATTATACGGAACTGTGTAGAAATGTATAAAATTATATAGAAATATGTAATGTAAAAATACGTATGGACATATATGATGAATAGATATTCATTCATGTTCATGCATGAGAAAGTTTTTACCGGAAACCTTTAAGAATATCTAAAATATTTGAAAGAATATCGTCGCGCCATATGAGAGTATGTATAAAATACATTACCATGGTGGTACGTTCGTTGGCAACGATATACTCAGACACGGTGCGATCCGAAGGAGCTCTGTGGCTCTCTTCGCCGTCCGTAATGTAATCACGATTTGCGTTAACGTGATATCCAGCATATCTCGAAGTATGCATTTTAGAGTCTGTATCGGTCGACTCGCGCACAGGGAATGTCAAAGACAAGCACGTAGGTAATCGGCAACACCCATTTAACTCATCTAAAACAGAAATAAATATTAATTTACCGACAGATTGTCAGAAATTTACGGTCGTCAGAGGATAAGAGGCAGGAGAGGACTGCGCGGACGTAACATAAAAGCGTATCCGTTTTTAATTCCTACTTAAAATGTATTGGACATTTTAAAAGAGAACCGAGCGCATTATTTCGCGCCACGAAGATGCTTCACAATGTCGCCGAGAGGGACAGACATTCTTAAATTCCTTTCGCATTTCCATTTTTGTTCAGCGACCAATTTGGGGCATGCATTCAGAAAACATTAAGACGTTCGTCTTTAAAACGACTTTTAAACGTGCGTGTTGTTTAGGTGTATTCTATTCAATTGTGTAGCCCTCTACGATCGAATGTAAATTGATCATTAGGCGTGGCATTCCTTTATGTGCTGCCTGCGCATAACGATTGCAAAACGGTGCATCATTATGGGATTGTCTCGCGATCCGTAGGCAGTGCCCACGGCGTGTTCATCGCATTGGGCAAATCCTTATTTAGCACCATGATGTCACTTGGCAAGGACATGTGCAACATCTTCGATCAGTAATGCGCGCGTACTCTTTGCCCCGCCCCGGTAAACAATTTTTTTATGCATGAACATGAATAAATATACAGAATTATATAAAAATATACATCACATATGTCCGTACATATTTTTACATTGTACATTTCTATATAATTTTAGTAGACTCTTATACATGCTTTTATATGAAAAATTGCTTATTTATAAATATATAATTATGTACAATTGTGTACAATTGTACAAAGTTATATATAATTACAAATGAGCAATTTTTCTCTTTATAAATATTTTATGAGCATGAGCATGAATAAATATACAGAATTGTATAAAAATATACATCAAATGTGTCCGTACATATTTTTACATTGTACATTTCTATATAATTTTAGTACATTTATACATGCTTTTATATGAAAAATTGCTTATTTATAAATATATAATTGTGTACAATTGTACAAAGTTATATATAATTATAAATGAGCAATTTTTCCCTTTAAAAAATTTTTCATATAAAAGCATGTATAAATCTATCAAATTATACAGAACTGTGTAGAATTGTTTAAAATTATATACACACGGAGAATTTTCTTTTAAAATTTATCCCGAAATCATGTGATCGTGGAACGGCGTGGCATTTCGAAGAACTTTATGAGTTTTTTAAAATTTCACCATGCAATCTACTAAAATATATACTGAGTATAATTACTAGTAAAATATATGGTAAAATTTCGAAAAAAATCTCATATAGTTCTTGGAAATGCCATGTTGTCTCAAGATTACGAGATTTTCAGGATAAATTTTAAATCGTATTAATTTTTTATTTTTAATTTTAATAAATAATTAAATATACCTTATGAAACTATTTTAAAAGGAAATGCTCTCCGTGTAGAAATATACAATGTAAAAATATGTGTGGACATATTTCATGTATAATTTTATATGATACTATATATTTGTACATGCTCCAGTGAGAAATGATTCGTCGATCGATGTCTAAACGAGTCAGTTTTTGGGGCTCATGCATAAAAATTTTTTTACCAGGACACACGTCTCCTCTTAATTAACCAATATGCCTACTTAGCAATATTGGTCTAACATTGTATCAATATTAGATCAATATTCATATTATCTATCTAAACGGATCCCTGTTTAAAATGTTAGATAGAATATGATCCAATTACATTAGATGCTCGTATCCGTATATAAATAAGAGTCTGATTAATTTACATAAAAATTGCACGTAAACTAATGTAAACTATCTATTATTTGAAACAGGGATCCTAAACAAATCGATCTCTCTCTTCTCGTAATTTCACAAAATGTATCTCAAGCGACCGACATGAAAATTCGCCAACAGTCTACTCGAATTTCATTTACTTTCTACGAGACAAATGCATGACAAACGTATCGATATGATTAATGCCATCCGTCGTCTCTAAAATACATCCACTATCATCAACCAACCGGTTATTAAACTCCCGTCTTACGTTTTTCTCGCATTATTAGTCGCGAGATTTTTAAACGGGCTCGCATCGTGGGCACGCAGGAGACGAGGCGGCGGACTGCGACGCGCGCAGGCGCCGTAGATCCCCGATGCGACCTGTGCGCGCAGCGCGCATCGTCCTCCCGTGATATAAATTTCCCCCGGGGGGGAAAAAGGGGGGAAAAAACCGCGTAAAAGAGAGCGACAGAGAATAACGTACGTCAACGCGGAGATGTCCGAGTGAAGCGCGCGCGCGCGGTGGACCAAGAGCGTCGCGAGGAAACACATGGCGCACGCGCTCGTACGAGATCGGCGCGTGCGGATCGCTCCAAGGGTTCAGAGGCGCTGGGCCCTCGAGAGAATCCAAGATCCACGTACGAGACACGGTCGCGAGAGCTGGCGTACCTTGCCGTCTCCGCTCGGGAGATTACGTCCTGATCCTCCGTGCTGATCCTTATTCGCGGGCGAGTCCTCTCCTCGTGGTGACGCGCTGACCGAACGTAGCGTGCCTGGATCGCCGCGACATATCGATCGCTCGGTCACGCGAGTATTCACCGCGTTCGGTCCATCCCGTGTTTCTTCCTCTTTCTTTCTGTCTCTCTCTCTCTTTCTCTCTATCCTTCTCTTCCTTCCTCGAGGTCGGTCGTCCCTGCACTCGCTCCAAGAGCACTCGCGACGATTCCGGGCAGCGTTCGCGCGGATCCGCGAGACACGAGACGCGCGATCGACGTCCCGGAGCAGCGTGATCGGGCCCCGCTGTCCTCTCGCCCGTCACGCCGAGTCTCGCCGGAGTCGCTGGAATGGTCGGCGGGCGCCCCGCGACCGCGAGCGAAAGGCGCGTTTATCGCGGCGTGCGCTTTTCCACCACGCTTTCGTCCGACGCCTTTAAAAGGCGAGTTCAGGTGTGCGCGCTAACTAGTCCTCGCCGCCCGCGATCGCGCGTCCATCCGCCGCGTCCCTCCTCTTTCCTCCTCCTCCTCCTTCTCCTCCTCCTCCTCTTCCTCCTCCGCGAGGATTAAACGGACGCGAAATCAGGTCGCTCGACGTCCCGCGAAGGGAACGTCTTTAGCCTACGAGTTTTGTTCCAAAAATTGTTGAGATGTAGAGTGCAAATGATATAAGGAATGTATTTTAGTTGTAAAACAAAAAAAATAATCTAAGTCAGAAGAATATGCCCATACATATTTTTGCATTGTATATTTTTATACAATTCTTCATAGCTCTGTATAATTTTATAGAATTATACGTGATTTTATATGCAAAATTTTGTTAAGTGAGAAATTGGTTATTTATATATAATTGTGTACAATTGTATAACAAAGTTATATATAATTATAGATAAGCAATTTTTCACATTGAAAAATTTTTTATACAAATCGCATGTATCAATCTATAAAAGTATACAGAACTGCGTAGAATTCTATAAAATTGCGTAGAAATGTACAATGTAAAAATATGCGTGGACATATTTTATGGCCTAAGGCCCGGTTGCACCAAAGTTGTTTAACTTTAAGCTTAGCTCAATTCGTTCTTTGCTTCTTTTCAACTGTTACGTAAGGAAGAGACAGACGTGAATTAAACCAAGATTAAAGTTAAACGACGTTTGGTGAAGCCGGGCCTTAATGTAAATTTACTTTAATCTTTGCTTAGAATTCCATACAGCACAAACCTTGCAGTTACATTGCAGCAATTTTGTAATATTGTAGCAATGTTATTGCAATGTAACTGCAAGTTTTGTGCTGTACGGGATGAGACAAACGAATGAAACTAATTGTAAGATTAAAGTAAAACGTCGTTTGGTAAAACCGGGCCTTAATGTAAATTAATTAAAAACTTTAATCTTGGCTTAGAAAGAGACAAACTTTCGCCAACGTCACTTAACTTTAAGCTTAGCTTAATTCGTTCTTCGTCTCTTTTCAAAGCCTTTTAGAAAGAGACAAACATGAATTGAACTAAGATTAACGTTAAGCAACGTTTGGTGAAGCCGGGCCTTGTACTTGTAAGATCAAAGTTAAGCGACGTTTGACGAAACCAGGCCTTAGGCCCGGTTTCACCAAACGTCGTTTAACTTCAATCTCAGTTTAATTCATGTTTGTCTCTTTCTAAAGTAACAGTTGAAAAGAGGCAAAGAACGAATTAAGCTAAGCTTACAGCTAAACAACGCTGGCGAAACCGGGCCTAAGACTCCGAAAGTAGTTTTACGATCGTGCACAGTATTATGCAATATATAGATCCAGCTCGGAAAAGGAAAAGTGGTTTCGAAAGCAGTCCAGTTAACCCGATCGTGCTCCGATCTCGGGGATCGCGAATTTGCAGGACGAATTCGTTAAAACAAACACGTTATTTCCGTTAATCACGAGTCGTATTTATATTTCGGAAGCTGCGAGGCGCCGCGCAAACTCCATGAAATTTTCGTTGTTCCGCCCTTACGGAAAAAGAAAAATACTCGCGTTTTGAGTGTTTTGTCCGAATTTACCCTCAATATTGGGCGTAAACACCCAGATTTAAATATTTGCACCCAAATGCGAGAGTAAATTCGGACAATCGAGTGTCGACGCTCGAAGCTTGAGTGCTTTTTCCGCAAGGGTGTCTCTCGGTCCGCCGCTCATTCTGATTTTTAGAGCTCGACTTTTCTAATTGCCGCTGCGACGACGGCCGCTTTAGGAATTGAAAAGAAAAAATATCGCCGCCACGGCGTTGCGGGAACCGATTTCTGCTGCCGCGAGTTTTCATTTCCCTTGGACTTTCGTACTTGGTTCGCAACGCGGGAAAAAGACGAGAATTTTCGTACTTCCGCCACTTCCGCTCCCGATGCGCACGCGCGAGGCGCGGGAACCGCGCGCCAAAACCGAAGGTCTCTTCGCTCCCAAGTTCGAGTTGTTGGTAAACAACGTCTTCACTTCTTACCCTTTGACAGCCCTGCCGTCGTCGGCCGCGTTTAGACACACGTTTTATATGAAGTTTACCGTGAATGGAGGGTTCACGATGTCGCAACATGGGGCTGCTCTGCAAACGTATAATCAGGAACTCGTCAAATGTAATCCGTCCAGTTTAACCTAAAAATTGTCACTTATCACTGTTCGTCAGTTTGCAAGGCGGGTAGGCAGAGTGTAAGGCTCGGTTTGCAATGAGTTAGTTAAACCAGGCCGTATAGACCACAAGCTTTCCGTTAGTTTGAATCTTTGATTAACGTGATTTTGGTGATCTGAAATAAAATATAATATACTTTTGCTGTACAAGCCCGATGTGGCGTTCAAGGTACCAAAATCGTCGTTAGTTAGAAGTTTAGAACAACGCGTCAGTCCTTTTTCTTCCACCCAGATCGACATGTCATTCCGACTTCTAACTGATGACCGACAACTCATTGTAGGTCTAAGGCCTGGTCTGCAATGAGTTCAGTCGTTAGAAGTTGGAGCTATAGGTCAATCCTGTTTCTTTCTGGACCTGATTTTCAGGGTAAATTTTAAAAGGAAGTTCTCAGTGTGAAGGAAAAGGGACCGACGTATAGTTCTAACTTCTGACTAACAACTCACTGTAGACCAGGCCTGACGGACAAAAGTTTTCAGTTTGAGTTCACTTTGATTGGCCTGATTTTGGAGATCTCAAATAAAATATGATACACTTGCTGCACAAGGCCAATGTGGCGCGTTGAAGGCACCGAAATCGTGAAAGAAGATGCTGTCGCTCAAATGTCAGGCTGTACATCTCCGAGCACTTTACTCCGCGTTGACTTGATATTTTTAGGAACAAAATTGCTCCGATCATTACAGCGATGAAATCCCTCATTGGACGTATTTATACTGAAATGAGATTGTTTTTCTAGATTTAGAAGAGATGAAGCTGAGGCGATTGGAACTTCAAGCTCAGGTAGAATCCCAGGAAGAAGAGAAGAACAGCCTGCAACGCGAAATTGAGAAGATGTCGTGTAAGCTTACGCAGCTCAACGATAGTTTAGCAAAAAGGATCACGGTCAGAAACGAATACGACAGGATAATTGCTGAAACCGAGGCGGCATACGTGAAGGTAAAGGTTGTAATTATTTAGTAATCTATTTTTTCATCGGATGTTAATCTCGTGCATCTCTCAAGTGTTATATTTGTCTTGTTATAGATTCTAGAGAGTTCCCAATTATTGCTTAATATGATCAAAAAAGAAGCAGTGAGTCTGGATCAGACTTTAGTTAAAGCCAATATTGATAAGCAGCAGTATCGATAATAAGATATAAATTAGAGCTCGACAAAAATGCTTGTGAGGGACCAGATGCTGAGAAAATGTATTGTTTGAAAATTTATTAAACTATTAATGGATGCATTATCACAGAGATATAGTTATTAATTGACAAGTACAAAATTAAATATATAGACTTATAAATATATAAACTTTGGAACATACAAAATTTTTATAGCGCCTGCAAAAATTTATTAACTATACAAATGCCTGTGTGGAATGTCTCTAAACTAGCGATGTATTTTAATGACAAAATGCGTACGGCGAATATTAACATTTCAAGACGACAATTTTAATACGGGAATGCCGAGGCTAGGAATGGCAAAGTGGCTAGTGACGAAAAGTCTTTTCACGAGTCGAGGTGTCATTGACAACCTTTTAACAACCAACCTCCTGCCATTCCCTGAGCGAGCCAAATTCTAGTATGTCATTCGCAATCTCTACCCTCCTCCCACTTGAAAAACATAGCCTTGATATGTCCGTACTACAATTTCGTCTTAAAATATTACAAAATCTTTGTCGTTAAAATATTTATCACGGGTTCACAAAGACACACAGTATATGTTCTACTTATGATTATTACAAATAATATTAATCAGTCTACGTGTGTTAAATTAAATGTATAACTGAACGACAGTACTATTTATAAACTCGAGCGAATATATATGCAGTACATAAGTCATCATGAAATAATTATAAGTATTATTAACAGTATTTAAATGCGAAGTTTGATCTGTGTAATACTAAAAATTTGACTTTTATTAGAGGATATTATATATATATATAAATATATATATATATATATATATATAAAGACTGATATAAGGTTGAAGTCTATTCTAGAAAAATTACAAAATATTTTACAATAATATTTGAACGTTTTCAAATAATTATTATTTTGCATTGACATATTTTACCTTTTTTTTCATATGTATGCATATCTATACATGTGTATATCAATTGTATTTTATAACTTCTTGAAGATATTTTCGTCAGGATATGCTATTGCACTTTGTTTTCCATTCTTAAATGGAAATCATATCTAAATTCGTATGTATGTACGAACTAATAATATATATTTCGAAGTTTTTCATCGTTTTTATAAATTAATTTATAATTTTTATAAATTTAAGCGTTTCCAAGAGCCTTCTGCTCGTTCCATATTTGCAAGAGCTCGTTCGGATCTTCGTATCCATGCGATGTTATAACGTACTTGTAACTATATTTTGTATAAGCTTTCTTATAAAAATGAAACTCTTCGCAATGAAACGGTACTATATCAGCTTTCTTGGCTACTAAACCTAAAAAGATGTCGTCGAATCTGAAGTGTTTAGTGTAGAAGCTTGTGTAGTACAGGTCCAAAAGAGCCTCCTTCGACAGGATGTACGCACCGGCCGTGACGTAAGGTGGCCACAAATGATACGGGTATTCTTTTAGCGTGACGTACCATTTCGAGAATTTATGCCGATGTGGCGTAGATCGTGTGAACACGAATCCCGCAAACAGTCTAATGTCGTCTGGCAATTCCAAATCGAAAAACTGTCGTTTCACTCTACTCAACGCAGATGAATTTAGCCTGAGCAAGTGTTCATCTTCCACCTTGGGCCCTTCCTCGATCTGCCCATCTTGTCTCGCGTGCGCGTCATTTTTCTGACTATTATTACTTGCAGACCCGTGAACAGCGGAACTGTGCGCAAAAGACATTTTGATTTTTGGGTCGTACGTCGCACTTTTATTATCAAGATTAGCGTCATTGTAATCCATTAGGTCCGACCGTTTGATTTCCCTTTTGTGCGCGCTGTACACTTTTCTCGATTCCATTAGGTAAAATGGATAGTTGGCCGGGTTTCTAATGAACGTCGCCACATTTTTCACCGACACGTACATATCGTCGTCGACGAACATGTAAAACTTGGAGTTGCTACAGTACCTCACCAACCACTTGAAACTCATCATTGTCTTTATGGTATTATTGTAATACGAGTCTACGAAGTCCGCCTGTACAATGTCCTTGTAGATATCTGCCTCTAGTTTTAGTTTGGCCTCCACCTCTTCGTCACCTGGATGCGTGCCCACCACAAAAATAGTCCTAGCTGGCACATCGAAGAATCTCTTCTCAATCCCCCATGAATTACGTATAGCGGTTCTCCTATCAAAATTCTCCATAGCAGACTTTACTATATACACAAGACGAAGCGCGTCGTCCGCGTCTTCTTTACACTTTTGCGGCTGCTTCAAGATAAAAGCGTATCTGTACTCGTTTATAGGCTCGACCTCGGGTTTCTCGTTACGTCGCAGAGCGCTGACGAACTCGTGCACGTTGCCCTCGTACGGATACACAAAGTTTTCATCGTACGTGATCTCGAACAGGTGCACAAACGCTCCGAAAAATTCCAGTAGCGCTATCGCGCCGAGGCAGAACAGCATGTATCCCAATTTAACTTTCGACACGGCACGGCGACATCTTTGAAAATAAAGGCGGAATAAGTAGTACTCGAGCAGGTAACGGCACATCTTGTCAGCCGAATTTCCGCATAATATTCCGTGCAAACTTTCTCCCTCGAGTTCCCAGCCCTGCAACACACAATTTTATGCGTTCGATGTTTTCCTCATTTATAAAAACGCGACCCCCTCATACGAGTTCCTTAGAAATAACGCCCTTCATTTATCGTTCCCTCGACATTATTTCTGAAAGCACAGTAGCTACCAAAGGCAGCACGTAAATTCTTCTCACAGCAATAGCGTGCAAATATAATTTAATTGAATTAATGACAGAAGCCTACGCGCAGAGCTCGGACATGCAAAGTGGCAACTTACGGACTGTCGACAATCATTTCTCGTTCGGATAATACGGGAGAACGTGCGGGTGCCTTGTCATTTTAAAGATATAAATGCAAGGTGCAGCATCCTCCTTGTTTTCCTTTTTCCTCAACGCCATCTAACCGATCACTCTCGGGAATATATTACGAGTACCAGGGAGAAACCCGAGAGCAGCCACGCCGGCGTTCCACTTGGGGTGCTTTCGCGACGTAGGTCAAAATGATCTGTGCTATGATTGGTCAAATCTGAACTTTCGTAGCATCACATTGAAATTTTATTCAATGAAATTCCAGATTTGACCAATCATAGCACGGATCATTTTGATCCGGATTATTTTGACCTACGTCGCGAAAGCACCCGTGATCACAGAGTGCCGTGATGACCGTTTTCGCTCGGCTGATTCCAGCGCCATTTTCATTTTTCGAACTATTCCGCTACCACCACAGATGAGCTATCAAGTAAAGGCCTTCACACATAAAATTCCGTAAGGACGTAAAACGTAAGCGTAAGAAAATCAACAGGTTGGATTTGCTACTGCTTGCGTCATTGCCTTACGTTCTCGACTGTGATTGGTCGATTTTCTTATGCTTACGTTTTACGTCCTTATGGAATTTTATGTGTGAAGGCCTTAAAACGCCGGCGTGGCCGCTCTCAGGTTTCCCTCTCTGCGAGTATAATACGTACGCGTAGAAATGGATCGTGGCTCCTCTATAGGAAACCTGCTCCAACTAAAAATCCGATCACGTGCAGCGGCGAACTTGACAAAGTCAATAACTGCGAAAAGGTCTTGTCATTTTTTACGTCTCCCCGTTAGAAGGAAAAAAAAATCCTCGGACAATACTGCAAGATTTCGATATTTTTCAAATTATATTTAAAACGCAATTTAAATTGCACTGGGTTTTAAATATATAATTAAAATCTACATGACACGAGCAAACTGCAGAAAAGAAAATCGCGTTTATTTTATATTAACTCGTAAAAAGATTTACTATCGCCAGCAATAAAAACCAATGGTAGTTTATTGAAACGACCTACACTGGCCAATGTGTTTATTTTAAAAAAACTAACGACGTTCCCAGTGAGAAATGATTTGTCGATTGACGTCGAAATTTAACGACATCGAATCGACATCGACACCGTCGAATTGACGTTGATTCGACATCATTTCGACGTCGATCGACGAATCATTTCTCACTGGGTTTCGGTCCGGGATTCGGACCCTTCTCAAGTATTCTTTTTCACGCAATTTCCATTAATCACATATCGCTTGTTTGGCCAATATCGCTATGTTAATAAGATATTGGTCAAAAAACGATTGCACTCTTTGGTTGAAGAATGCAAAGTCAATTTTGGTTGCGTTGTTAATTCTGTGACACAAGTAAAAATGTCGAGTGTATTCGTCGATCGATGTCGGATCGAACGTCGGAATATTCTGAAATTAAAAATATTTGCACTCCAGAAGAATATTCATAGAACTATATGTATGTGCTATCTGGGTATATCTGTCTTTGTTTAATTTGAATGAAAAACAAAGACCTGTATATGATTTAACTATTAGTCGCCAAGAGGTTGGAACAGCCGGCCTTTAGTCAGTTATTTTTTCGGTTCTTTTTTCCCAAAGCGCTGGGCAAGATTGATCCTATCGCGGTCATCGCTCACACGCCTATTCATCTGTCGGTGTCGTGCTTGCGGATGAACCCAGTGACTCGGAAGGATGCACAGTTTGCGTTTTATTTCAGGTTGACTGGTCACCGATTGGCAATTCGATATTGAAATATTTCCGAGTACAATTTGCAAAAACGTGTATTCGTCATCATTGCATTAGCAATCTTTATGTAATAACAACGTTAATTATCTTCATTCACTTCGAGCGTTTATCAACTTCGACCTTCCCGAATCAATCTCTTGCGTAACTAATATATAAAATACACTTTTTCAGGTAAAAAATTCTTCACACATGAACATGAATAAATATATAGAATTATATAAAATTCTTTCTTTTCGAAGGAGACGACGAACACCTCGAAGCATTTGACCGCAACCATAGAAGGTGCATCGGTTGAGCCACAAGCAGGATCATCCTTATCTGTAGAAAGAGTATTAGAAATAGCCTGTCGTGAATGGCGCGAGACTCTTGAGTCCCGCTGTTGCGCTCTTCCTCGCAGTGAGTCGAAGAACCTCGCGAGCCAAAATTTCGGCGGCAATCATACATTCTGCGTGGGAAACAGTCGCACGGTCGCTCTCACGGTCTCCTTTGTCGCTCCGTTTCTATCTTCGGACTCCTCTGCTTTCGTCGCAATCGATCGTCTTGTACAAATAACTTTGTATCTTCTTCTCGCGCAGCATCGTCTTCGTAGGCTGCTTCCTCAAGTATCCCTGATAGCACATAAGTCTCAGTTATGTTGCAGTTATGTTGCAAAGACGTTTCAATGTCTTTGCAACATAACTGCAACATAACTGAGACATAACTGAGACTTGTTGTGCTATCAGGGATTATACGGATCTTCTTACGAAATCAATCTAGTAGTCATCAAATCAAACGTTCCGAAAAATCATGATCGATATCGATTCGATCATCGACTTGTGAACCCGGGACCATTCGGCGTAGTTGCCCGTCCGTGTGCCGACATTCGAGAAGGATGTCCTCCTGTTTTCCTCGCACGGAAATTCGCGGCTCATTCTCCGCGCATCGCGAATGAATTGCGAGTCCGTGTCGTTTCCGCGTGAAAACGGCGAGCTCCTTACCGCAGCGCGGCGTCTCGTTCCTCGGCGCCTCGGAGCCGCTCGCCGTCGCCGGTGGGTCTTTATCGATTGACCGAGCGGAAACGCGATCGGGCGAGAGAAATGTCTCTGACAATGTTTTCCGCTCCAAGGAATTAGCCACCGACGTCGCGGACGTGGGGACATCCTCCTTCGGCGTCGGCGACACCATCGATCGCTCCTCGTTACGAGCATCCGCTCACCCGGCGCCTTTCGACCCCGATTCCGATAATTTGATACCGCGATTATTAATCTCCATGTCGAGATTCCATGCATCGTTCATCCACTGTCATCTCGCTAGTCTCGTCATTGATGTCAGTCGCTTCTGACTGAACGATCTTCCGTATCGTTCGACGTGGACTTTTCCGGGGGAAGGAGCTTGGTTTTTCGGATCAGTTTTGTCCAGTTTTCCAAATTCATAAATTTTTTTAACTAATCGTTGAACAATGAAGACTATTTCTTCTTGCTATTTGTCTATACGTATGCATATCTCTCTTGTTTTAGTATCGAGTGTTGGAAGGCGATCTGTCGATTAAGCCTGATCTACAATGCGTTCTTTGCGCCTAGAAGCATTCTACTTTGTAGCCAATAAATGTGTCGAAAGAATTTGTGCACGTTTGATAAATTGTACATTGTGCATTGTACATACAATCGTACGTATTGTCGAATTTTTTAAGCGTATCGATTCGTTTATACAAATATAGAATGTTTCCAATCGCAAAAAGCACATTGTGGATCAGGCTTTAGAGATTGTGCGTAAGCACGTCATATTTTCCACGAAGATAGATGACAAATTTATTGTTCGCTCGTTTATTAACCCACAATCTTTCCGTATTGTTTTGCGCATACGAGATCGAGTCTCTCACCTAAAATTAGTTAATTAATAAGATTCATAAGGCTCTCGTGTGATAAACGCAAATTCGAAGGAATAAAGACTTTATTGCGAAAAATATTTTATACTTCGGCCAGGTTCATACCCTTTTTTGTGTAAAATTAGTTAATTTATTACTTTTCCTTGCGTCGCAATATCATATAATCGTGCTGTCTCAAAACCGCCGAACCCAATTGTTCCTCAAAGTTGCATCCATATATCAAATCTTTTTGAAATAAGTGGATTCTGTAATGCTCTTTAAATTTATTTTTAATTCGCATTGAATGGCATAACGCAACAAGATTGCTTGACATATAATTCTGGACAAAATAGCATAAAGTTCATAGGAGCAAAATTCCAGACGGCAATTTCTCCGTAGTGAATGACGGATAATTCTTTGACTGTTCAACTAAACGATATAATTTTTTTCCTCGATATTTTGTCTAAGATACGTTTTTTAGTGCTGGAGTCGAGATGAAAAATTTTACCAAAATTCTCCCGTAAAGAAGAATTTTTCATCGACAGAGTGCACGGCATCTCGTGTACCTATCCTAAGATCCGTAAGATGAAAATAAGAAGCTCGGGGTCTTTAAACATTCTTACATTTAATTTCAATATTCATCGACAGGACGGCAGGTCAATAAAATTTTTCGGTGCATTTTCTCTAATCATTACGGAGAAATTACAATCATGCTCTAAATGATAAAAAGAAAAGAAAACGACTATTATTTTTGGTACAACGCACAGAAAACTCGAAATTTCTCTTGTTCCTTCATTCCATAATTGCCATGAATCATTTAAATACGGTGTATTTACGGCACCGTATCAATTGCGATAATCAGGGTAGCTGTATAACTCGCAATATTCCTTAATAAGGAAAGAAGTAATGATGAAATGATCGAAAGACGGCGGCTTCTTAAAGAAAAAAAAAAAAGCTGATAAGAGTCAATCGTATGTTTTATGACATACGATAATCTTGATTAACTGCATTTTAATCTTTATTGCATAATCCGCATTATCTCCATGGCGAAGTATTCGTCCGTAAACAACAATTAATAATAGACCCCCCATTGTTTGTTCAAGCAGTTTGACCTTAATAAAAGGTTTAAGTCTATCATCTGCTCCGTGTTTAAATAAACCCCGTACACCTTGACGTTACCTTCCTGGAGCTTGCGCAGTTTATATTTTTCTGAGGCAAGACCCATGAGGTGGATATGCCACAGGTAAACCTGTTAGAGTCTATCATGTCTTTATTGAAAGTAGATTTGCAGCGGGCTAGAGCGAGAAGGGGAGAAACGAACGGAGATGTGCGTGTAAGAAAGACGCGAAACGTTAAACAGTAAATAGCTTCTTTACTGCTCGTCGACGGCACGAGTTCTTTAACGGCGATCTTAATTCGTACGACTAACAATCAACGGCGCGTACAATGCTGACAGGTGTGATCGACGGGTTCGTATATCGTTTTATAGTAAATCCTTCATCAGCGACCCATCGTTTTGTTCTACCTTGCGCCTAATTAAATATCAGTTGATTTGATCGAGCGGTGCGGGCCGTTCATTGCGAAGTACACCGATCTTAACAACTTCTTATTTTTGTCGACAATAATGGAGGAAAGTCCTCTATTATGAGGTAGGTTTCTAATATGAGAGAGAGAGCAAGTTTTCAACACCCAAATTCAATCGCGAATTTTGTCTTGCAACGATTACACAATCTTACAATGAATTTTCCACTAAACAGATTTAAGGACGACAAACGCCGCTATCTCATATTAGGGGACTTTCCTCTACCGTTACTTCTTTTCTACGATACGTACGGAAACCTGAAATGAAAATGCTTTTTGCAGTACTCAGTTGTGTTGCGAGGACAACAACTTTACTATCGGACGCATACCTATTGAAGATGACGTTGCTCGAAACCAGGAATCCTTGATATGGACTTGTTACGGTGTCATAGTCCCCATCATCTTAACCGTCGGCGTTTTCGGCAATGCGGCAATCCTTGTCGTGCTGTCCGACCCGATGTTTCGCGGTATCGCATACTTGTATCTCAGCGGACTCGCGCTGGCGCACATCGGCGTGGTCCTGTCTTGGATAACAATCAGTTTGTACAATCCGATCCCAACGCAGCGTGCACTGCAGAAAAAAAATACCGCTTGACTGAAGAAAACCATCTGTTGCATCGAATAATTTTTTTAAATTAATTTAACAGAACAGGACAATTGTATTTGGTTACACTCGACGCAGTTTGCCAATGCATCAGCGCGTAATTCTAGTTCGTTCGTTCAACTTGCAGTCTTTTTTTTCCTCAGTGCCCAACAGCGATTGTATAATAGGATGTTAATATAATTATATTTGTAACTACAGACAGATATACATGTTTCAGCGCTGAGATTGGGCTACGGCATGAGCAATAATTACCCATCAGCTTTCTACCATGCTCATCTTGAACTCGTTATTTTAAACGGCTTCTCGGCCGCCAGTGTTTTTATCATGGTCTGCTTAATTGTGGATCGATATATTTTTGTATTCTTCCCGGCGCGCATTCGCACCGGAAATGCGCGCAAGAACATCAATTCCTTCATACTGTCTTCTTTCATTGCTGGTTTCATGGTAAGCTGCTCTGCATAAAATAGCACTCTTATCTTTGGTCGAAAGATGCATTTAGATTTCTTTGTAGAAAAAATTGACATATCGAGCGATCTTTTGCAGTCTGATATTTTGCTGTAACAGGTCTTTGCTGTCGCAGATATTGTTATGTTCCATTTTCTCATAATTATCTGTAAATAATTATATCTATCTCTTAATTGCAAATCTTTTTACACATTTCTTAAAATTCCTTGTAAAGATATATTTATTTTTTTGTATTATTATAAAATGCTATATAAGATGTAATTTCTACTGAACGCCAACTATAACAATTATTAACGACGATTGTATCGTTGCATCCTCAATAATCTGCTACTAATATCATTATCATAATACCATATATTAGAACAATTAAAATCCACCGAAAAAATTAAAAAGTACCGGAAACCGACCCCTGTCAACGAGGTGGCTTCTAATAAACAGTAAAGATTCGTGTGTTTCAATTAGAAAAAGATTTTGCGGTGAGATTCCGAAAAGTTCTACAGAAATAGAAGCTCTATAAACCGGGAGATTTCTCTCTTAAAATTTATCCTGAAAATTATGTAATCGTGGGACAACATCGCATTTTGAAAAACTAGTAAACTTCTTTTCAAAACTCGTGAAGTTGTTCGAAATGCCATATTGTCTCACGATTACATAATTTTCATAAATTTTAAGAGAACATTCTCTCCGTGTACATTTACTCGGATGACACTTATCAGCGAATCTTCACAAGCGGATACAATAGGCACAATAATTTTATGTATAATAACGCACTATGTACAATATACTGTTAGATATATATATTTTATTCTATTTATAGATCAGTAGTCCGCTATCGGTTATGAGAATCGTTTATACGGAGCAAGATGAGTCCGGCACTTCTTTTACATTACGCGAAAATGTGGTCGTTACGCAAAATGTTATATGGAGAGCGTATATTTGGATTATACAGATCGTAGTGCGAATTTGCCCGTCGATCGTATTTATTGTACTGAATAGTCTGGTCATTAAGCGATTTCTACAACTGAATGTGCAAAGCCGACAATTCCACACCGTTGCAGACAAGTTTCGGACCAACAACACGCCCGACACATCGTTGCTGTCTCGCAATCGAGGATACAAGTATAATTAATAATTCATAATTAGGTTTTAGTTTAAAATAAAAAAAATTAGATATATATATATTATTATATTTCTGGTCTCGCCAGCGGTACTCACAAAAATCGCTCTTTGCAGAGAGGAGCAACACTTGGCGATATTGACGACAACAATGATTCTGTGCTTTTTCATAACAGCAGTTCCGCCAAGTCTCACGCCGATACTGTATACCGATCGTCATCCGTCGGATCTCGGTTACCAAACGTTCCGAGTGTATTCGGCGATCGTCGAGCTCAGCAATTATGCCATTTATATTCTCATATATCTTGCCTGCAGTACAGAATTTCGAAGCAAGTTTCTGCGAATTCTACAAGTGAGCTCGTATAGTCGCACTCGTCGATTGCGACAATTCTCATTTGAAAATCTCATTATAAATCGTCCAGAAAGCAAACTGTCCGCAGTATGACAACAGATTGGCAGTAGATTTGCTCAAATATCGCATCAGTATCTGCTCGCATTAAGTTCGTATTTTGTTGGCAAAACCTGCTATAGTCTAACAACGGATTATCGGTAGAAGTCGAACAAAAATATCTAACATTTCATGAACGTTTAAATAAAAAAAGTATATATATATCTATAATTGAAATGGTATAAAATGGTAGATTTTACTCAATTTCTGCGATCAGTCTGCATGAAGTCCCGTCAACAGATTTCATTGTATTTTTGCTGGCATTTGTATCGACAATATTTGCAACAGATACTTGCTAAATCTGTTTTCGACAGATTTGGCTATCTGTTATCATTGTATTACATGTTTAATAGCAACAATGAAAGATAACGTAAAGTTTCAATAGGCGCGTATTAAAGGCTCTCAAATGTAAGCATATTAAAAATTATAACCGCAGAGAAATATTCGTAATTAATGAGGGCACAATTGGATCAATTTTTGTGAACAGGGAAAGTGTAATGAAAATACGGGGCAGGACGTTGATCAGCCGATAGGCGAGATCGAGGATTACAGCCGGCACGGTACTACTGTTCGACTGACACCGGAACATACCAAATTGAACTCCCCCGAGTCGCCGACCAAGGAAACTAGGCTGGAGGAAGAAAATGCGCAACCGTCAGAAGCCACTGCTTTTATGTTAGAACGCCGTGTGATTGTATAATTGTAAATTGTATTTATACGTTGCGCATCGGGTGCAATCGATCATTTGTATTTATTCTATATATACATACGCATTGTATTTGTATTTATTATAGTATTGTACATTTTTGACGCGTATGTAATGAAACTCTATGTATCATTAATGGCTTCGAATTAATGTACGAGATTGTTTTATGTATTACAATTCTGTACTATATCGATGGTTTTGATTAAATATCTCAAATGATGAATCTTAATCTTATAATTCTGTTTTTTTTATATGAATGTATGCACAACGTATCTCACAATTTGTGACCGTAATGTTAATAACATATACTTGTGTAAAAAATAAGGCGAACATCCTAAGATAAAAGTGTCGAGACCGTAATACTTTTCAAACGGGCAGTATTTGCGTGTTCAGGGACAGTACATCGTACAACAAAAAAAGATGTGCCTGCGTTCTTGCTGACCCTTTATGAGATTGAAATAATTACATGTACAATGATATGTATTATAGTCAATCCAAGTTTGACATCTAAGGAATAATTCTGCAATTTTTGCGAGGAGAATTACACAACTTTTGCTATTTTTACTTAAATTATATTTCTGGTTTATTGAATTTCTTTAAGGCTCATACTAGCGGAATAAGTTTTTCTTTCATTAAAAATATAGCAAGATAAAGGAGAAATCAATGAACCTTAAATTTATAAGTAAGTTTTTCATTATGATTTAATTATCTCATACCCGGTGAAACATTTGTCACGCATGAGCATACGCATAAATATATAGCATTACATAAAATTATAAAACGTCAAATATGTCCATACATATTTTTACATTGTACATTTCTGTATAATTCTATACAATTCTACACAGTTCTATATAATTTTATAGATTTATATACTTAAAAAATTGCTAATTGTACACAATTATATATAACTGTAAATAACCAATTTTTCACATTAAAACATTTTGCTTACAAAAGCATGTATAAATCTATAAGTTATATAGAAATATACAATGTAAAAATATCTATATGGACATATTATATATATATATATATTATTTGATGTATATATTTTTATATAATTCTATTATTCATGTTCACGCGTGAACAATTTTTTTACTGGATACAAGTTAATCTATTCTTAACAATTATGATTTTTACCTTCAACTTATCTTTATTTTAAGCGCTTTTGACCTCCTTTTCTCAATGTCTAATTACACATCCGTCTTATTTTGAGTGCGGAAAGTGCAACGTGGCGCAGCAGCCAAAGGCACGAGCTTTCACTGCGACTACGCGAATTCTAACCTAACCTAACGTGCACCCGTTTCTCGCTGATAACAATTTATAACCTAGATCTGAACTGTCAAAGTGCAAGATGACATACATATATTAATTGCGTCGAATCGTAAAACATTCCTCATCTTAGTAACGTGCTGTTTTATGTAGCGGATCCAGGTATTATTTGCGTTTGAGAAACACCGTTAAAATACTCAATACACAAACAATGATAAAAAGTTGAAAGAAGAAAGTTCTAAACGTATAACGCGTCCGAAAGCTTGCAAGAGTTAAGCCCGGTCTACAGACGAGTTGTTAGAAGTCGGAACTACATGTCGATCCTTTACCTTTCTGGGTGGCAGAAAAAGAACCGACATACAGTTCTGACTTCTGACTAATGACCGGCCCTTATCGTATACCGATTGTTACCTTATTTTTCTAGTGGAGGCTTCATGATGTTCGAGTTGCCAGCAGAATTGATAGCTAAGCCCTTAGCTCTGATAGGTCTGACTGGATTAGACATTGCAAATCCGGTGCATCGTTCCATCTGGGATGCGTTCAGCAATAATCGCAGGCCGGATTGCGCAGCCGTTCAATTCAAGCTGCTCAGCTTGGCGCACGAATTTCCTACAGTCAAGCCGAAGGTACACTTGATAGCGCAACGTTCGCTGGGATACACTTGTGAAGAAAAGAATATTATTTGCCCACTTACTGTGTACCTCTGTACATTTCAGCGTAGCTCATACGAATGGTACATACCCAAAGGGATCCTAAAACGAAATTGGATGAACAAGTACCTCAGTGACATTCCGTCTGTAGTTGTTGTGTTCTATGACTTGGATTGGAATGATCCTCTATGGAATGAGAAGAAGATGGAATGTGCTTCTAGAGTCCAATCTTTGAGGTAACATTTTATACTCTGGATATGATTCGACGTTTGCTACGTTGTTGACGCAAACTGAGTAATACAATATTCTTTTTAGAGCTGCCCTCGACGGGAGGAGTACGAAGATAGCTGTAGTATTGATACAACATGCGGTTCAACCACTCCCTGGTGCCGAGGATGTAGTCGCGACTGAGCGTGCGACTGCGCTGTGTGGAGCTTGTGATTTAACAGCAAAACTTTTGTACATCCTGCCGCACGCTGATCACTTATTGGGATATATATCCAGGTTTTTGACCTTATAATTTTTCATCCCTTTAGTTTCTGTTTTTTCTTACGGAAATAATAAATTTTGTTTATTGCAGACTAGAGACGGCGTTCTACGACTTGGCGCAAAACTTTTACCACCACGAATATCGGAATGTCAAAGGTCATCGCGATCAACTCACCAAGAATGTCCATCAGTACTTATTTGTTCGTCATCAATTTAAAATGGCATTCTTGAACGAACTCAAGCAAGAGCTGCATCTCGCGCAAAAGTAAAATTAAAAATGTGAACAGCTGTGTGTTGCAGTGTGTGTATACATGTATGTATGTATAAATGTTTTGCAGGCATTATATGCAAGCCTACCACAATCTTCTAGAAACGAGAATGACGGATGCGAATGCAGTGGAAATAAAAACTGTTGCTGGCTTTATAAATTATAAGTTGTGCAGAATAATGTTTAATTTGAATCTTCCAAAAGATGCTATTTCTCAATTTAGACTTCACACAGAAAGGTACTAATGTTCAATGCAGTGATGTGTCAACATATTTCATTTTAACGATAATGATTAACTGATATTTATTGTTAGATTTAAGCTAAAAATCGGTCCGAAGGAGCTCATTTTTGAACACCATGCTTGGATGAGTAGCCAATTCTCTACATTTGCAGAACTGTTTGACGAGGCCATTCATCAAGGATTACCCGCTGTTCAAACGCAACATCCGGGATATTATTTCCAATTAGCTGCTAATCACGCGAGTTTACGACAATCCGCGTGTAAAGAACTCTGTCTGGTACTAGATACTGTAGTTTCTTGACAAGTACATCCATGCTTTCTGTTATATCACTTGAGTTTCAATACTATTTTAGCATATAAACAGCTATCCAGATCCGGATCCATTACTGGGTGAAGAGAAACTCGAATTTTATGGGCAACGGCCGTGGCGACCTGGGAAATTAAGCGCAGAACCAGCAGACACGGCTAGAGAAGCTATCGGTATACAAGCCTTACAATATAGGGAGAAGACTGCGGTTAATCATTCTGTAAGATAATTTATACATACATATAATACAATAAATACATACAAGATAAATTATATCTTACATATATTTACATACATATATCTTTTAGAGAACATGTGATAAATAAATTGTTGTAAAACATTTGCATTCTTTTTTCAGATGATAATTATCGGTTTACTGGGAAATGCGATATCGCAATTCAAAGTGTACCGTTGTCCAAGAATGCGGCGATTATTAGGTATAACTTGCCTTTGAAAATTTAAAGATAAACATTACTTGTAATACGCTCATAAAATACGCAAAATTTCCTTTCCCCTTTTTTTCTTACAGTCGTGCAAATGGCAGAGGAATACTTTAATGCTAGAGATTATGGCAAAGTTCTTACGTAAGTTAATTCATATAATCTTTTCTCTCTGCCTGTAATGAAAGCCTTCGGCAAAGTCATCGATTCTTTCGTTATTTTTCTTACACTGTATTTGTGCGTTAATCGTAAAATTTGATTCATCAGATTATTGATGCACATGCTGTGGGAATATCATGGAGAACGATGGCCGGTCTTACTCACAGATATCTTAAAGAGTGCATTGCGAGCCGCTTATTTGTCGACCAGTATTCAAGACTATCTTACTCTGGCCTTTGAAGCTTTAGGGCCTTCAACTATGTTCTCAGAGGAACGACAAGCTGTTATTTATGATAATATCATGAATATACTACAGGTTAGTTTGATGAAACGTTTATGCGTTTCATTACTGGCTACATAATATAATACTCATTGTATAAGTAAATGAAAGTTTATTTTATATGAAAATTTACAAAAAAAATGGCTTTACCTTTGATAACAGAAGAAACCGCCGAATCCAGAACCAGATTTGCCAGATGATATTAAGCATCTTGCCATGGAGAAATGGACGCTGGAACTCAATCGTTCGGAGCCAAATCTTTTTACAATTGATGACAATAACATGACATCGTTTGTCGATCTCAAAGCAAGGTTTCTGCAACAAACGTATGCGGTGAACACAATGATAACGGTGGAAGTTATCGTAAGGTATTTAAATATATCTTTACACGCAAAAAAATATAGCTTTTTAAAAATCACTGGAAGTAAGTTTTATCTTTTACTGCAGGAATTCTTACCGCGATGTTATTGTATTTTCTAATGCATCAATGACAGTCAGTGGGCCAGGTTACAATGTTGACATTCCAATTGATGAGGCTCAACAGTCAGACCTTATTTTTCAACCGAAGGAAACGAAAAAGTTTCACTTCAACTTTAGAGCGCCTCATCAAAATGATGGCGCAGAAATTCGTATTAGCACAGTTTCTTTACAAATGGGTGATAGCGCGCATTGCTGTATTTTATTGAGATACTCAGCTATGGGTAGAGAAACAAATTTGTTGGATCGTTTGTATCCTGAAATACAACAACTTCGGTACGTTTATAGAAGCTTCGTACAATATCTTAGTATCCATTAATTGTGTCAAAAGAACTAACATAATTTTTCTTTGCATCAGTGGCGGCGAGTTTGAAGCAATAAGACCGTTAATTCACGCGGAGATTAAACAGGAAGAATCGAGTTTAAGTTTAGACGCAAAATCCAACAATCCTGCGCTCATAGGCGAGTGGCTACCCATCACGATATCCCTATCAGCTAAGGAGAATGTTAATGCAGTCAGTTTATGTGTAATACTTGTATCGGATGGTAGCAACGAACAATCAAGTATGCTTTCATAGTATTTTATATTTTTTTCTTGATTATTTTTACGTCCAATTGTGTGATATCATCCATTTTTCTGTTAACTAAGCTGTTCTACAATATATTTCAGCTGAATTAAGCGTTAATATGCTTAGTAAAGAGTCAAAAATATCTATTACTGTTGGCGATATAGTAAGAGACACCTCAATCACGAATGTTGTGTATGTTAGAGCACATAAAGTAGGTGATAGAAATTTTATAATAAAGGTAGGCACTTACAAATAATTATCCCTATAAATCAACTTATTATAATATTAGAGGAAAGTCCCCTATTATGAGATAGGCTTCTAATACGAGATAGCAGGTTTTCAATATATAAATTCAATCACAAATCGTTTTTCGCAACAATTACATAATATAACAATGAATTTTCCACTAAACAAATTTTACTCCAAGGGCAATAAATTTATAACGGGACCAACAGATTATGCCTATTAATTTAGCAAAAACTCTGCTATTTCATATTAAGAATCTATCTCATAACAGGAGACTCCTATGTTACTTACTATGATTATATGTAACAGGCGGACTATACTAGACCCGAACAAATTAGGGGAACCAAAGAATTAACATATTCGTTGGTGGTTAAGAAACCATTCGAAGTTGCAACACAATTTTACACTACGCTGTTCGAACCACTTACAAAGGGTTTCGTTAATGAATCTTTTATCATTATGCCTCATATTACATGTGTTTCCCCACGGCCTATAAATATTCTAAGTACATCTATAGAATTGGTAAATCTCCACAAGAAATTGTATATAAGTTTGCGTTTGGAAAGTTCGAATGTTGTGATACATTCAAGTTCGTAATTAGGCGGATTCCATTCAAAGAGAGAACAGTCTCGACAACCAGGAGTCCATTTTAGCGGGTATTAAACTCTGTGATGGTGAGACAGGGACTGACGCCTATTGCTTGATCCCAAAGATAGGTGGCGAGCAGCCAATTAGTATTGGAGTATATACTATCAAATGGAAAAGGTAAAGATAACTGTTACGATTTATATTACAGTCTGTAATCTTTGCTATTTTCACAGAGCAAATGATGAAACCGCATTAGAAACCAGTAGTAGTGTAACTTTAGCTCCTTTGTGGGTCGAAGATGCGGTGATCGGGCTGGAAGCCAAAATGCCAGCCCAGGGATGGGTTCGCACGCCATTCTGTATATCGTATTTTATAAAAAATCACTCTGATTACCTCATCACTTTGCGTCTAGCTATGGAGGGTAGCGACGCCTTCATGTTTGCTGGGCAAAAACAAGTATGTGATTCATGTGCTTATATTGCATGCAGTGCTAATGCAATCATCTTATTGAACTTTTTTTTCCAGGTTAATATTTACATATTGCCTAGAAATGTTCGAAGAGTTGATTGGGTTTTACGGCCACTGGTCGCCGGTTTTGTCGCTCTTCCAACATTATCGCTAGCTGTACCTACAGGTAATAATATCTGCTATATACAGCGAGCTCTGTAACATATTGGAGTGAGTGATCTTATTATTGCCGAGAGGTGCTGTTGGGTAAATCTCTGTCTCTTTCTTTACTATCTGATTGCTTCACGATTTTCTGTCTTACCTTACATGACTGAGATAGAAATTGTAAGATCGAAAATCATCAACTAATCACATAAGAAAGAAAGAGACAAAGATTCACCCAACAGCACTCTCGGCATTGAGAACAATGGGAGACAGTAGGACCACTCGCCGCAGCATGTTATAGCGCTTACTAGAATAATTTAAAGAGTTTTTATTTGCATTAATCGATATATCACAAATGTACAGACGAGGAACACAAACTGGGTAAAGGACGACTGTCGGAAATGATTGAACGTTCATTGCCGAGTCATATATACATATTGGTAAGGATAAAAGTTACATATTAATAAAAATGTTTTAATAACGCTATATTATAATATGGTTTTGCAGCCGAAATCGCAGTCTTTAGGAGAATAAATGAATTCGACATTGGGAGCTCTTCCTTCTAAAGAAGAAAAAATATATATATCTTTCCTTAATCAAATTGTATTATAATAGTATAATACACATTTTGCACAGACAGTTGAAGCTAATATGTGTACCATATTTATTAGAGTCGTGAATATACATTTTTCGTGGATATAATTTATTTAAATTTTATCATTGTAGTTTTAATTAAATGCCCTAAGATTATAATATTGTAAATTTTTAACAAATACTCATTAAATAGCAATCATATTACTATCGCGTCACAGTTCGTATATAGATATCGATCGTTTTTAAGAGCATCGAGAAACATTACGTTACCATGGAAACCATACATCTGTATGATATGCTAGTATTGCTAGTAAACGTGCAGCAATTTTCCTTCTCCTTTCCGTTCCTTTATTACAGGATCGTTTTAGTTGACAATTGTAAAAACATTACTCGTGAATGAGTATCGATAATTGTGGACTCGTACGTGTACAGTGGCCCGCAACGGTTCCGATAAATGGCGAGAAACGGCAGTGTTGATATTGGAAGTGTTTTTGACGAATACCTGCAAAAAGAACAGCAATTTGAACAAGAAATAGAAGAACGGTATATTACGCTGAAATCCAATATTTTCTGCTAATAGTATTTGTGCGTATATGTATATCCTTTTTTTATCAACAAAAATTACGTTATCTCTCACTTTATTTTACAGCAATAAATTACGTCGCGAGATTCGCAGTAGGAACATTTCTAAGGCTTCTGACTCATCACCGACCAATTTGCCTTTAAATTTGGAAAAATCTCGCATTCGCAATCAGGCTCTTCTAAAGGTTTGCTACAACATACTTTTCACATAAAACAAAATATGAAAGATGTAGAAAACTTGTTGAAAGCAAAATTGTAAGTGCTGTATAGAATGTAGAAGATATATACAAACTATGTAAAGCACATATCTATTTTTAAGTAATTTTACTGATAACTTCTCATATAATGTTATTCAGGTTATCTGTCCCATTTTGCTATATTTATCGTAAAGTTACTTTAAACAGCTTATATTCAGAGTAGAATTCCAGTTACAATTTCATGTAATATAAAAAAGCAGAATACACGCATATAAAATATTAGGATTATGTAAAATTATAAATAATTTCTATCTTGAAATGCGACATCAATTATGGACGTCGTATGTATAAAACGGACTTGATTTAATATTGTTGATTATAAAGCTATCATATTAAAATTCTTGAATGTAAAAGACCGGTATTGTAAGATATGATACAAGATGTTTGTATAAGTGTACGTATTCACCCTCGCGCGTGCGTACGCACACAAAGTATTGTATACTGAATAATAGAACATGTGCGAATAAAATTGGGAATTTGTGACATATTCTTTTTGCCGCAGGATTTGGAGATGTCTAGAGCACGTCTGAGAACTTACGCTTCTTACACGCCTACCGATGCGGAATTGCAGCAGATTTCGTCGGCCTATCGAAGTCATCTTCGGAAAAATATCCAGGACACGGAACCACGATAAACTCATTTCCTCGTAGTCGGTTGTTCGGCAGCGATCTTGTCAACCTGATAACTCGAGCCGAACGAACAAACTTACAAATGAAAAGTTTGTTGATCGTTGGGATCGATGGATCGGGTTGATTGCTGCATGGTCTATTTTGTGACGTGGCTACTTCTCCGTGGGTCAAGCGACGTGAGAACTGATCCGTAAAATGTGCGAGAGCACGAGCACGATACTTTTGCGCACTTCCTTGCCACGTGGTTGCCACAATCGGGGTCGAGTTATTGCAAGCAGCGGCTACCATTTTTGTAAAGTAAAATAAAGCTAGTTGTCGAACAAACTCTGCCGTATTTTACACGATTATGTATCGTCGTCGCTCATAAAATAATTATCACCACATACGGCAACGCATTACATTGTAACTCGTACAAGTGTCGGCGTGTAATATTGCAAACGAATATGCTCGCGGTCGACTTGTTACTTTCGAGCGAAATATGAGTCGTAGACTGAAATCTAACAAAGTTAATTTGCATTCTAATCTACTCGTTCAAAGGTCTCGGGAAGCCTAATTATAAAGGCAAAGGCGTTACTTCTTCTTTTTCAGGACAATCGTGTAGCGATTGTTCGAGCTTACCCCATAAGACAGGCCGATAGATCGATGGAATCCACGAATCTTCGTATCCGACGCCGTCCGGGAGCTTCTCGAGGAATTGCGCGCGGGAGGACGCGTAAGGAGGGTGCGTGGACAAGTGGCGAACGGTGTCCACCTGCGCGCTCACGTGTGCCATATTCATATTTATTTTCTATGTGCGACGGCATTATCGTCGTCGATAATTACCGGCGTGCACAACGTGCATACACGATAGGACGGCCACGTATCCAGAAATTGCCCGATAAGGCGCTCGGGGCCAGTAATTCGCCGGGAGAGCTCGCGTTTTATTTTAAGCCGCTGCCTTTTTACACACGACGAGAACTCGCAAACGTCGAATCCCGATGTCTCCCCGGACTATTCATTTCGCAGGCGTGACTTCTCCGACGTTGAATTCGCCGGCAGATTGTAGTTTTATCGCCGGCCTCGTCACACGAAATGGCTTTTCGTACTTCGATAATGCGCAATTTATGCAAATTATCGTAGAAGTCGCGCGTCCTTGCTCGTAGCTTCACTTACCTTTCGCGCTTTCGGAAAATACTTGGGGGACACGTTGTTTGTGAGCAACGTGCAAACGTTCTGTCCGTCGCAGAAAATTCTGAGGGACTGAAAGGCGCACGAAATGAAATGCGTTTTCGGGATGTAATTTTGTATCTCTACGTGGCGTACAGCCGTAGCAGCTGAGTAAACGGAATAATGCTGTGACTTCTTACTTTGACCATCGTGACGCCCGTAAACATCTGTATCAATAGCCTCATTATCTCGAGGATACCATTCCTTTCGCAATTTGGTCAGGAACCCCGCGACATTCCTCACGGATGTGTTAATAAATTAACATTTTAATTAATTTAGATCAATTAATTTTTCTTAAAACAGAAATAGAATAGAGATCACATATAACTCGCTTTTAGAAAAGTTAAAATCATAATTTAGATAAAAGATTAAAACCTGACAAAATAAAACCTACATGCACAAATGTCGTATAATGCCCGCTTCTTAGTTGCGAATATAATGAGTGTACTTGAAACATTATGTCACACAGACACTCGCACTTGTCCATTTACATTGTATACTTGTACAAGAAATTTCCGGACGCTTTTAAAATTATTGTAACATCATTGTTAGTTTTTTTTTTTCAAATTGCTTTCAACGTTTCCTAGGAATGTGCGTCTGGCGTCAGTTACTGTTTCTTCACCCCACAATCTACTTCATCCCAATAATTCAATTGGGTTCAGGTCAGATTGGCATTGCACGATTTCCTCAGATACCTCGTTCTTTAACAGATAATTTTGCCAGTTTTGAGCTGTGTTTCGGATTAGAAACAAAAAAAAGGTAATTATATATTTTTAGCAATTATTAAAATACAATTAAATATTTACAGGTATCCAGAAATATTTGGCTGGCAGTGTACAGCCTTACTTAGGTTCTTCGAAATCGTTCGAAATTATTTCTACGATTCTCTTTGCGCAGTGCTACAAACATATCACATTTTATGAATTTATCTATCTAGAGCGCGTGTCGTGGATCACGATTTTAAGCCACTAAAAGACATTTTATGGGATTGATATAGACTATCGCGTTTCCTCATGTTTGTCTGTCCGACTGTGTAAGTGCAAACCGGTTCGTTTTATTTCACTACCTGCCTGTCGAGCATTAATGCATTATTGCTGCCGTTAGTATTCATTGGAAGATAGATGCGTAACGTTCGCTGTCCTTGGTCACCAATGTAAACCAAGATGTTTATATAGATTTTTTATTTCATTTTCCTCTTCGTAGCAAACTCACTAGTAAAAAAAACTCAGGCTTTATGTTACATGCTACAGGTAAAACAAAAATCTGAAAACGTAACGCTTATTATAACTTATATATTATGTATATAATGACTTGTGTACGGTATATTTCGTTCTTATTCACGTAATAAAATCACATGTTTTTCATTAATTAACATTTAAAATTCGTTAGCAACTTGACGAAAATTATTTGCAATTCTATAGTAAAACAAATATTTTTTCAATTTTCTTTACCAACATGTTTAAAATGTTCTGAAACATCGAACCACTACATAAAAAAAAATATCGGTATGTATACGCACATACATATAAAATACATTAGTGCTTAAAAATTTAGGTCGAGCTCTCCAAGTTTACCGAAGTTAGAGCGACCGCGGGCATTTTTCGAAAAATTTTCTGTTGACATAAAAACAATTTAACCCGATATCTCAATCTTTACAAAAGTTAGCGCAACCATTTCAACGTGATTTTTTTTGTTTAGTTGAATATTAAAAATTACGGAAAATTTATCCTGTGAATAATTAATACATGTACAAGAATACTAGGATAATTATGAGATAGTATGCACTAGTACAAAATGGTTTTATACTAGTACACCGGTTTAGTCAATTAAGCACATATTATGCATAAAAGATCTTTTTATGAAATAAATTACATGAAGTCATCAACATTAAATAATAATTTATTTACTATTACGTAAAAGCGACACTAGACAATGTTTGACTAATGGCCGATTTTTTCACTTCCCGATAAAATTATCCGGAGGTTAATCTCAGGTTTTATGGCCGATTTTTTCACTTCCCGATAAAATTATCAGGAGGTAACCAATCTCAAGTTTTGGCCAATCACGTGCATGGATCTGGTAGTTATCTCCCGTTTAACTTTAACCGTAACATAACTGGATGTGAAGAAATCGGGCATTAGCCAATCATGTGCATGGATCTGGTAGTTGATCTCCTGGTTAACTTTAACCGCACCATAACTGGATGTGAAGAAATCGGGCATAAATGTAATTTGTAACATACAATGATCATATTTTATGTGACATTTGTATGCATCTCTTAATTTTTGCTTATCACAGTACCGATTGTTACACTAAAGCACCCTACTTCCACATATGATAGTAAAATAATAACTTCATTGTTTCTCTTAAATTGATTACTATTTAACTTATAAAATAACACATTTTCAAGGAAGTTATTTGTGAATTACGAGACTATTTGTTCAAAATTTAATAAAAATGCACAAGCGTGGGTGCAAACATACATGTATCAAACATAAGTACAATCTTCCGTTAATTTATACATTCTAAAGAATTTCATTTACCCATTTTTCACAAAAGCTTAAGTAACTGCAATTATTAATAAACGATATTAATATTAATCCTGTAGAAAATTTTTAATTATAGGCGCAAGTTTTTCAGGCTCATTCAAATGTACGTGGTGCGTGCCTTTCACCTCGTGATACTCAAATTTTCTAGCTCCTAGTTTTATGATGTCTAATACTTTCATATAATTTTCTGGTTGTTCAAATTTCATTCCAGGAACAGCGCGAATGTTGAGGTAAGCGCATTTTATTTGAGATGCGTATTCAAGTACTAAATCTAGAGACAAAATACCTAAAAAGGAGACCTGAAAAGGAAATGAAATACTTTTAAACAATATCAACATATTACTCGTAAAATTATTTTTAAAAAAACCTGTAGGTTACAGTCTTAATTTTTGCTAGATAACATATTGCACAATTAATTAAATGTCCTTACCTTTAGTCTTGGGTCACGAGAAAAATAATATTTGTCCTTTTCATATGGTTGCATACCACGTTTCATTAATATTTCGGCTCCTTCTTTTGTTATAGAACCGTTATATGCATTTTCAACTATATCGAGCATTTCGTCATGTTCGTAGCATGGCATATTGTCCAATGTTAACAATTCGTATTTCAAAAATTTATCAATGTATTCGCCAGTGAGCGGAGCCATTTTCTTGACATCCCTTACGTACGGACTAGCGATGTCCAAACTTATAATAGCGTCGACCTCATCTGGATATGATGCTGCATACAGAAATGATATAGCACCGCCCAATGAGTGTCCAAGAAGCTTGACCTATTTCCACAATACAATCGAGTTACAAACTTATATTAACTTAATGGATATACAATATACATTGTATTTGCGTGCAACATTATCTTTAGTATTGTTACTTTAATATACACAAAATTTTTTAAACACATATAATGCACGTGATTGCAATATATGTTAAAATATTCACGTTAACAAAAGTCTCACTTATTAAGAGACAAACCATGCAATATGAGGGTAACACAAATATAAGTGCAATTCGAGGTGCAAACAAGGGTGACTGTTAAATATGTATGAGACTACGAGAGCACACAAGTATCATAGCGTTGCAAAAGGAATTTAATTTGTAGATCTCGATTAAACAGAGAGTGGATAAACTCATCCACTCGCTAACCTTATTCCATTTGAAATGTCTAATGACTCTACGAAGGAATATGACACCGTCCCAATAGACATAATAGAATTGACTCTGGGGATAGTGAGAGGACAGACCGTGCCCCGGCATGTCCAAGCAAAGAACAGAAACGTCATCGGACAGCAATGGCATTAACATGTCAAAACTGCCTGCGTTATCCTGGCGCCCGTGTAGTGCCAGTATCGGTTGGAGCTCGCTAGGGCCCCACCATTTACCTGCGGGCAAGAGTCCCACAATTATTCCTCTATTTTACTTCATTCTCTCTAACTTCAGGACATTTCATCAGGGCGCAGATCTCGCTCTTACCAACTCGCAGCGATTTGTTAAACGAACCGAGGTGAATCATGTACACTTGAAAATGCAACAAAGTTACAGCTGAGTTAAGAAGCTTTTCTCCCTCATTATTTAAGGATACAATGTAAAACATAATGCTCAGTTATACAACGATACTCCGCATAAGCGATACCTTTTAAACAATCAACGTGCTAGTATTCAAGTTTTAATATTTATATCGCGCATCACGCATACATACAACAGTCAGCCTTTGTGAATATTTTACTAATAATTATAAAGTAACCAAGTGCAGTGCGGATATTAAATAGCGAATTTAACAATGTGTTATATCTTCGCGTTGAGCTCACGTACAAACGAATATTATTGCAAACTGCAGATATTTCAAATTAAAGTAACAAATTTACTGGTAGCATTATTTTCACATACTCCGCAAGTTACACTGCAATTGCATTTTAATTTCTGCAAAACAAAGTTGGATAAAACCCATGCTACTGTCAGTCTTGTAGATCACAAAAATGAAAAGGAAAGAGATTTATATCGCTGTATAACAGTGGCTCGCTGGCTAACCTTGTTCCACTTGTAATATTTAACAATTCTACGCAGCACGACAACCCCGTCCCAAAATATATAGTAGAACTGTCCGGGTGGCAGGTGAGAGGAAAGGCCGTGACCAGGCAAATCTACGCTCAGTAGAGCTACGTTCGGCAACAATTGCGCCAGGCCGTCAAAAGTCCCCGAATTGTCCTGCCATCCGTGTATCGCCACTACGGGCTGCTTATCTGCCGGTCCCCACCATTTTCCTAAATTTATCAATACGTTGAAATTTGACGTGACATTTGTCGTGCCGCTGCGCGGGCTTTTATTGCCTCTTAATCTATGCGCGCCAGCGCCTCCGATAAGCTAATTTCGCGACAATATTTATGAGATGCGGCAGACGTCCTTCAAACGCACAATGTTTCGATTCTACGAAAGCGCGAAATGTGCGGTACGCGCTATACAATTGTCTCTCCGTCTCGAGGCGCCGATATATATAATTTACGAACGAGCTCGGAGTACGCCAGGCGAAACCTGCACTGACCTCTGATGTGGCCCCACGGCATCGGTATCTGCACTTCCTTGAAATCTGCGGAAAAAAATCACATTCGATTGTACACGCAAAAGGACCAGGACGCGGGCGCTTGTAAACACGCGCGAGGGTAGGCGTCGGGGAACTAACCTTCTCTCTTGTATCCGTTCGTGGCACTCTCGGCCGAGCTCTTTCTCTCCTTGACATCCATGTCGGCGTGACGGTTTCCGATCGGAACTCTGTAAGACCTGCGGATCTCGCGTGTGTCAACGGGGCTGCAAAGAAAGGGGCCGATCACCTGCTCGGGCCGCGCGAGAAAGTGGCTTGGGGAGAGTCGGGCTTCGGTTTTGCGAAAGCGGCCCGCGGGGAAGGCCCGTCGCGCCGAGTTTCCCCTCGGAAAACTCACGTGTCCCGTGCACTCGGCGGCGAGTCCGTCCGCGACGGAGGAAACGTCCTTCTCGTCACCTGTTTTCTTGCGAAATGCAAAGATTTCGTAATCATCGTGCCTCAAATGTCACATTTACATACGTTACGACGACTGGTGCGGCAAGCCCAGCGAGAGAGATCTTACTCCACGTTGCTCCTTCAGTCTCTGCAGAGCATGATTCTCGATATTTTTCTGGCTCGACGACCTTGGGGAGAGCAAACACGGCCTGGCGTGAACGACTTGCAGTGCTTGCAGCGGTTGCAGCCAGTTGCAGCCCGTGCGTACCCGACGTCTCGTGGCGGCGTGACGTTCAACGGCGTGACGACACGCCGCGGCGGCAGCCAATCGCGCGGCCACGTCACGTCATCGACGGGTCCGGCGTAGGCCGCGATTGGCCAGCCGCCGCACGCGTGGTCCGTGTGACGTGCCTTTTAAATCGATTCCTATTTTGCGTGTAGACAGGCACGTGGGGAAGAAAGGGAAAAATAACAGACGCGTTTAAGAAAAACAGAAGAGATAAGTAAGGAGGGGGGGGGGGGAGGGGAAAAAGCGATCAAGCGCGATAGAGCGTGCACCGCGAGCTGTTCCTGCACTGGTGAACTAGTGCGGTAAGCTAGAGTGAGAAAAAAATATGCTTGTGGTACTCTAATATAATATAGTTCACTAATGTAGGAACAGAGAACAAGTGCGTGTGTTCCACGGAACCTGCACTAATTACATCGCACTAGTGCAGCTTTTATAGAAACCTAGCGCAGCGCTGGTGAGCTGCACCATGTTTTTCCCGTGGAAACGGCTATAAATTTCGTAGTCGTTTATCGACGGCACGGTCTTGTATAAGACCGTGATCGACGGACAGCGAACAGTAATCGTCTGCTAATCGTCTATTCGCGATCGCTTAATCACGGCACCTTTGCCCTACTCGGCTAATATCCGTATTCATAGTCGTTCCTCAATTCTCAAGGTTAGTCTGTCTTTGTCTCGCTACTACGTTTTACCATACGCGAGACAAAGACAAACTACCCTTGAGAATTGAGGAACGACTATGAATACGGATATAAGTCTAGCGCAGGTGTCAGATGTCAATTCCCAGTGAGAAATGATTCGTCGATCGATGTCGAAACGATGTTGATTGACGTCAATTTGACGGTATCGATGTCGATTCGAGTAATCACCGGACAATCTGCAAACGAAGTACACTCTGAAACGTGAAAAATTATCAACGTTAGATCGGTATTCACGGTTTCGGATCTTATATTCAAGACCGTCTTACGGCCAATGAAATGTTCCATACAACAATCTTTAGATAAATTCAAGACTGCCTTGAATATAAGATCCGACTATAAAGACCGGCCTTGCTCATTTAATGTCGAGACTAGTTCACAGAGGTTATACGTGACATTTTGGAAAGTTTTTTTTTCAAAATATGATGAACCATTCATGAACAATTGGGCAACTTCAGCTTAAAGCCAACGGCACACGATACTATTTTACCTACTGGATTGCTTACGAGAGCCAATCAGGATTCAGCTTTGAGTCACCTGATCGAAAACTCTGCATCCTGATTGGTTCTCGTAAGCAGTCCAATAGGAAAAATAGCACCGTGTGTCGGTGGCTTTAGATGTCCGACAACACTGCCGTAAACAGTCGTAAGGGAGAAGAAGAAGAAGCTGTCGCGATGAATGACGAGTGTATAGTCAAAACTGTTCTTCATGCTGGATCAGAAATTATTAATTTTGTACCAGGGACAAAGGTGCGTGCTGGTTATCTTTTCCAGTTGGACAAAACTCGGGAACTTTGTTACGAACGCGACTGCTGGTTTTGTTCTAGGTTATATTTCACTTCAGAACCGCCAAATGTGACTTGGACAAAACGGTGATAGACGACAGTAGGACGATGGGGAGCCCAATGGAGCTCATACTAGGAAAGAAATTCAAATTGGAAGTGTGGGAAGTAATTTTGCAGAAAATGGCGTTGAACGAGGTCGCCTGTTTCAAAGTGCACAAAAGTGTATGTTTCCGATACTCGCTGCTCACAGCCGCGGCCACCCAATGCGGGGCGTACGTTTACGATGAATCCTGTTTCAGCTAGTGACCACATATCCTTTTGTCTCCAAGACATTAAGAGAGGCCGGCAAGCCGCAGTCGCAGAAGCGCAATCACCACTGCTGCGGCGTCACCCTCCAGAATGAGGGCATTGGCTACGCCGATCTGGACGAACTCATCAAGTGTCCTCAAGATCTGGAATTTACAATAGGTACAGATTAGAGAGTAACCGGAGAGTCGACAGCTCGCTGACCGCTGATTGACCGAGGGCGTTAAAGCGTCCGTGGCGAGGAGCAGTCGCGGAGCTGTGTGCCTACATGTCGAATATGAGGAGAACAATTGACTACGATTGATCATTTTCTTAAATCTTGTGTCTTAAAATTTCATCGTAAATGTTGTATAATTGTTCCTTAGCACTGCGATCGTATCTCTATAAAATTACTAGACATACATTTATGCTCAAGTCTTGACATATTATTCTTGTCAATTGTTTGTAAGATGAAGAAAATGCCTTCTTGTATTTTTTTCATTATTTTAAAGTGAGTTCTCGAGAAGGTATACATGATTTTTCTCTTCTCTGAGCCACGGCGCCCTCAGCCAATCAGCGCGCGATTACCGAGTTGTCGACTCTATGATTACAGGCTCTAATACGAATGTAATATATACACCTTAAATTTCGTCAGAACTTGATAAAAATCTTTGACTACATTACATTTATCTGTCTTTTTCGCAGCGTAAAAATATAGAGACGGGTTTTAAACAAATCTAGGAAGCAACAGGACTAACAAAAAAAAACTCTTGTACTTTACAGAGCTTATCAAAGCGGTATTGCCGAATGAGTACGAAAAAGAGTCGTGGCAAATGACAGAGGATGAGAAACTTGAAAGCATCCCGCATCTGAAGGAGAAGGGAAATGCTTTGTTCAAAGAAAAACAATATGATAGCGCGTCTGAAATATACGCGAAGGCGATTGGGATGCTGGAACAGCTCATGCTAGCGTAAGTCCTGGAAACTCGACTTTGTGATTAATTGTAAGGCACAAGATGAGGAACGTGGTTACACTGTGTATCGCAATAAATTAACGCTTGGATTTTCAGCGAAAAACCCAACGACGAAGAATGGGTATCCTTAAATCAAATGAAGATACCATTGCTTTTGAACTATGCGCAATGTAAGCTGCTAAATAAAGAATACTATTTGGTTATTGAGCATTGTACAACAGTTCTAAAAACAGAGCCAGGTACATAACAAATTTATTATCATCAACATCAGAGGTTGCATAAAAGCGACGCATCAGTTCCTTTTATTCGCAGATAATGTCAAGGCACTTTATCGACGAGGTAAGGCGTACATTGGAGCGTGGGACCAGAAAAATGCCGCCAGAGATTTAAGGAGGGCTGCTGAAATCGATCCTTCCCTGCACAACAGTGTCGAGAGGGAATTGCAGGCATTTGCAGCAGCCATCAAAGAGAAGGACAGTGTGCAAAAAGAGAAATTATCGAAAATGTTTAAATGAGCTTGTTTCAATTTTATTAATGTGACTTTAATTCACGAGTATCGAGTGAATTCAATTTATATCAGTTTTCTTTATAAAAAGAAGCCAATAAAAAGATTTGTCTAACTTTATAAACTTGGCTTCTATTATCCAATGTCTGTATGTGTATCTGTACATTCAATATAATGTCTGAAAAATCAAATCTATCGTATGTATGAAAGAGAAAAATCTGTCGCGTAAACGTACATTTCTATATAATTTTGTACGTGCAAACAGTTTAAAAGATAAGAATTATGTGCATTAATATGAATCATTGTACAAAGAATTCTATTATTAATGAATTGTATGAATAAACTAATATATTTATTATTGTTACAAATAAGGGACGAGAAAATAAACATAATATATATTATTATTACTCGTGTTTTACTGTGAAATTTGAAAAACTATAGATTAAAATAAATCCATTTATATTGTATAAATGTAACTATTTGAAATTGTTATCACGTAAAGTATAATTTTCCTTGTTTAAAAAATTAAGGCGTTGGGGAGCCCATTTTGCCATACATGTGATATATTTAACAATTACAAAGAATTTATTATATATTTTAATACATTCTATCTTTGAAAAATAGATCGTGGAGTTATACAAGCTTTAGCACAATGGCTGATTTGTGCTTTTAATTCAATGTTTTGGTCTCCGAGTCTTTGTTTTAAATAACTTACTGTCTTGTGTTTCAAGTCTCAATTTCACTGTGCGGCCACTAATAACAGATAAATATTTTATAAATGTTATCCTGAAAAATTCAGCCATCAGCCATTCTGCTAAGGCCCTTACTTAAGAACAGTGGGACGAGTATAATCTAATATGGCAGGTTCTGAAGCGCTGAAAAATTTAAATTAATATAATATCGCACAAAGAAAAGAATTGAATTACTGCTGTTTGAGTTAAGGCACCTTTTTTTTAAACACAAGCACCAACAGTGCCATCTGTGTGAGAGATAAATTTGAGGTTATCTACCAATCGCATTACGAAGGTTGCGAATGAATCGTCGGTCGAAGAGCGTGAGGTATCATGTTTGACATATGGAATAATTTATCGTGCAACGCTTCGAGTAAAGAAAATATGAATTCAATAATGTTCCTAAAAGTATAATCGTGCAATAAATACAAAGGTAAAAAAAAATTTCTGACTCTACCGCGACTGCATGTTTTTAAATGTGGCGTTATCATAGTTTAACCTATACGAGTTTTGTTTTTCTTCCGCAATATATAATCGTATTATTTATTTCTCAGTTATAAAAGTTCGCAGTGCGTTTTTTCCTATCTGTAAATATTTTTGCATGACATAAATTTTTTACGAAGATGTACAGTTGTATCAAGTTTAATTTATAAAATTCCGAACGTTTTTGTCTCACGACGAATATTTACAGAAAGTATATCTCGTGTGTGCTTTTTTATATTTAAGATAGAAATACTCCTCAAGATGAAGTTAGTATCAAGACACGTAGATAAAGATGGAGAAGGGTAAATATATATCTTGTGTATAACACATTAATATAATCGTGAGACTGAGTGTAACGCCGGAATTGAAAATCTTTAGGCGCGTGTCCCTTGTCCCAGAAAATACGGAGGATATGTGGCACGCATATAATCTCATTAGCGAAGGAGACTTCGTCAGCTGTTCCACTATCAGGTATATATTCAAATTTGTGTGACAATGTTGCGACATTTGATTTCAATTGAGTACCACTTTGTCTATTCTCTATGTTGAATTTAGGAAAGTGCAAATGGAGTCTGCGACTGGTAGCTCTAACAGCTACAGAGTCCGAACTACTCTAACGATATGTGTAGAAAATATTGATTTTGATACGCAAGCATGTGTTCTACGACTTAAAGGTAGAAACGTGGAAGAAAATAAGTATGTTAAGGTAGTACTTGAATTTTAATTGCAATTGACTTCTATCGATGTTTAAAATGCCTTAGTGCTAAGTGTTCATTATACGTCGTCAAAGTGCATACAGTTTGCAAGGCTTTACATGTTTTTCAGTAACGTCCCAGAGAACGTGCATGTCTTTTAGACTCTCTGGGGTGATGTTAAAATGGAAGACGGTCCATTTGTAATTTTTGGACATTTAATTTAAATAAAATGTTTTGTCCACATTTCTATGCGCCTTATTATTATTATTTATGTTGTGTTGGCGTTAAAGTAGAGGAATTGATACATATTTTGGATTATCTAAACAGTAGGTGGTCTCAACTGTGAGACCTTACGTTCGTTTTGTATGCACACTTAGCGTATACTTGTATACACATTTAACACTAATGATTATCGCTTTGAATTAACATTCAACATGCAACTTGTAATATTTATTCTTTATCTTACAGACAGGAGCATATCACACTCTTGACGTAGAACAAAATCGTAAATTCAGTATCACCAAAGCTAAATGGGATTCTATTTCTTTGGAAAGAGTCGATACTGCATGCGATCCTGCACAGGTTAATAATTTGCGCAAACAAAGATAATATTTGGCTACAATTCTCTCTTTTTTTTTAAATTTTGTTTTAGAATGCTGATGTAGCTGCTGCAATTATGCAAGAAGGCATAGCACAAATTTGCTTGATAACTTCCAACATGACAATAGTCCGTACGAAAATTGACCAAGTTATACCAAGGAAGAGGAAAGGACATGTTTCGCAACATGAAAAGGTTCGAGAAATGTTACGCTGGTATTAAAGATTTAATGCGGTATATAGAGACTTTCTAACTGGACACATATTTAGGGCTTGGCACGATTTTACGAGAGCATCATGCAAGGCATAATAAGACACATCAATTTCGACCTAGTGAAATGCGTTATCCTTGCCAGCCCTGGCTTTGTGAAAGATCAGTTTATGGATTACATGATACAACAAGCGGTTAAATCTGATAATAAAGTTATCCTAGATAATAAAAGTAAATTTTTGCTAGTACATACTAGTTCAGGTTTTAAGCACTCATTAAAAGGTAGTGTATACGGGTTTACAAAATCTCAGCGAGCTTAACGTTCGCAAAGTACAATTATCTTTTATTTGTATTTATTATAATCTATTATTACGCACAACACAGAGGTTCTAGCTGATCCTGCAGTTATCTCTCGAATTTCCGATACTAAAGCAGCAGGAGAGGTAAGGGCTTTAGAAGCATTTTATAATACTCTACAGATGGACCCTGCTAGAGCGTTTTATGGCAAGAAACATGTTGAAAAAGCCAGCGCTGCTCAAGCAGTGGAAACTCTACTTATATCAGATAAATTATTCAGGTAATTTTACTATCCTGCTATTTCTTTCAATATTATTTTTACTTAATTCTACTTTATGACGTGTACTTTCGTTTCCACACTTTGTGTTCAGGTGTCAAGATATAGCATTGAGAAAGGAATATGTTCAGCTGGTTGAAAACGTAAAAGACTCGGGTGCCGATGTCAAAATATTTTCTAGTTTACATGTCTCGGGTGAACGTAAGTTTTGTACAGGGTAAATCAGTTTTACTCTTTAAAGTTTATGGAACATGTTATGGAACATATTCTTGGGGCAATTTTCTGCGAAATTTCCTTCTAAACTTGCACTTTTATTTTTTTTGTTGTACAATGCAAAATGAAGCAATTAAAAATGAAATTATAATTTTAGAACACTTCTTACTTAAAAGATTAGCAATTGCAAAAATGAAAGTTTTTCCTATTGAAATTCTAAAACAATGTCTCGAATTTTCAAATTAGTATAATCTAACTAATTATAAAGCTGACCCCATTTGTATATTAATATTTTTTTGCACCAAATGACTTCAGGAATGCTCTTTAGTTTGGGAAAAAACTTCGCACATCACACTATATAAATAATATTTATCTTAAATTTTCAAAAGATAAATTAAATATATTTATTGTATCCGAGTGGCCATGTTAATTAAGAAAAAATTACCATTTTCAGAATTAGAGCAATTAACTGGGATAGCAGCTTTATTACGTTTTCCTATGCCGGAGCTGGAGGATGAAAGTGAGGATGGTAGCGACTCGGAGGAAGATTAGAAGTACTATCGAGATATGCTAACAGTTTTGTATATATTTGTGCTGTGCGCAATAAAAAAAATATCTCAATAGTAAAAAGAAAAAGTAATCTGGATCTTATTTCTTAGCCATAAAAGAAATTTGCAGTTTACGTCAGCATGCACTTTGAAAATATTACATTAAAAAATATGTATTGCATTATGATTGTATATGTATCATTATTTTGTGTAGAGACATACGAAATTATTACATTATGAATATAACTACTGACGAGTGTGTTATGTGAGAGAGCATTACGTATGACTATCTGTAACAAACTGAAACTCCGAACGAATACATGGAACGTGCTGTCTCTTTGCATATTCCGGTCACCGATTTTCGGATGAGTTGTGTCCAGATTTTTATTGTATAACAGACGTAAATCATAATAGCGTTTTTTCTGAGAGAAACCTCTTTCTCTAGAAGACATCTATGGCCAAAGTATATGCGTGCGGTAGTAGCATTTGGCGTTCAATGTGACGAGGACTCTCACGTATAAACAGAAACAGAACAAAAGAAACAAACAGAGACTTCGAGACATTAGTAACAAGTCACGTCTGTTGTATACCAGAGATTAATTTTCAAGGAGCTAAGTCGGTCTCGACATTATTCCTTTTCTCTGACTACAAGTAATTTTGGGTCAAGCGATCCCCATCGAACAACTTATTTTATATATCCGTGTCTTTATTGCTGGAAAAGAAGCAGAAGAATGAGCGAGGAAAATAGGCGAGAAACATCTGAAGAAGATATTCTTTTTTCTTACGATGTGCTTTGTCCACTATTACGAAGTCCGGGAGAAATGTCAAATAATAATAATTTAACATGGGTAATATAGAATTAGTTGATTTTAATTGTGAAAGTGAATATTCTCATGCACACAACTTACACCGATGTGTAATTATTATTGTTGAGCATAATTATTATATGCACGTGTAATGATATATCCGTATATTGAAAAATAGTTTTCACGAATAATTCAAGGAATAATAATATTCACCTCCACTTGAATATTAATATTTTGTAATGAGTGTCTGAAGTAATAATTGCGATATCGCGATATATACGACATTATTCATCATTTATATTCAACCAGATAGAGAAAATGTAATTCCGTTTTGCATCTTATTTTGTAGAACGTATTGGAAAAAGGCAATAACCCATCACCAAGATATGAAATTTCGATGCCATGTATAAGCAGCGGACAGAATGATTTCAACTTTATAAGGGGACATACACATAGAGTGGTAATAATATAATTAAATCTTCTGACAATGAGTTTCTAATACTATATAAATACTTGTGTTTCACACATGTATCAAAATTGTCAAAAACTGTTGATTCGACCATGTTCAAATTCGCTATCGGATGAAAGCTCTAATAATCCTGAAGTTTGTACATATCAAAATATATAAAAAAATATCACGCGAATGTACAAAAACAGCAAATACCGAATACATTTTGCTATTTTATACATATGTTAACAGCTCAAAATAAATTTAATTGTTAATTGAAGCAATTTAAATGCAGTAAATTATTGCAAATTCAGAAAATATTTCAAATAGAGATACCGTCTGTGTCACAGAAATATCTGTAGGTAAAATGTGTGTATACCCGGTGAGAAATGATTTGTCGGAACAATGCCGAATCGACATCGACATTGTCAAGTTGACGTCGGTGCGACATCAATTTGACGATGTCGAAGTCTATTCGAGTACATCGATCAACGAGTCATTTATCGCTGGATACGCTCTAACAATAATTTAGGTTTCAGCTCCGCACGTAAATTTTTTATTTATTTCGAAAGTCAAACTTATAATTAGTATTCATGTACTCTCTAAAAGTTAATTAGTGAAGTATCACTGAAAACAGTGAATATGTGACTCGCAGATATAAGTACAGCGCTGAATTATTGAGTGCTATACTTACAAATATTTTCAATGTAATGCACTGATTGACTTTTAGAGAGTAGGTAGATACAACGCGAAAACTTTACATAGTAAATTAAGTATGTATACGTATTAGTATATGTATACATATAGGTACATATTAGTGTGATTGAATGTAACGCAGCATATTAATGAACAATTGTGTAAAAGAGATTATTAATTGCATATTTCATATGATTACTGCAGCTGAAGGTGTTGAGCGAAGCTGATTACCATATCTCTATTCTGACTGATTTAACATTTTCTCTGAGATACTCGAACGACTTTCCTGTAGAAGATTCTGATGAAGATTCTAATGAAGATGTAGATACTGCTAACATTTTTAAGATTTTAGAGCTTACTGTCAAAACATACGGTGTACTTTACACTCTGAAAGAGATGAAAAAAATGATACAAAAGAACTCATGCAAGGGCGTAATAGCAATCTCAACGGGAAGTTTCGCTTTTATTCTATGCTACTTTGGAAACAAGTATAAAGTACCGGTGACAGTAGTTATGCCAACATCAGTGGACGTTGAAAAAGTCAAGTTGTGTAAAGGTTTAAATTTTGCAACAGTACACGTTAAGGGTAACGATATGGTAGAAGCTCACAGATTTGCTCTGCATATAGCTCAAACGGAAGGACTAGCTTATATCGACGGGTACTTGTTTTACCACAATCTCAACTAAGTTAAAAAAACATTCTCTTCCACAAATAATATTCTTATACACAGTAGACTCTTGCTAATCTCAGTAATCCGACCTCTCATGCCCGGTAAAATATTTTTCATGCACGAATACACATAAATAAATATATCAAATTATATAAAAATATACATTAAATATGTCCATATATACTTTTACATTGCATATTTCACTATAATTTTATAGATTTATACATGTTTTTATGTAAAATATTTTAAAATATAGAAGACTGCTTATTTATAATTATATAATTCTGTACAATTGTACAAAGTTATATATAATTATAAATGAGCAACTTTTTCTTTTTTAAAAATTGTTTATATAAAAGCATGTATAAATCTATGATGATCTCAGAATTGTATAGAATTATTTAGAAATATACAATGAAAAAATATATACGGATATATTTGATGTATAATTTTGTATAAATTTATTCGTGTTCATGCATAAACAATTTTTTACCTGGCAATAATCCGAACGTTTCTAATGACAAACTTTTTTCCATTTTTGCATGCGAAATTTATGGTGTCCAAGTGGCAGAACTGGCCACATACATATAAGCGGTATTAAGTGACGTTTATTGTGCACATATTTATGAATTATATATTCTATTCACTTTATTACTTTCGATAGAATAAAGAACTACCGAAACTGATAAATTACTAAAATTTTTATGCACTTTCAGTAATTCGGCACTATTGTAAATCCGGCACAACTATATGCAAAGAATGACCGGATAAGCGCGAGTCTACTGTATTACTTTTAATTTTGTTATGCGATAAGTAATTCTATTATCTGAAAATTAGTAAAATTAAGGGCTGTTTTTACATATACATATATGTATATATGTATATGTATCCATAAATTTACACTTTTTTTACTTATCCTAAAGAATGTTTGTGTTATTAATAAGTTTAACTAATTTCCTGATCGATTTGTTTAATATTATTTGGATAGAAACGATCATCCATACATGATCATTGGCCAAGCCATATTGGGTTTGGATATTGCATCGAATGGTTATGGACTGAATTATGATGTGGCTCTGTTACCAACAAATGTTGCTAATTGCGGACTAACAGCGGGTATTGCATACGCTATTAAAGGATCGGAGCCACACCAAGTTATCGTATGTAAACAAAATTTGTATATTTGTCAATGGTTGATTGTTGTGCAACATTTTAATCAATCTACATTATTTGGGTTAAGAAAAAGATTATAGTTACTTTAGATAAATGTGCAGTTCATACATAACTTTAATTCTTAGGAGGTCCGAACTAGAATTCCTGATCCTTTAACCGAAATGATTAGAGAAGAAACGCTTGCGAAATCTGAATTAGAAATTCCCGTGAACGAATATAACGTGTGTACAAGCTTAGAGAACGGTTGCTTTGATAAGATTATTGAGGTAGATGATGGGTTGGTTCCTATTGCCGTCGAGATATTGCGAGAAACAGATGATATTGACAACTATTATTTAGCAATTGGTGTAGCTGGGATTTTGAGTGGACAACTAGAAGAACTAAAGGGAAAACGGTAATTTCATAAATTTGACCCTTTTCTCTAAAATGCACATTAATTCTAGCATTAATTATTAATAATGGTATTTTTCACGTTTTATAACAATAAAGCATACACTGGTCATAATTTCTATTTAATAGTGTAAAAAATTTAATGTATATATTATTTTATAATAATATAATTCTCTTTCTGTGTAATTCAGCATACTAATACTTGATTATGGCGATGTAGACTCGATTGAGGATCTTACGACAAATGACGCGAATCGGGTATTGCAGTTTAACTCTTCGGATTCTGATACAGTTTCAACGACTGAGTAAATGGAATATTCTTCGGAATCACTTGAAGAGGCAAAGATGCACTATTTATCCTCGAATACTTAAAAATAAAATCTATATAGGCGTTTAATCGTTCGGGCATAGAGTCGCTCGAAGCGTTCGTATCCCTAAAGATTCGCTCATATAATTGGATCGCGATCGAAAATATAATCTCATTCACAAAATTCTTGACGGACGTGATTCGTCTAATCCGATAGAAAGAACAGAAGAGATGCACGAAATAATAAATCATTGGACTCGACGATTCTCGTGTCGCGGGGCAACTGATCGGTCTATGAAGGTACATGGAACGTATTGGAGTTCTGGTCCTTGTGTCCACATGCACCTTCATTTTTCGTGCCACAACTACAGGTAAATTCAACTACGCTCCTGAGACGTCCGCGTTGCAACTGTGATCGATTGGACATTGTCAGATTCCTGTAAATCGATAATACGGGATACGGGAAGGAAAGAATCCTAGGAATCTCGTTACTTATGATGTGTTCAATGTTGAATGTGGTGATAGTGACAAACGCAAGTAGCGCGAGATCTATGTTATTGAGTATATATAAATGTTATAATGTTTTTGCTAAAAATAAGAGAACAGCAATATTGTATTTAGATAGGTATATTTAATAACTTTATGAGTAACTTATTGTCAGACCTTACACCAATTTAGTGCGAAATTGCACAACAGATATGGGCATGTGTTAGATCTTTTCAAAAGTTGATGCAGACGGGACTGAACGAGTTAGAGCGAAAGAGGATCAGCCGTCTACGTCAAGTTCAAGGTCCTACGCGTCTCGTATTTTCAACTTTGAATTAAATGTAATGGATACCACAATGTTTCAACACTCGCGACAGATTTTTAACTACCATAACATTCCTATTTTAATCCACCAATTCAGTAAGCGTAATTGAAATTCTCCCGAATAAATGAAAGTCGATAATAATGCTAATATGATTATGAAAGATTAGGATACAGTTTTTTGTTAATCGGAATGTATTTTGAAATCTATTCGAGAAATTTGAAACCAATTAGGAAGTATTGTAAAATTTATTTTAGTTTTCGTAATATAATTTTCCAATTATCGTCTCTACATTATCATAGAAAATTAGGTATACAAAAATATATTTTAGAATTTTAACTGTCGCATCAGCTTCGAACAAGAATAATGTATAATTACCACGGAGGTTATAATAAATATTGTAAACAAATTTTCATAAGTCTATTTGATTATATCGCGATTACCATCCAATATAAAATAAACTGCTTTAATTGGCAGCTGCTCAGAAGTCTAACCGTTTGCCAAGTATTGTCACTATATATCGTTTGGTGATATCGATCGATTGTGCATGTTTATGAAAAACTTAAGTGATGCGTGGCATTGATGTAGCGACTCATTATTATGTCGCCTTGATAAACGAGCTATATGTTGATGGAACATATTCGAAGCGATTGAAATTAGTTTGCGACAGGAACCGCGAGAGCGATGACTACGATAACCACCGTACAACAGGCTGTATATCCCTTACTTTTAACTTGTTCCATTTTCGGCATAGGTATCTACGCCCTAAACAAATTTTATTTAAATATTTTTTATATTCTGACAATATGGATCAGTTACGGTTGCCTTTGTTATTGTGTGATAACTGCACTTAAGGCAGGAGTCTGGTTTAAACACATTCTTAATATGGTTCAGACACGGATTGGCATCGTCATTATCATTATTTCCATTGTCATGAGTGTATATCAAGACAAGGTATATATTATTTACTGAACAATTTGTAGCCAAAATACTGCAATTACCATAAAGATATTATTTCACTTTAAGGCCCGGTTTCACCAACGTCGCTTAACTTTAATTGTTAGCTTTATTCGTTCTTTGTCTCTTTCCAACTGTTACACTAGAAGGAAACAGATATAAATTAAACTAAGATTAAAGTTAAGCGACGTTTGGTGAAATCGAGCCTAAGTAATGTTTCTACATAATAACGTTTTAGTAAATCAAATACGTTTTGACACTACTCTCTGTTGCCTAATATTTTAAATCGTTCGTTTAATGCTATTTAGAAATTTAGATTATCTATGAAAAGACTTGCTGCTGTAGACGATACATTGGAAAGGCTAGGCACTCCAAAGATATATCAGAAACTGCACACGTATGCAAAAGGAGTGTTAATTGGATGGTTCGTGTGTAGCTACGTGGTAAATGTATTTGACATGATGTGGTGGTTTTATGCAACGAAGAATTATTGGTGTATGATTTTACCTTACATCATAAATCATTATCATCATACGGCTATGTTGATGGACTTTTTACTTATGACTTTTTTATGGTTTGTATAATTTTTTAAATATTTATGTATAATATATGTATTGTATATAATGATCGTATTATGTATAATGAGAGACAGAGAGAGGGAGAGATATACATATGTATATTCAATTCTAAAACATTAATATAAAAAAAAGTAAAGTCTTGTAGATTTTCTTAGTATAATAAAAATAATTTAAACAAGAATTTACATTATAAATGGTTTGTAAAAACAAATTACTTTACTGTAGATAAAAATAAAAAATATAATATAGTTTTGTTTGTCTTAATTATTATCATTAATAATAAATAACTTTATATATATATGTGTGTGTGTTTTAAAACTATCACTTTTGCTTTGTAACGTAGGTATATTGGCACCAGGTTTGATAAGGTGAACGAGCATGTAAGAAATTTAATAGTGAAAGAAAACTATGGATATTTCTGGAGAGAAACTATCCCAAATACTCGTCGATATGTCATGTGTACTGATTACAAACCTGTTCTGTGGACCTTAATGTAAATCAGTTAATCAATGTGCTAAAATAGATTATTGATTGTATCTAATTTAACTAATGAATATATAATAATCCAAGTTCGACAGAAATTCGACTTATTATAAAAAAAGAGCAAAACAGTTGTAAAAATTAATTTGCTTTTTTGCTAGGCACCTCCACTTAGAATTATGTCAAATCGTTCGTGAATTAAACACAATATTTGGACCTCAAATGACTACAGAATTAGTAGCTCATCTAATATTTTTGGCAAGACTGTGTCATTTAATTTATAAACATATACGAATGAAAAGTCAGAGTATGCATACAATCGTTTGGCTTGGTGTATCTTTCCGAGTTTTGCTACAGTTAGCCAGACTCTTCAGCTTCAATTACATATGTGAGAAAATCAGCATTAAGGTAAATTATAACAATAAATAAACTTCCATAAGTCCAAGTATGCGTGGCCATATGTGCACGCGCGCGCGTGCATATATTACGAAAATACGTGTTAAAATATTTCATAAATGTAGTTAGAATTTTATTAAACAATATATGGTAACACGCCAATGTGGGTCACAAGGCAAGATGTAGGTAGCCCAACTTGTAAATCTTAAATCTTTTTGAAAATCGTGAATCTATTTACCGTTTCTTTCCACATTAGTACTACGCGCCGATTTCTTTTTCGGACATAACGTAGTTTATCATACACGTGGAATTATTGTCGTCAGCAGATATAATTTTATTAATAGAGTTATATAATATATATATTATATAGTATTAAAATAAAAAATCACTTTTAGGCTAATAAAATGGAAAAAGTAATTCATGAATTGATGTATTCTCTTCGATATGCTGACGTTCGTTACGAGGTAAAGGTCAAATTTTAATAGTAAGAGGCAAAAACAATTTACTAATTAAACTTTTTTTAATTCCTTATTTTAATTCCTAAATAACATTTCGATATGTGTTGTAGATTTATCAGTTTTCATTGCAAATAAAACATCATCCGCTAAAATTCAGTGGACTGGGTTTCTTCTATTTCGGCAATAATCTTTTACGAAAAGTTAGTATTTATATATTTAATGTTTTACATTATTTTAATTTTAGATGTACATATATCATATTATAAATTAGAAGACCGTAATATTATTTTTAATACCTTACGTAGGAGTTTTATTATTATGTTCATTTTTGTACAATAAAAATCTGTAAATTATTATTATAGAAAGCTTGTAGCTACAATAGCCTTATTCGGCTTACTCAACATTTTTATTGACAGAAACATTTAATTTATACGTTTTTTTCTAGTTTGTCACTACAATTACAACATTTATGATTATCTTAATACAAATGTCTGACGAATAACAGGAAAAAAACTGAATTTTTAAGACAAAATGAACAATAATAAAGAGTTAACGCATGGACCGATATGATATAAATTATTATAAATCAATATGAAATAAGAAAGTCGATATGTAGATAGCTTAATGGTTAATTGTGTGAATGTTTATACCGTTTCTAACGTTCTGCGCACCGAATACTTTTAGTCTTAAAACACAATTTCTTTGGTAGAACAATATTTTCATATACTTTTACATCGATAAACGTACGATAAAAAATTTTTTAATGTTTTAACTCTTACTTGTATTGTGTACAATTCCCCCCCCCCTATTGTAAAAAGAATAAACAAGTTGGTAATTTCCGAATAAGTGTAGAATCATACAGTGCAATATACTAATTGTTTGTAAAACAAAAATATATATTAAGTGAATATAAGTTGTAAATTTAATTTATAAAATAAATTTCTTGTCTCATTTTTCATTGTGATCCCATTTCTTTTTCTCTTTCTATAAATTACTATAAAGAATATGCATGTCTAAACAAAATTAATTTTAAATATATAGTAAGTATAAGCCCGAATAATGCAATTTTCTCTTGTCTTTAAAAATAGTTGTTTTCTTATAATTTCTTTTTTACAATAATGTAACGAAAAAATATACAGTTGAATTATTATTGTATAATTCTTTGTATATAATCTTTTATACTATTTATATTTTGCATCAACGAAAATTAATTTTAATTACGAAAGTACTATCTATTAAAGATAAAAATAAATAAAAAGTATTTAATATGAAACTTTAGAAATATATTTCTCTTTCTTGTTACACGTTTCTATCTTTGCAATTAAATAATATATTTCATATCAAAAGGATAATAATATATAAAAATACGATGTTTTTATTTATATTATTCATAATTTTGAATTTTTTTAATTTTATTATGCACATGATATAGCATAATAATATGGCAAAAATTATAGAGGACAACATTGCAAGGTGAATATTGAATGTGCTTCCTATAAGAAAACACGTGGGAAATAAATTAGTACCATTACTACAATAGTTTGCGTACGATGAATTATTTCTCCTATCAATTAGAGAGGATTGCACGCTTTAATTTGCGTGAGTGCTACAAGTAATAATACCTATGTATAGGCATTGCGATCACGAGGCTCCACTATCGTTCCAAATCGACACAGTTGTGATACGTCTAGCAAACAAGTTTGAACAATTAGTGTTAGCTTGTTACTAATAACTAATTACTAACAATGGTGGTCCCTATCCAACAAGTTTTACGCCCTCTTTTGATTACATGTTTTATTATGGGTTTAGGCGTTTATCCTATGAAACAACCGAATCCAAGGATTCGCTGGATTGCATATTTAAGTATTTTATATTGTTTGATTATTTGGGTTTCTTATGCTTATCTTTTTTACTATGTAGTGATTTCTTTTACGTGGGAAGTATTATATGCAGATACCACAAATAGTGTTATTATAATAATTCACATTATTACCACTGCCATATCTGTGATCATGAGCTTCTATCATCAAAAGGTATAATTGCACTTTCCCTTTTCTGTATTTATATGAAGTACATATTTAAATATCACATCATAATAATTATATTTTATCATCGATGTCTTCAATGTAACAATTACGTAAACCATTTCAATCTCTTTATAATCTAATATTTTTATTAAGTAAACTAAAGTTTTTTGTTTTTATTTATTAAAGCGTTTGTCTTACCATTTTAAATGCCTCTAAATATGTCTTTGTTATACTATATGTACATGTAACTATATTTTCCGTTGTAAGAAAATAATTGTTTTATAAATATGTTTTCAATTTTTGCCTTATTATTGTTTTAGAGATTTGAGATAAATTTGAAGAAGCTTTCTGCTGTGGATAATTCTTTAGAAGAATTGGGCGTTTCAATAATGAATCAAAATATACATATGTACTCGAAAATAGCGATAATTGGTTGGATTGTATACAGTCTTGCCGTAAATTTTCTCGATTCGATATGGTGGACAAGTTACGTTAAACTTACTTCTTGGGGATTATTTCTAGCTTATATACTAAATCACTGTCTTCATGTGAATGCATTCACAGATTTGCTATTCACTTTTCTTTTATGGTTTGTATAACATTTACAGCACGTGCGACATGTGTGCGGGTGTGTGTAGAAAAATTAAGTGAAGAAAAAGAAAGAGAAAAATAATTATCACTAAAATAGTAACATTTAATATTTATAATGAAAGCTTTAGAAAAATTGTTTTAAATAATATAATTATTTCGGTAGTCAATATCAGTCTTCAATATCATGTTTTAAAGGATTTAAATTTTACACATTCAAAACATGTTGTTTAAATAAAAACTTTCTGTGATATATTATAGTATAATAATATAATTATAAAACTGTAACTATAAATATAATAAATAATTTATAGTTACAGAGATATTATTTGCACAGGTATATTTGTATCAAATTTGACACAGTAAACGAGTATATACGATGTTTATTAATAAGAGAAGATCGTGGTCTGAGATGTACAGAACAGAAATCTACAGTTGTTCTTCATCGATATACTTTGGGTATTAATTACAAGCAAACGTTATGGACTTCAATGTAAATCCGAACACACATTGAAACAGATTATTAATTTGGTGTTTTATTTGTTAATAAGAAAATTTGATAGAAATCTATTTTTAGAAATAATTCATTAAGATAATTATTTTATACATATAGATTTTCATAAAATAAATTTATATTATTTATTTATAAACTATATTTTTTTTATAGGCACCTTCATTTAGAATTATGTCGCATTACTCGTGAATTCAACTTCCTGTTTGGAATACAGATAACTTTCGGAATGACGACGTACCTTATGTACTTAACGTCGACGTGTTATGGTTTATGCCTGTATTCAATGCAGCAATTTTCAAAAGAAATATTACAAACACTATTCATATGGATTAATGTCGGTTCATGGGCTATCTTACTATTAATAAGAATGTACTTTATAAATTACATATGTGAAAGTGTCATGACTAAGGTAAAGCTACTTAGGCCAGTATTCATAGTCTGATCTTAGATTCAAGCCCATCTTTTTATCTAAAAATGCAGTATGGAACATTTCATTGGTTACGAAGTATCTAATTGTAAGACGATCTTGAATGTAAGATCAAACTATGAATACCGCTCCTTTATAATTTAAAATAAAAATATGTATTGAATGATAATCAATTCCAAATTTCAGGCAAATGAAATTAACAAAACAATCCATCAACTGACAAATATTCTCCGGTATGCTGATGTATGTGAGGAGGTGAGTATATTTTAACAAAAGAGCAAAAATACAAAAAAATAAATTATACTTAAATAAGAATTATTCGTCCACAGATTTATCAGTTTACGCTGCAAATAATGCATCATCCATTGAAATTAACTGGAATGAATCTCTTTTATCTTGGAAACAAGTGTTTTAGAAAGGTTTACTTTTACATTTCTCTCTCTCTCTCTCTCTCTCTCTCTCTCTCTCTCTCTCTCTCTCTCTCTCTCTCTCTCTCTCTCTCTCATGTTTTAATCACAAAATAGAAATTCAGAAAATTACTTTTTAAAGTTATATCAGTCAAAACTGTTATTATTATTATTACTTTATTACTGCCATCGTAACACACAAGCGTTTGTATTTTCCAATTTATGTTGTAGCGTTACGTTTCAATGAATTGCTGTTCCTTAATTAATTGATACGTTTTTTTCAGGTATGCATAACGATTGTAACGTTCGTGATTATCATGGTGCAAATGAATGTAAATATCAATTTAGAAGGTAATTTACTATAGAATGGTAATTTACTATAGAAGAAGAAAGTAAAGAAGTAACTTCACAGAATTTAATATTACATCAAAATTATTTTATACGTTTATAAAATTAAATGTCACTTAGAAACTGTTATAAAATGTTAGTAATATAATAATCAAGTACTAAAATAAAAATTTAAGTTTAAATACATTACACAATATTTTTATCATATCGACCAATAGTAGATATATTAAATACTATTGTTTAAAATTTTAGAAAATTTATTTAAATTTTACAATTTGAATTAAATTAAACATATATGTGTATTTAAAATGCTCGCAAAATATGTATTAGAAAAAGTGTAGTAAGCATCCATTCTTGTATTTTACGTAATTAAATTTTTTTAATTCTCTAGAGATAAAAGTCTTTTGGTTTTAAGCAATAAATTGAACTCCTTTTCATTATGATATTATTTATGGTACGATTCAATACTTGAGGAAAGATAGAATAAATATATAATGTAATATTACTGTTATTATTATAACTTATTATACTTATTATATGAATATTATTACATTTAAGATAAGAAGAAATTATAAGTGATAATAGAAAATATATTTTGGATTAAAATTAAAATGCGAACTTTCTTATTTTCGGTCGAAACGTTATGTAATTCCTTTAATAATATATTGCCAGACATGTCAAATAATTTTTCCCATTACGTTTTTATTTCAACTATTCACTGGCGAAGAAAAGATTCTCAGTATTGCTTTTCTTTTTTTTTAAATAACTCTAAAATCCGGATTACGTATGAAATGATCCAGTATTATAAAAAAAAAGATGAAATAATGATTAACCTGGGGAGGATGTAGAACATATTTCAAATTTAGCCAAATTCCAGCTTACGGATCTATATCTTCTCCTTGTAAGATTAAAGATTTTATCTCGATAGTTGATGCATACAAATGCATATTACTAAATTACAAATCTTCATTTATTATGAGCAAAAATTATCGAATTATGTACTTTAATAATATAATATAAATTCGTATTAAATACGTTATTGGAAATAGCGTTGCGCGCGCTCTATTTGGTTTTAATTCATATTTATTCGTGGTCTTCTCCACACATTAAGATCTGCGATTGTACGTACCGTGAAACGCATCGCGACGACCCTCGGCGCGCGGGAGATCGGTCCGCTGCGTTCTTTGAATATGGATCAACATGGCGCCGGTTCCCGCTGCTGCGCGACACTATGCGAGTCGAGTCAGCGACGCGAATACCACTTCAATATCGGAGTCGCGATGTAAGGCTGATGGCAGAGAAAACAATCCGTAAACGCTTAAGACTGTCTCAGTCGTAGACGTAGGGCAAGGCAGAGAGAAACGTAAATCGTGAAAGGCTACTGTATACGACTTACGTTTCTCTCTGCCTTGCCCTACGTCTACGACTACGTCAGTCTTAAGCGCTTACGGATAGTTCTCTGCCATCAGCCTATCTCGAACAAACGCGTAAATTCACTCGAAAAGTACGCACATATGCACGAGCAATCGACACTTTCGCGGCTCTTTACTTGACGTCGTCGAGAGGAAAGCGAGCACGAACGACGTTTCGGCGGTTCACTTGTCGTATCTCGAGCGAGGCGAATTCTCTGAGAAAGACGAGGACGATGTCCCGCGGTACTTGCGGAACCGAAGAGCTCGATCGCGTGGCCGTGGCGTCGCTCAATTACGCGGGGAACGATCGCGCACATCGTCCCGTGGCGTACGTGTCCGGCGGCTCGAACGATAATGCGACCGAGCGTCTTCTCACCTCGGCGCATAGCGGCCGCGGCGACGCGAACCACGCGAGTCAACGGCGCGTTTCAAAGTCCCTTCGATATCGTTCACGCGATGTCGAATGAGGCGCGCAAATCCACGCGGAGAATGTGCACATTGACGAGCGATCGGTACCCTCGCGGCTCTCCTGTACTCAATTTATGTCGCGGGAGCAGCAAGTGAACGGCAGCCGGCAAAAATCCGGCGGTTCGCTTATCCACGTCTCGAGCGAAGTAGCGAAGTTTCTTACCTCCGAGGAACGAAAATGATGCACCGCAGCATCTACGGACTCGATCAGCTCGATCGCGCGGCTGTCGTCGCTTAATTACACGGTAAATAATCGCGCACATCACCCCGTGGCGTACGTGCCGGCGGTACGAACGATAGTGCGGCGTACGGAACGTTCTGTGACCTCGGCAGCCGCCGGCGACCGCCGGCGGCGCGGCGGCTCGACGTAAACAACCGCCGAGGTCTGACAAAAGCATAAAAATAGTTTTTTGACGAACGAACGTTGAAAGATACGCCGTACCTGCCCCGTTGATTCCACAGGCGATAAGTCCGTATCAGTACGGGAATTCTCTAACTTAATTGCTATCGAGGTTTTTCGATAACGTTAACTAGGAGCAACCAATGAAAATCTGCGTCTCTTTCGAAGATCGTCCTCGCCATTGGCTGTCGCCAGTTAACGATACCGAAAAGCGCCGATTGCAAGTTACAGAATTCCCGTACTGGCAATGAGATTGAGATTAGAACTTGCGACTGCAATGATCATTAATTAACTAAAAAATTTGACCAATTAGAACGAAGTTTGCTAATCTCATGTTTAGTGAATTTTGCTCCGATTGGCTAAATTTCAATCTCAATCGTAGCCCAAGCGCCCGTCTACAAAATAGAGATTTAACTTCGAGGAAATTGACTAATCACACTCGCGTACTCTACTCATACTTGACCGTGATTAGTCAATTTCTTAAGGCTTTAGGGCTTAAATCATCTATTGTAGACGGACAAATACGGGCCGGGGGCTCGATTCTTGAACCTATTCGAAGGAGAAACGTATGCGAAAATTCTACTCTCACAGAAAAGTTGCAAGTTGATTGGCTATTCGCGTGGCTTTAACCAATCGACTTTCAACTTATAGCGTTTTCGATTTTCTGACTCGACCCGACCCCGAGTCAGAAAAGTTTGATCAAAAGCAAGATTTGAACCACAATTTCTACAAAAATCTTACTCTTGATTAAACTTTTCTGACTCGGAGTCGGATCGAGTCAGCAAATCGAAAACGCTATTAAATTTTCTGTCAGAGCAGAATGTTCGTATACGTTTCTTTTTCGAATGATTTCGAGAATCAGGTCCCAGAGAGTAGCCTTGAGAAGTTTACTAACCTCAAGCTTATAGTAATTATTACTCTAATTGGTCAAATTTCAATCTAATCCCAATTCGTAGTCTGATACGGGCTATACGGGCTTTAGGTTTGTTCTTTATTAGCTGCACTAGTTCAGCTACGAAGAACAGACCTAGTGAATTTGTGTTTTTTTTTCTGTCACTCCAATTGACTGTGAAGAGGGTAAAGTGGTGTGGAGTAGTGGGCGCTTTGAACTCCGCTTTTGGGTTATCTAGGGCTTAAATCGCTTTTTTTTAGGTTAGGTTACCTGATATCTGTAAACGTGAAAAAATATCGCGACATTTAGGGTACGAGATTGATGCATTAACAATGACATCGCTTCTAAAGACGATTAATGGACTTCAACTTTTTCACAAATGTTTGAAACAAAGGTATGTGTCGTCGCTTCGTGTCGTCTTTCGAAGCATAGAATTGTTCCGCTCCACATGTACGGAACTATCGTTTAGACACATGAATTCTTATTATTAAATAAACGAGCAGAAGCGCTAGTTAAACGCTGTAACCTTTCGTCAACCGCCTTGGTGCTTTATCTCAAGCTTGTAAATATTATAAAAGCTTTGGTATCATGATGTTATAATACAAGTACAAAATTCATTAAAACGAGCAAGCTGAATTAAAGGTGCAGAAAGAAGAGAGTTTACTCGCTGAACTAAGTGAGAATAAAGTGATGGAGATAGAATGTATTAAAGTACTCGCGTGTACGCTCGTATAGAACATACTAAATGTAATAGACGAGTGTAGATTTGTATACAAATTCTCATCACGTTTCGTATTTTTGTCAACTTGCAGCATCGATATGATATCAATCCCGAAGCGAGACAAGTATCTACCTAAACCCAGATACCGCCATCCAGAGTGGCTCCCGAAACCACAACGTGTTGTATGTAACCAGTAAAATAATTAATAATTTATTCTTATTGTAACACGACGTTTAAACAATATATATGCATGTGTGTATATACAAAAGGTACATGAAAATTCTCTTGCAGTTGTACGACGAAAGACTAACGGAAGACAACAAGCAGTTTCTTAACGAAGTGGTGCAGAATCAATACGATTTGTCTACCATTGGACTTGGAACGAAACTTTCCCCTTTGAAAGTGGACCCAATCGAGCCTACCGTACAGTGGAAGAAAGGTATGAAACGTACTGGTTTAATCGGCAAGAAATTAGGGGTTTATCCGTTGTGGATGAAAGACGGAAAGAAGGTCTTCTCGACGTTACTTCAGGTAAACGCAGCAGCTTTGATCCTTGACGCACGAGCAGCACTGTTAACATTTTAATATTCCCGATTATTCCGCGACCATATTCTGTGCCTCCAGATCGTCGACAATGAAGTAGTCAAATACATACCACCGGAGCAGTTTTTCCCAGTAAAATCTCGCACACCTACGAGACAAGTCAAAAACAGACGCGGCTGTCTCGTAGTGGGGGCGGAAAATATAGATCCGCAATTGGTACGGTAGCCGAAAAGTTACGTACGACACGAATTTCTCTTTTTCCACCGTGTAAAATTGACGATACCTTTTTGCGCAGGTCACGAAGGAATATTACGGCCTCTTCAACGACACTGGCGTTATGCCGAAACGTGTACTAAGAAGGTTTATAATATCTCCACAAGCAGCATTGCAACCAGGAACCCCTTTATTCGCCACACATTTTAAACCAGGGGAAATCGTCGATATCCGCGGGAAAACGTAAATCATATTGCGTCTCGTCCTATTGTGCTAGACATATCGCTTTATGAAAAGAAAAAAAAAGTATAAAATCATCGTATAAATTGTTCGTTATTCGCGAAAAGTTGAAGCATGTGATTTCCATCAGGATCGATCGTGGCTTCCAAGGCGTCATGAAACGATGGGGCTTTAAAGGGATGCCTGCCAGTCACGGCGTGACAAAGACTCACAGACGACCCGGAAACATCGGATCGGGTGGTGAGAAAGCCCGAGTTATGCCTGGTACTAAAATGCCCGGGCACATGGGTAACCGATGGCGTATTCAAAGAGGTTATCGAGTAAGTAAATTCGTGTCTAACAGAGGTATAAAAGAATCTCTTCTATCGTAAACTTTGAGTTTTATACATTTTACTAGTTGGTATAATTTTATAAGTTCACTATTTTTTTCGTGACTGATGCTCTATAGATTTTACGAATAAACACCAAGTACAACGTGATTTGGGTTCTGGGACACAATATACCCGGCGAAACCAATACTTATTGTACCATATACGATACGTTACTTCCTCTGAGGAAATCCAATGCGCCAAATTTCCCGACGTATTTACCAAGTAACGCCGAAGAGTCGCTTCCAGAGGAACTTTATGTAGACGACGTACATCAGTTCGCAGAACCCACGATAGAATTTAAAGAAGAATCTTAATTATATCTGTATAGTATTGAATAAAAAAAATTGCGTAATTGCAGACCAGGATTATTTACAGAGTTTACATGCTTTTCTCCGGATGACAGTTTATAAATAGAAGTTGCACAGTAACAAAGAATTAGCACAGGCACATTTATATAACTTCTAATTCCATGCTAATAAGTCAAAATAAAATTGTCGAGTGATGGTCGAAGTTGTGCCGTATTTCCGTTGAAATTTTATTGGTTGTCTGCTCCTTACAGAAATATCCACACTTATCAATTATGCTAGCAAAGAGTAGTCAATTGATTCATTTATTTAGTAATCAATATCATTATAAATTTAACATGCCTAAAATATACACGAATTATTTTATAAAAGTAATATCGCTAACCAAGACTCATCCTGAGTTAGAGAGGAGAGCAGTATGATCAAGCACGATAGAAAGATCCTTTTTTTTTCCATTAACTTAACACCTTATTGTTATTCGACTTCTAGAATAATTTACTCATGCGTTATGTAGCTAGTTGCGTTTAGCTAAAGACAGCTAATACGCATTTATCGTATATTATAAAAGAAAAAGGTAACATACATTATAAGAAAAGGGGAAAAAAATTAAAGTCCACAGACGCACAATTGGATGGTTACAAACTCCTTCATTCCATAATTGGCTCTTGTCTCTTGCTGCGTTCTTTCCGAATACGGAAAAGTCTATGAATCACACTGTATGTTTGTAAGAACAAACGCAATAATCATTGAATCGGTAGCATTAAATTCATATTGCTATGCTTTCATTGGAGTAGGAAGGAAATGTAGAAATAGAAAAGAGAAAGCAAAATAGCTCCACGTTGGAGTTTGTCGGGGGACGGCACGATCGGATAAGAAGTGGAGACCCTCTCAGAATTTAAAACCTTCACTCGGAATACTCGTCGTCTGATCAAACTCAAAAGCACCTTCGTGCGGTGCCAATGGTGCATCATCCGCCTGAAAATCAATGTGAGTTAGAGATTTTGTGAGAATAAAATTCACGCCAACATTATTAAGCCTATAATGCCTTACCTCTTCTGAAAAGTATTGCTCGATAATGTCATATGCTAGTTTGTAAATATCTACATTTTCATGGTTTTGCAATGCCTCAATTTTATCCAGACCTTTAAATAAATAAATTACATGTATAAATGTGCAATCAATATCAACTTGTTAAATTTTTCATACTTTATTTCTTACGCTTTCTTAATACATATATGTATATAAGAAAATGTTACAGAAAATTAATCTATTATATAAAATAATAAAGCATATTTACCGGAACATTCCTCAATCATGTTCGCCAAATGTTCAACTTGCGATCCAGCAAGTTTAAGCATATTATGAATTCCGTCCAATACCACCTGTACAACTTGAGTATCTTTACATGACAAGAGGTCACAAAATGGACCAATAACTCCTTCTTGTATAAGCCGTGCAACTTGATCTCTATTACCACTTATCGTAAGGTTACTAATGGCCCATGCTGCTTCTTTTTGTGTTTGGAATTCTCCCTATAAAAGCAAAGTGTGAATAATAACGTATGTGTAACAATGTGAAGTAATAGTATATAACAATATATATTTTATTTGAATAAAATTATATGCTTACCTTTGCTAAATTACGAATAATGAGTGATAAAAGTCCTGCGTCTATAACTGCTTGAACTTGAGATTGATTACCGGCAGTAATATTTGAAAGAAACCAGACTGCTTCTTTACAAATTTTCTCTTTTGGATGAGTCAGTAAATTGGGGAAATGCGTAAGTGCTTCACAATTTAGAACAGTTTGCGTTTGCTCATCTGTACCAGTCACGATATTACCAACTGCTCTAAGAGCAGCAGTTTGCACTTTGACTTCCTTGTGCGAAAGAAGTGGTATTAAACGAGGGACAACACCGCTGTCTATAACCATTTGAATTTGCTGGTTACCACCGTCAGTTAAATAACTCAAGGCCCATACAGTGTCAACAAGAATCTACCAAAAACATTGTTAAAATTATTTATCAAAAATAATTATATGAAAATTAAAGTCAGTTTTTCTATTACATTTAAAAATAACCGCGATACAATTCTACGAAAATTAATAATTTTTCCTTAAATTAACAAAAAAAAAAACATTAAATTGTTTCTCTATAATTAAATCACAGGCAAAATCAAAGGGAGATATTATTACATTACTTTACCTCACGTGGATTATTACATTAACTTTTTTGAATCTCCTAATGTTAAATTGTTTCTAATTTAAAAATAATCACACTGCTTACATTAACATCATTGTGATGAATAAGCATATTTAGAGCAGGCAAAATCTCCTTTATGGTTTGAACTGGCGGCGGTGGATCTTTATTCCTACATAAGTTTACGATAACCCAAGTTACGTTACGTAGAAATGTAATTGGTATGTCTGGTTTAATAAATGTTAGCAATGGCTTTACAACACCAAGATTAATAACGTAGTCTCTAGGTACTGGACCATCTCCAATAATGTTACCTATAATAAAGTGAAACATAAGTATTTAAATAACAGTATACAAAAACACATGTATATGTATGCAGGTATATATACAGGAAAAGATGCAATATACATCATAGCAGCTAACAATTAAAGAAATAATATACTTTCAATATCACAATCCACAAAATTAACAATTAAATAAATTTATTTGAAAGTTATCTACTATTTCAATCTTTTAAGACACAAGAAATGTACATAATAATATATTTCAAAAGAAAAATCTTACATACACTGTAATTTAAATATTTTTTCACAATTAGACGTCTAAATGCATACCTAAGGCCCATACTGCTTGTTCACATACATTCTGTTGACTTGAAAGCAACAAATGCAAGAACAGTGGCACTGCACCAGCGGCAACTACAGCTTGTGTTTGGGCAGATGTTCCACTTGCAATATTTGTTAAAGCCCAGGCCGCTTCGAATTGCAACGATGGACTGAAATATTATATTAATACAATATAATGCATGCTTTCTACAGTCTCGGAGATAACTGTAGCTTCATATGTAATTTATAAAAGATACTTGCAAAATTATAACAAACAAAAATATCCAAAGTCATAAGATAACTGATACACTTGCAGAAAAAATGTTTCTCACTTGTTATGTTGTTCAAGACAGCGAACCAAGATTGGTAAAATACCACTCTCTATCAATGGATCAATGGGTGGGTTACGATCTGATGACAATAATTTCCTTGCCGATTGTACAGCTTGTAATTGTACTGTAGGATCTAAGCTACCTGCCTTTGCTACCAATTCTTCCAAATTGATCTTTGCAAGCTGCTTATCAATGTCATCCTCATCTACTTGGAAGAATAATGTATATTAATGTAGTGACGCAGCAACATTTACGTTTACCTTACATTCGCAATGCATAAAAATGAGAAAATCTAATTTCCGACATTACCTGTTGAATCTGTGATAGGTACATTTCTCCTCTTTTGCAAGGTTTCCTCTCGCTTATTTTTACGTAGTTCTACCGTCACCTCATTACGTCTTCTTCTCATTTCCTACAAATATCAATTTTTTTAAATGTACAATCGTGTCGGCTTTCGAAAAGTAGCAAGTTCAATTCACCGTCTTGTGTAATACCACTTCAAAATGTCAGAGCAACACATGGCTACGCCACGGTATTTCAAATATTAGGAGGAATAATATACCATTATATTCTATAGAGTTACATCTCATAACAACTAATCTTCTTTATCAACCTTTTTTTCCAATTACTATTTGGAGGTACACAGAAATTAAAAAGATGTTCTTAAGTTGCTTTAAATTCTACGTTCCATTCTTAAATCGTAATAAACATTTAATTATAAAATTAATGCAAAATTTGATCAGCTGGGATGAGTAAAAGCCAAGTTTACTTTGACCGCTACAATCGATATAATTAATTCATTAATTATATACTACGTGTAATTGGAACATATGGTAAAGATACTTGCAGTTAACCGATTCTTACACGCAACTTAATATAAAGTCACGCAGAAACTTGCCGGCATACATAATCCATTCTTACGCTTGAGGCCACCTTAAGTATAGTCTTGTATGTTGCAAACCGACCACATATTAGCAACTTGGGACACTACTTCAGATGATCTTGAAATAAGGGGCTCGAATCTCTTCGTCTGGCGTCAACTCGTGAAAAGTGAAAAATTTCACGAGTTGACGCCAGACGAAGAGATTCGAGCCCCTTATTTCAAGATCATCTGAAGTAGTGTCCCAAGTTGCTAATATGTGGTCGGTTTGCAAAGTGAAAAATTTCACGAGTTCACGCTTGAGGAAAAAATGCATGATCGAGCCCAAGGACAGACAATGGATACCGGCCTCTAAGTAGACAAAGTGCTAAAAATATAAAGGTACAACCTGATAGAATCTTAATGAAAAAGATATTGCAAAAATTATTACTAATTATGCACAATGATTGCACACAATAGTAATTTCAATTCCGAAGTGGGCAGCAACCGGACGAAAAATAAAAGAAGCAACAAGTAGAACGAGAGAGAGAGAGAGAGAAGACGAGAGATGATAGATTAAGGGGAAAAAGGGTAAAAGGAAGGAGGAAAAGGAAGAAAAGTGAAGGGACAAGACGGCAATGGGAGAAACATGGAGGACGGAAAGGAGGAGCAGATGCAAAAGGGACAGAGACAAGGGGAGGAGGGAGACAGGGCAGGAAAAGGGACGGGGAGAAATCGGGAGGAAAGCGGAGCAGCTCGCGCGTACAACGCACGCGAGCGCTCACTCACGCACGCACGCACGCACGCACGCATGCATGCATGCACGCACGCACGAGTTCGGGGGGAGACAAATGGCATGGCGCAGGGCGGCGAACGTGGGAGCGTCTCGACTTCGCGGCGGACAAATTCCGTCGCGCGAGAAAAGCGATCGGCCCCCAACGTCGGGCGGCGACGGTCCACTCACCTCCTGGTCCTTGCCTTTGTTCTTAAACACCATCATTCGGTTCTTATTCAGCATTGCCTCGGCCGCCATTTTTTCAATAACCAATTCCCGTGCTCGTGTGCTGGACGAATGTGTGCCGGTACCGCAGTCCTCCGCCGTCGCGCTATCGCGAGATGTACGATCCCGTTGTCACGATAAACTCCCGACTTCGCTCCTCGAGTGCCTCGTTCCGCTGCGATGGCCCTGCGTCTTACTTCGGTCTACACAGATAACTGCATTCCGTCCCGAAGGGTCGCTCGATGCGGTGTACGTAGATACGTCAATATGCAGTATCACGCGTAACACCCGATCGCGTAATAATTGCCGCCGTTGCGTTATGCAGCACCGCCTCGGCTCTCTCGTGCGCACCACCTCTCTTCACGGATATTCCCTCTTCTCTTTTTTTTTTTCCCACGATCGGGAGCGAATGCGACTGGCAAAGCAGGCCGTGCGGGAACAGAACAGACCACGGATGTTTCCTCGAGCGTTCCCAAAAGAGCGCGAAAGGAACGTTCGGCGAAATGGCACGAAACGAGGACGGCGTGTTCCGAAAACGCTACGCCCGTTGCTCTCCGGTTTACGGACCGGTCTACATGTGTTTCGCGGAACCATGGAGGAGGTAAACGACAGAGGGTCTGCTAGCGTCGCGCGCCCCGCGTGCTCTTGTTATTCGCTCGCACTTGACCGGAAATTCACGTCTTTTGAAATAATTTCTATTTGCAACCGTTCGTATCTCGTATAGAGACGTTTGAAGTGCAATTGAAAAGATTTGTCGGTCATTCGTTTATTTGTAATTAATTAATTACTTCTCTATCTGGGGCTCGATTCTTGAATTTATTCGAAGGGGAAACGTATACGAAAATTCTGCTCTTACAGAAAACTTGCAAGTTGATTGGCTATTCGCATGGCTTTAACCAATCGACTTTCATCTTTTCTGTCAGAGCAGAATGTTCGTATACGTTTCTTCTTCGAATGATTTCGAGAATCGGGCCCCTGTGATTGGTTAAAAACATATTAAGAGTATACTTAAGATGATCTTAAATATAAGAACGGACTATGAATACCGGCCTTAGTAACCTGTTGTACTGACGTAACAATTTAACAATTTCATCGATGTTAAAGCTGTTTTATGTTTTTAAGAAGAGTATTTAAATTTAATACGTGAAATTGCAATTATAGAATTAATATACATATGAGTATAATTGCACAGTTCTTTTGTGTAGGTGTAGGGGTTTAAATACCCTAAACAGTTACTCTCTAAAAGTCACTCGGTGCATTATCACTGAATTTATACTGTTTTCGGTAATAATCCACTAATTAACTTTTAGATGGTACGTACTCTAAAGACGGGGGCAACCGAGGAACAAAATTGTTGCAAATCTGCGTTACCCACTTGGCAAAATGTGGACATTGGCTACGTAGTTCGTGTCCACATTTTCCAATGTCCACAGAGGGCGTATCGCATTCGAGTATCACTAGAGACCCTCTAATTTATCGAAAGTTGCTGTATAGAATATTTTATTGGCTACGGAGTATCTAGCAGAGAGAAACCTGATGCCCGTTCTACACCTAACGACTTGTATTTTTCATTGGGAATAATGGATAAATCACTTTTGAATTGTCGATATAAAACGCAACGCGAGCATCGGAAGCATATTCTGCGGTAAAGAATTTATTAGTCCGCAACGAAACGATATTTTACAATCTTTGTCGTTCAATCTAATCCTCAAAATTAATTATGTGAGCGAAATTTCCAGCGATAAATAGTTGTTATTAATTGCGACAGTTAATCGGGATCATTTTCGATTACATTTACATAATGTAAGAACGTGCAATAAGTAACAATTTCTTTACTTCCTGCCCGTCCGTGTTGCGAAGAACGACAAAACAAGTTACAGGCGTTACAGCGCGATCGCTGAAGTTCGTACAAATTTCTCTCTTTTCCCGAAAATGTTTTACGCGAAATCGATAGATAATTAAAAGCGCGGTGCGTAAACGAGATGTAACCGCGACAAAATACCACGGTTTACATTCATAATTTAGATGAATTAGTCTCGTGAAATATCTAACGCGTTAATAAAGAGCTGTCGCCTCAACATGTAATTCGTTTCTCATTACAAGTTGTAGAAACTTAATAATTAATCGAGATACGTTACTTGTTACTGATGTATACAAATCATTAGCGTTTTATCCTTATATTCATCGCGATCGAGTCTTGGAAACTAATAACACAAAAGTAATAACATACACGGAGCGACTCTCGCCACTGCTTGCCGGCTCGACGTTCGGCGAGCGAATGATAGCGCGGCCGACCTTCGGGTACACAATGGCACGCAAACGTCATGCGTCATCGCGCCGAGAGAAAAACTACGAACGTTGAGAATTCGAGCGACGCAAAAACACAATAGATTGTTTTTGACCGACGTGTTTACGGCGCTACGTCATTTCTTGGAATCCGTGCTCGGTTTTCGGCAAAGGTGTTTACGGCGCCGTACGCAGGATCATTCACGCGACGACAGTCGAATTGAACGATTATGCCCGCGCCGCTTCGCATATACGTATTGTTCTTTCTTGATACGCGTTCGCGACAAGTGCGGGAAGAGACCGCGATCGCTCTCTGTGAATAATCAATGATCGATATCATCGTGCGATCGTTGAATTCCCGCGATTTGTGTCAGTGATTTGTGCGGGTGTCAGTGCGACGATGTAATCGAACAGTTCGTTATAGTGGCACTCGAACTCAGTGACATTCGGACTCTGTGACAATCGGACTCTGTGACAATCGGACACAAAGAGCCGAAAAAGTGGCATTTGGATACAGTGAAAGTGACATGTGACTTTACAAACGGAAGTATAAATTCGCGAGTGTGTTGGAGGACAGCTGAGACAACGACACCTGAGTGGAGGAGGAGGATTCGAGGCATTGGGCGCCATTGCAGAATCAATGTAGATTCAACTCCGCCGCTGCGCATCGTGTCGGTGAGTGAAAAGTTTTTTATTAATGTAACGGAATCTACATTTTTAGATCGTAGTTTGTAGATACATTTCGTAGATCCGTTACGTTTTCCAGCGTGCTATCGCGAGGGGTAAATCGCTGACCAAAATCGTGTATGTACACAATGCCCGGTGGGCATTACTTTATCTTATTATCTTAGGCCTTTTAGGGCCAGTTTCACAAACGTCGTTTAACCGCTAATCCATGATTAATTGATCCTCTGTCTCTTCCCAGTGAGAAATGTTTCGTCGATCGACGTCGAAATGATGTCGAATCGACGTCAATTCGACGTCGTTTCGACGTCGATCGACAAATCATTTCTCACTGGGTTCTTGGATAACAAGATAGAGAAAGATAGGAAGTCGACTGAACTCTGGTTAACAGTTAACCGACGTTTGTGAAACTGGACCTTAGGGTATCTCGTTTTATTTTTTTTTAGATTATTTATAATGCCCCAGCAAGACCAAATAACACGCACTAATGCACAAAAAATGTGTACCCAGTTATGTCGCAAATCTGTACACAGTGCCTTCAGGGTTTGCAATCCCTCGTGCTATCGTAATCATTCTTGGCCTTCGTCTTCGCTTGGTACTTTTGCAATCTGCCTCGGAGTACTTCCACACGATTCTACAGCTTCTCTAGCATTTCTATTTGGTAATAATTATGACGTGGTAATTCTGGTATCTCTATAACAATATGAATATAATAAATGAATAAGATATCACTAATCATCGGCGATATCACTTGTAAAAACGACCTTGCAAATCTACAAATTACAATCGAGTATTATTCTCGGATTAATCTGCCCTTTGAAAAATATTCAACCGCGATTAGCCGATTCGCTTATCAAGTGCTGAACTCGACTGGACGCTCGTGGCACGTACCCTCAACCTCGAAAAGTCGGTCAGGCTACGCTGATTGATTCGGGATAAAGCTATCTTTCTTGCGTGAATTACTGTAACCGAAACTTCTTTCTGCTGTGCATAAGCCAACAAATATCTTTCTGCTTATCGGTAGCCATAATATATTAATGATCGAAGATTCGTAGCTAAAATTAAATAACCAAAAATACGTTTTGATATATATTTTAATTAATTTAATTATGTATAATGTACAATACATGTATGAAAAGTTATACATATGTAAAAAAGATTTTAATGGGTATAGTTATTAGATATATATGTAGATAAATATTTGTTGATTTACGCGCAAGAGTTTTTATCAAAAATTTAATTTCTTCAAATAAAATAGTATTCTTAAAGAACGCAATCAATTTTAGGACTCAAAAGTGTAATGTCATTGGTATATTTAATTTCATTTGAGTTTTCTGTATAAAAAATTATAATATTACGTGTGTTTATTGAAAGATTTTTATCGTTGCAATTATCAAAAATTATATGTATGTAAAGCACCATTTTGATTTATTAATTATTCGATAAATACATATAAACTAATAGAAATATACGTATATCATATTGCGAGACAACGCTGCCCAGCGAGAAATGACTCGTCAATCGATGTTGAAATTGATGTCGAATATGACAGAGTCGATGTCAATTCGACGTCGTTTCGACGAATCATTTCTCACTGGGTGTTGTTCGATTGAGAGGAAAAGTGAGAAGAGATGAAACAGATAAAATTAAACAAAATTAAATAGAAATCACACACGAGAAGACGAACGAAGTGTAAACCAATTATTTCAGGTAATTAATTCGAATCTACTCGTAAAATGCTTCGTTATTTAATGAAAAATTTTACCTTTTCTACTACAACGAATAATAGTGAAATACATATTTTTAATTATTAAATCAACGACTCTTTATCCGAGTTTCTCTAAAATCTTATCACGAACGTTCGATATCGACGTATCGCATGTCGGATATACCCTTCGGGGAATCTCGCGTCTTTATCTTTCACCGACTCCCTCGTAAAAAACGCCCTTTCCGTCGTTTTCGATTCCACGTAGTATTGTTTCGAGATACAAGTTGTCCCAGTTGTTCCTCGTCATTTAAGAATCACCCATCTCGCGTGGAAACACAAACATCTTCCCTCTTCGTGCCCGCGCCGCTTTATTTTTTTAGACCAACCTCTTACGGCCGCCATCTGCACGCATGCCGACTTTATGTCGCTCGGCTGCCGAACACGAGTGACAATCCGCAACGTTCGACGGGTGTAAACCACCCTGCGGAACATCTCGCCCTCTTTCCGACATGATTTTAAACGACACTTTCTCCTAGGTAAGAACAAAAATTTTCATGTACCACCCTTTGAAATTTTTCTATATTTGGAGCCTTCGCAACATTTTGGAATATGTATAAAATAAGTCTATGCACATATTTTTTCGTTTTCTTGTCTCTGTCCGTACGGCAACATAACAAAGAGAATTGAAAATAATTAGAAAAATAACTTTTGCATTGTTTTCTTCACAAAAAGTAAAATTGCGATCAGATTATATAATTATTTTATACGCGATTATTATCTTTATGTATCTCCCATATACGTACGAGTTCTCTTCAAACTTCATCTTTTTACAAAAAATATTACAAAATTTATTCGCTTAAATATTTTTACTTCTTCTGATACACAGAGAGAATGTTCTCTTATACTCGTTTCTACCAACGCAGTTTAACTTTAATCTCGGTTCAACTTGCTTTGTATCTTTCTCTAGTTTTATGAATTGGAAAAGGACAAGAAGTAATTTAAGCTGAGATTAAAGTTAATCTGCATTCGTAAAAACGGGCATTAGAATTGACCGTGAAAATCGTGTAATCGTGGAACAATATGGCATTTTGAAGATCTGTATAAGAGTTGCTTGAAATTTTACCATACATTATACTAGTATATATACATTTATACTAGTAGAATGTATGGTAAAATTTCAAGCAACTCTTATACAGATCTTCAAAATGCCATATTGTTCCACGATTACACGTCTTCAGGGTCAATTTTAAGAGAAAATTCTCTCCGTGTACAAAGATTATACAAGAGGAAGAAAATCTGTATGAACCTATTTTATATACATATAATTCTACATTTTTATACTTGTTCTTATATGAACAATTCTTTTACCGGATTTCAATCGTCACACAAGTAAAATCTCATTAATTAGAGGATCATTAATGATGAAAATGTGTCGACCTGCTGCTTTAAAACCGTTCATCTTCTGAAAAGCCGCACAATCACCGAAATAACTGTATTAATGCCGCAGGACAAAAATATAGGGCGTTAGCTTCTGTCAAATAGGTCTGACGTATGGCACGAGAAAATGCTTCGGGGAAGAAGAAGAAGAAGAAGAAGCGGCGCTATTCTTGCGTCCAGGTGTGAGCTTGTAACGCCAATGTAAATATACAACACTTACGCCATTCCGACGGAGGCTCTTCGGAAACTCTTAACGTATCTCCCTCCCCCTGTCTCGCATTTCCCGCCTCACTTTTGTGTTTCGACTCATTTCTCGCCTACTTGGTACATGTTTTGATCTTTATAGGAACTCGAAACCACTCGCTTTATTAACGATCCTCTGGACGCGGTTCCCCGACGTCGTACGGGACGTCATCCCGAACGGGAACGCGGGAGCGACCGTCAATCGCTAATACCAATCCTTCAATATTATTTCGGGTCGGATCTCGCTGCTGCGCCACTCACAGAAACGGCCTTTCATCAGCCGTCGCCGTTCTACGAGGGAGGAGAAATAAACACCCGCTTGCGCGCCTCGCAAAAAAGCGGATAAGTTAGAAAATAAAATATGAAATGTGGCAGTTTTAGATCTCTCCTCTTTGCACTCGTGAAACATATCGATACGAACCGCGTAAAGAATCGCGATTGTAAAATTTGTAAATCGCTTTATAGTTTAAAAAAATTGTACAGTTTGAATAAACTAATAGAGGAAAGTTCCCTATTACCCGGTACAAAATGTTTCATGCCTGAGCGTGCATAAATATAAGATATTTGTACTTCAACATTCAACATTGCAACGTTTTAGCAACATTATTTTAACTTCCCGTGCTGTATGGGTTTTATATGAAAATTTTTTACATGGTATAACTGTGTGTAATTGTATGAAGTTATATATAATTATAAATAAGCAATTTTTTCTTCTTCGCAAATTGTTTATAGAAAAGCATGTATAAATCTATAAAATTATATAGACCTGTGTAGAATTGTACAAAATGACCTAGAAATATGCAATGTAAAAATATGTATGGGCATATTTCATGTATATTTTTATACAATTCTATATATTTATTCATGTTCGTGCATGGAAAATTGTTTACCGGGTATGTGATAAGAGTTATCTCATAATAGAGAACTCTCCTCTAGTATTATATAATTTGAATGAGCTGTATAGTATTACGTAGTTTGAAATCTGAAGTGTTAAATGCCACTGTAAAATGGCCAGTTGTATTCTTCTCAATTGTTAGCTCGAGGTATCGTTGTATCAAGAATTATACGTCACTGACAAGTTATTGACAACTGATTTCTGACTTTCGGTGCGAGCACGCATGTGCACTGCAGATACATCGGGACACACATTGATAGCGCACACACGACTTCTGTGCGGAACATTCATGTTTCCGAGCCGACTTGTTTATCATGATCGGAAGCTGAAAAGTCGGGTTGTTCGCCAGGAGTAGGAGGGAGTGGGAGGTGGCAGTTCGTTAGGCAATAATGTATCAAGCCGATCGCGATAGCGGACAGTAAGTTTGTTTATCTTCTCGGGTTAATCCTTTCGTGACCGAATTACTTTTTGTTTCAATGTCTCTTTTTACATAACGTCTTTTCAGTAATAAAATATGCCAAACCGTTGGATCTTTTTAAGAAGGATTTACATGTCCCATGTCATGAAAGGGTTAAATAGCACGTACACTGGCAAGGAGAAAGCGTACATTTCATTGATCTTCTACGTTCTTTTAATTGCTGCCTGGTTGCAAAGAGTCGTCAAGGTCTTAATTCGTCACTTAAAGCGGAATGAGAATGAAGTAATTAAAATAACAATAAAGGAAGAAAAGAACAGGCAACGACAGCCAACACAAGATGTCAGATGATTCGTCTATCGATGTCAAAAGATGTCGAATCGACATCGATCGACGAATCATTTTTCACTGGGTCTCTGCGTGGAAAATCTCTATTTTGACGTCAAAGTGAAAATGAATAAAAATAAAATCTTAAGATAGTTAATGACTGATTTGTCGATGTAAGCGAATTAAATTGTTCGTCATCGAATCATGGATCGAACGAGAACGCTGATTCGGACAGTTCTAGATTACAAAGCGACCCTTATTTCGTCCAGCCGCCACGAAATGCGCGCGCATTTCGAATTTAGCGAGAAAAAAAAAGAAATCAGACGAAAGTATCTGCGTGTTTCCTCCGATGGAGAATAAATAAACGATAAGCCGGTGGCGATAGCGTCAGCAGCGTTACGGACAACGCGTATTAATACGGCGTGCGCGCGTTAATGCGTATTCATCCGCGCAGACGAATTAATTACCAGATAAAATAACCCAATATCTCTGCAGGAGAATCGCCGCCTTGAAGCAACCAGCGGCCGATTTCGGCGAATCGCTTGGATTGCCTCGAGGCAATCGCCATTTTTCGGCTATCATCTCGCTCGATCCAGCGAAAAGTGACTCGTCGATCGATGTCGAAACGATGTCGACGTATCAATTTGGCGGTGCTGATGCCGATTCAACATCGTTTCGGCATCGATCGACGGGTTATTTCTCACTGGGGAGGAGATCCTCTACCCCCAATGATAAATGATTCGTAGATCGATGTCGAATTGACGTTGAAATTGACAATGTTGATGTCGATTCGAATTTCTCACTGGGCCTAGTAGCACAGTGCATCGACCAAACACTGGTTAAACATTGGCCCAATGTTTGATTGTATCGGACCATTGTTCAACCAATGCACTGCGCTACTAGGGTCCCCTATTCCAGCCGGAACAACCCGTGAATCTTCGCGGCATAATCCTCTATCACCGTTCGATGATAGAGGCATCCCGAATTCTATGAACGCGTGGGTGAACGGTTCGTAGCGCGTCAGGTGCGAGCCGCGACGGGGTGAGAAGGAGGGAGGGAGGGAGGACGCACCCTTTCTTAAGAAACTCGAAGGCTCACGGCGACCCGCCGTCGCTTTCCGATAGCGTAGGTCGGGCCGACAAGACGATGATGAACCGAGCTAAAATCTCGCGTTAAATCCCTGCCGCGCACGCCCGTGTGCGTGCGTATACGCGCCGCACGCACACGCAGGCCGTGCGCTTCGTGCGATCGTCCAGCGCGCGTAGCGAAGCGAGGGAGTCTCGGAGGCGGTTCTTCAGTTTCGGTTAAGCGTTCGTCGAAGAGAGTGATACGTCTCTCACTCCCGGTCTCCCGGTCTCCACCTACGCCGCTACGAGTGCCGGGCCCGGGTGTCACGCCAAGAGGTTTCGGCTTCCGGCTTAAAGGCTTCGCCACCCACCCACGGTGGTCGTCGTCGATCCCCGTACGGGGGAGAGCGCGTGCCCCGAGGAGAGACAGCTTCCGTTCTCCAGTATGACCCGCCGTCGCTTCGCGACCGATCTCGGCCGGAATCGCGCGGAGAAACCGGCGACGGAGGCCCGAGGGATCTCAGACCGCGAATCCTAGATCGGGAATGTAGGGAGAGAAGGAAAATGCGAAGCCCGTTCGGTATCCTATTCCGCGTCACGTGACGGTGCGTACGATGTGAGACGAGGTGGTGAGATAGAGGGAAGGTGACGAGAGAGGCGCCTGTGATTTATCATCGTCGCGACAATCGGCAATTCCTCGGACTTTTAGTAAGACCCCGGTTCATGGATATCAAGGTCCAATGATGACGTTTATAGGGGCGGCGACACCTCTCTCTCTCTCTCTCTCTCTCTCTTGCCAAAGTAATGCCGAGATGCAATTAGCGCGCCGATGGTAATTACCGTTTCGTAGCGAAGGCGAGAGAGTGCAAAGTGCGAACGAGTGCGAAGAATTAGTTTCTCCGAGGGTGGCTCCGACCACTCGTTGTTTTCTCGTACGGACGCACGGTACACGAACGAAGAAAATGCCCAGGAAAAGAGGCCTCTCCTCTCCCAAGGCGCGAACAGGTAAGATGCCCTTCAAATCTCGCACATGGTGATCCATTGCATTTACCGCATTGACTACGTTCTCTATAAAAATATTAAGGCCTGGTTTCACCAACGCCGCTTAACTTTAGGCTTAGTTTAATTCGTTCTTGGTCTCTTTTCAACTGTTACTTGAGAAAGAGACAACGAACGAATTAAGCTAAGCTCAAAGTTAGACAACGTTGGTGAAACCGGGCCTAAGACGTTAAAAATGTATCAATGTCGGAAGCAGGAATCGCGATGGATTATATTTGAAAAAAATGATGCAGTTTTCTTTTAAAAAGAAAAAATATTTTTATGAACAGTCTTCATTATTACATGTTTCTTTTATGTGCAAATGCTTATGAAGATCCGTTTGTTTTGACATACGCGCTTGCTTGCGCCGGAGAAATCCTGAAAGCTTCTTTTGAGAGAAATCTGAATACACACGGTAGCTTGTTCCGCGTCCCATTGGGCTAATAGTTTCGTGGAACGAAGAAGAGTCTAATATGTATCAAATTCAATTAGGCTTGTTGGGTAAAGTACCAAGAATCTACTATAATCAGTGAAAACGATATACATAATCACTTCACAAACTGTACTCGACGTTGGTTATAAGAAATCGTTAAGCCGATACGGATTGCATTAATATTTCGTGAAATGATGCTGCTTCGCATCAATTTAGATCGGTATTTTCTGTACGTTGCATTTCTATTTAAATCGCAAATTCTGCTCGCACAGCGCATTATTAATATTCAAATATTTTAGCTAACGTTTACGCTAGATAAGAAATAGAGTGACTACTTAGCGATATTCCAGGAATAAATAAAGTGATTTAATGACGAATCGTATCTGCGTACAGTGACCTAGAAGAAACGTTTTATGTAAATGTTTAACGTGTTTCGAGCCTCGTAAATATTTATATTCGAAAATTGTACGATCAGCAATTAATAGCATAGGACAATTATGTTGGTTTGCAATAAATTGTCTTACGTCATATTTATTGACGTACGTATTCTCCCGGTGAAAAATGTTTCATGCATGAGCATGCATAAACATATAGTGTCATATAAAATTATCCACGAAATGTGTCCATACATATTTTTACATTGTATATTTCTATGTAATTCTGTACAATTCTACACAGTTCTAAATAATTTTATAAGATTTACGCGTGCTCTTGTATGAAAAATTTTTAAAGGGGCTAAATTGCTCATTTATAATTATATGTAACTTTGTACAATTGTACACAATTATATATCATTATAAATAAGTAATATTGTTCACATTAAAAATTTTTTCATATAAAAGCGCTGCATGAATCTATAAAATTACACACAGAAATGTGTAATGTAAAAATATGTATGAACATATTTGATGTATATTTTTATATAATTCCATATATTATTTATTAATGCAAAACTTTTTTTACGCCAATTTAAATGTATTATGTTTTTAACATATACTTTGTGCTGTGCCATATAGTATTTTTTTATGTAAATGTAAACTCGTTATTATAAGAAGTTGGAAACATTTCTCGCTTGACTAAATTTATCTAAGTCTTCCTTCAACAAGTGGTCTTCTGGGAGGAAATTGGAAACCAACCCTGTTTTTGTCCTATACTGTTATCTGTAATATCGAGTATTTTTGACCCTTCGATAAGTCCGATTCGAACCACATTTATCGTTCACGATACCGGAGATAATATCGCACTAATCGATTACTTTTTAGGGAACTATGTGCATTATGCTTCGAAATAAATATTTTCCAAGTTTATTAACTTTGTATGAAACTATCGCAAACGCACGTATACAGTAAATATCGGTAGCGTGTAAAGAATGTAAGTGTAGCAAAACTTTAATCATTAATTAATTCGAGGCCTATTTCGCATTTCAACGGGATTAATTTTGACTAAATTGTTAAATAAACTCGATCACCCAGATAAGATCGCGTATAAATGTGGCAAATCAAAAGCTCTCGTGCTCCCCTCGATATCCTTCCGTTGGAAGTTGAAAGATAAATAAGGAATCTGTCGCTTTTCACACACTGATTGCAGATTCCATTCTGCGTATATTTACGTGTATCTATATATTGTTTTACGAGCATGATATTCACCGATCTCTTTCGGTCCCTTCACGAATCGCACGTTTAGACAGGATGAGGCGTCCGCATACATAATGCCTCTATTGTAGTCTGTACGCCTAGAGCCTGGATTTGCAAATAAACGCGTCTCACCGCACGTGTATTGAGATTTCCAAATTTACCATTAACCATAACAGTTAAAAGACAATATATAGGTTCAATTAGAGGATCGAATGTCATTACCATCTGTTGCAGTTTCTGCTGAGACAAAAGCACCAGTCAGCCTGGCTTACTGGCTATTGCTACAGCACAGTATCCTAACATAGGATTCGAATCAAACACATTTCGTATACAGTATGCCTGCCTGAATTTTAATAATTCGCAAATTTATAGTCGACCAAACTGGCGAGAGTTTATTAAAACGAGAAAAAAGGCTACAACGTTTCGACCAAGTTACAAGTCCTTATCCAGTAGAATACACTGTAAAGTGATCGATTAAGTAGATTAATAATATGCAAAAGTAGGAGACAGAAAAACTATCGAAGTATATAATATTTATAAGAAGTTCGAAATACCTTATGTTTTAAGAAACATCATGAATGATCAAATTTCGTCGGTAACTGCATTTCATCGGATAAATACATAGTTCAATTGAAAAAACTAACCATCGGAAATACTATTTAATTGGTTTAGCCGATGGAAATTTTTCTCAGTGTGCAATTTCAAAGAGCGGTTATTTTAGTAAAGTTCGCATCAATCCTGCAAATCGATTGTAGAATGAAACACCTCCTTTTGCACATAGAGTTTCTAGAGTACAACCGAAAACAACTTGTTGCGTTTCGCACAAATTTCTACAAATCTCCTTTTCGTTTTACAAACTTTAATTCCAAGCTTATTCACCAAGCGCTTACAATGGCAAGTCGCTGAATAGCAACTGATACTAGTTTTCCTTGAAAGTTTTTCCTCAAGGATAACCGAACCTCCCGTACTTATCGTAAGATTAAGATTACTAATTAAACAACAGTCAGTGAACAAATTACTCGAATCAAGTATTGAAAAACTAACGGAGTTTACGCGGATAATTTTGCGTTGTATCATAATTACTGGATGTAAGACGTAAACTAAAATAATTCTCCGCGAGCTTTACTACGCGCGATATACCCGTGCTATCGAGGGTCAGCGGAGCCAATAGTGGTTTCTATGCCGCGTGCACGATGGCAAAGAGCAGAGGTCAGTAATAATGTAGCGTAAATGCGAAAATCGCGATGTCTGCGGCGGCATAATTGATTGTGGTGGATGGTATCGAAGCGGGTATTAATCCTCGATAAATTGCAAACGCGTCCGCGCGGGATCCTCCGGGTGGCGACGGCCCTTCTCTCGCGATGGTCAAACGAGATGCCGTCGATCGTCAAGCGCGGCCGCGACGGAGGAGAGGATCCGTCTCTCCCGCCAAGGCTGGCGACAAATCGTATCCCCGTCGTTAAACCCGTTACGTTACGTCTTATTACGTTACACTTGGGCGATCGGGCGCGATCCGATCTCGGTGAACGCCGGGAAATCTCGTAATGGAGATACTTGGGCGCGGGCATCGGAATATACGGGGCGATAATAGGTACACATAGCGAGACTCGTTGTCGGGGAGCGCTGACCGCGGAGATAACGCTCTGACCCGTTACAAGCTCCGAGAGTACCAAATGAATGCCTTCACTGTCTCTATCTTCCTGCGCCCAATCCAAATATGCGGCCCTTTTTCCTCCCTGGCCGCCCTTTACAGGCCGTTTAGCGACGGCCCCGCGGATCTGCGATCTTCTCTCCTCTCGGGTTCCGCGGCCGCGCCGCCGCGCCGCGCGGCGAACGGCCGCGGCGTTCCTGTTCGCCACGTTTCCCCGCGCCGCGTAGGAACGCTGTAAATTTACATTGCAATTTTAAATCCTCATCTTCCTGCGCGTTTCACCTCGATGCGAGCCACTTGAAGCTCGGCGATCACGCAAATATCGAATTTTTACGCAAAACCGGATTTTCTGTTGAAACGGTCATTTCCTTACGTAAAGAGAGTGTAAAGGCATTAAATTCCGTTAATAACTGGCTTATTACACATTTTCTGCTCTTCGAGGGCAACGTGCAATGCAGTGTTTTCCCTACGTGGTTAATCCTTATTCAGTCGTCGCGCGGTGTCTTTAAAACAAATATTATCTCCAATGTAAAAGGTCTTTGCTTGTATTGTACATTTTTGTAAATCTAATTAAAAAAAACAGAAAATCTTTGAATTCTCGGCGTTAAAGATAAAAATTGTCTTTTTATATTAAGGCCTGTCAAGACTTCACGCGTCGACTCGACACGAAAAATGGCGCGACGACCGAAGGGTTAAATGAACAAACGAAAAGTAGACTTTGAAAGTCAAAGCGCGATTATTGCGCGAATCAACTGTATCAATACTTGAGTTAACATCTCATAGTAAAGTACAAATAAAATACAATTCGTACGTTTCGGCTCTGCTTCGAGTCATGCGCTATCGACGCTACGATGAATTACACAAACTTTAAATAATATTCAAATAATTTCACGTTCTCCGACGAGAGAATGCGAGTGCGCAGAGGCTGAATGTGCAAAGTTATTGAATTTTCCGGAGACAATTGAAAAATTCTGCTAATGTTCATGACGTAACAAATGTTAGTAATCAACCTGAAATTCAAGGGTTAATTGAGCTCAGCAACGAGAAATAAAACTTGCCAAACAAGGATCGGAGAACGCGAGATTGAAATAATGAAGAAAGTTAATTTTCAATCTTTAACAGATTTTCCACGAGCAAGGCGAAAGTAACAAAGCGTGCTACGTTAAACTTTAGTACACCAGTAAATAAATGCGAGCCAGGCTTCCGAAAACGCGGATCCGCCACTGAGGGAGAGTGCACGATGTAAAGAACAAGTGGTCTTATTGCAGATTTATCAGTGACGGCTTCCAATCAACGCGAGCCAGATATAATAGTGCAATTGCCCGCGAACTACGGCAGCCCCGAGATCAAAGCGTGCAGGGATCATCCGCATATCTGCGGAAAGGAGGCGGCCTGCCGCACCTTCGCGGACAACACGTCGAAGTGCGTGTGCCCTCACGACCTGTCGCCGCCAACGTCGGATTTAAGATGTCCGAATCGTCTAATTGGTAAAGATTCCACAAAAAGCTTTGCTACAGAAGACAAGCAATTTTGGCGAAAATTTTGCCATAAATACAATAATTGCTCGGACATTTTTCTCAGTGTAATTTACTCGGGAAACGCAATCGGAAAAATTAACCGTCGGAAACGCTATTTAATTTATTTATCCGATGGAAAAATGTTCTCAGTGCAATTATATATAACTTTGTACAATTGTACACAATTATACATAATTATAAATAGGCAATGTTTCACATAAAAATTTTGTTCATATAAAAGCATGTATGCTGAGTTTATCGGCATTGCAATTAGTATGACGTAATGTAAGGCTAATAATTTAATGTAACAGGATAATAATTTTTCAGTTCCTCTCACGCCTCGTCCTATACACAATATAATACCACCGAGTGGCAACAACGGCACGAATAGCACGAACGCGCTTCCGGAAGCAGAGCTATCTTTACCGGTATCTCTACTGTCTCTTTTCCAGTATCCTTACTGTTTGTCAGAATTTTTAAGTTTCACATAAGTGTTTGACATTTAGTGTAAGCGCCATTGTTCGCGAGCTACTTACAAGCATAATGAATTATTTGAAATCAACGCGACAGGTGGAGGGGTTGAAGTACAAGGTACCTGAAATCATAGGAGTAGCTGTAGCTTTCGCCGCGGTAATCGTGCTCGTACTGAGCGTCGTGTACGGCGTGAGAAGACGGAGTTACAACATCAAGTCGCAAAGAGGCCCTCTGGACGTAAGTCGCCGTTTCTTTCATCGCGAGACAATATTCATCTCGGGATGCGTAAAACGGAGCTATCCGCGGAAGATCTCGACGAAAGAGGCGATCGCGAACGGATTAATCATATTGGAAGACGGCCCGAGCGTAGATAGTGATAACACTAATCAGAGGTTTCTTCAGATCACGAGGGTTTCGGGCAAGCCCGATAAAGTGGAGTCGACGCGCGTTAGCGATCCTTACGGTTCCAAGTTACGTAACATTTTCAGCCATCGCTTTGCTGCCGAGACTGCGACGAAGGAGTACAAAGAAATCTTTAAAAAAAAAACGTGGGGCGACAACATGGGTGATTCAAGATCACGTAGTAAGGAAATCTTACTGACAATAAGTTACGTTCACCCCTTGTCAGCGTTGTCGACTTGTCAAATTCAAGATCCTTGCCACTTGATCTTGAATTTGAAGAAGTCAAGGGGAGAATGTGATTTATTGTTAATGAAATCCTCACTTTTTGATCGTGAATTACTCATGTTATCGCCCCATATTTTTTTTTTTTAATAAGATTTGTTTGTATTTCTTTGTCGCAGTCTCGACAGCAAAGCGATGACTGAAAATGTTACGTAACTTGGTGCCGTAACTTGGATCGCTGACACGCGTCAACTCCACTTTATCGGGCTTGCCCGAAACCCTCGTGATCTGAAGAAGAGGCAAGAAAAACAGGCTAGGACTAGACCAGGATTTGTATTGAACCTGGGACCTCCCGCTTGCCAGGCGAATGCTCGCCCAGCTGAGCTATTCAGGCCCACACTCAAAACTCTTCTCGCTTGTCTATTTCATTTCGCTGAACAAAGTAGGAATAATAAATGTGGAGATAATTGTAATTATAAGATTGTAACCCCAAGGAGATCCATAAAGATTATTATTATTAACTAATATATAACTAATCTATATATTTCCTTGAAAAGGACCACAATCCGGATGGTCGAAGCGTTGAAATAAATTGTTAAATTATGCCACCCAGCCAGTTTAAAGTCGTCGAATAATTTTTCTTGTTGTCGTTAATCAATTACATGGCGACAATAATATTCGTCTTGTTACAATAAATATGCTTCTTGGACTACAGTACTCTGCAGTCACACCTTTGCATTGCATTTTTGATTCTGTGTTCTTTTGGGAAAAATTTTGCCTTCCAAATATTTTATACAAATATTTTATACTGTACTTTTAAACTTTATGTTTTAACAAATTTGAACTATATTAAATTAATTATATCTCGTATTTATTTCTGTCATTTTATTTTTTGCGCCCTTTCGTTAATAGACGAGTAAATTCCGAGATTTTTTTTAAACAAATGCACATTTTTTATCATTCTCAATATTTATCATGCTCGTGATATCTTAACAGGGAACGCCAATAAATCTGAAGAAAGGACTATTATTAGCGCATAAGTACACGTCTAATCCTCAATATTTCACGTGCACGTCACCGGAGGTTCCGATAATACATCGCGAAAGCCTTATGTTTCTCCACGATATCGGCGAAGGATGTTTCGGGAAGGTTTACAAAGGTAAAGCAACACTTTGTATAAGTGAAAATAAAATGAATTGAGAAGCAATTCATCGAGAATTCTTTTCTACCAAGGTCAATTCAACAGGATCAGAAAGTGACAGTATTACAAAGTAAAGTTTTCATGTGTATTTAAAAAAAATTTACTCGTAGAGCCTCGACTTCACAGAGTCGCCAGATAATCCCAGTCAGAAATGACTAGAAAACCAACGTCGAAACGATATCGAATCGATGCATTTTGGTTTCATTTTCGACTTGGCTCGAAAATGGAACCAAAAATGCATCGATTCGATATCGTTTCGACGTCGGTTTTCCAGTCATTTCTGACTGGGGTAACGCTAGATCTTTCGAAAATCTTGCAGGCGAGCTGCACAACGGAGACACGCAGGAGATTGTCGCCATAAAAGTCCTAAAGGACACCGCCACGCCCGAAACCGAGCAGGACTTTATGCGCGAAGTGGACATCATGTCCACGTTCAGCCACGCGAACATTCTATCCCTGAAGGGCATGGTACTTCGAGACGCGACGAACAATCCGTGGATGGTGTTCGAGTACATGCCGCACGGTGACCTCGCCGAGGTGCTACGGGCGAACTCCTTGCAGTTCAAATCGTCGAAATCGGAACTTGAACCGTTAACGAAGGTATCGCAGCTGGATAATTAGTCGAAGAAACTTTGCGATAACATGAATGCGCGTATATATACAGTGAAGTTTCGCATTCAATTGCAAATTGTCATAGGAATCCTCGCATTATGATTCATTGTACGTGCGAGCTCGTGTGACATTAAAGTCTCTCCTCTCCGAAACGCGCCATCGCGCTTGTATTATCGCAAAGTAGTTCTAGCGAAACCTTTTATCGGTAGAAACAACTCACGGATGATGTGTCGTTGTTTATAGGACTCATTATACTGGATCTCGATTCAAATTGCGGCCGGCATGTCGTATCTGTCGGCGCAAAGATTCGTGCACCGTGACCTGGCGTGTCGAAACTGCCTGGTGGGCTCAGGCCTAACAGTGAAAATCGCTGACTTCGGCATGTCGCGAGATATTTACACTTGCGACTATTACAAGGTGAATACTGTTTTAAATAAGTTGACACGCGTAACACGTGCAGACTCGTGACAAAGTGTTGCGAAGAGATTTTGCACAGCTCATTCGTCGAAACGATGTCGAATCGACGTCGATCGACTGGTCATTTCTCGCTGGGCACTCTTCTCCGTTTTTTTTACATAGTTGTTATTATAAGCAGAAAATTACTAACAATAATAAATGAAACTGGACCGATGTAAATCGTCGAGAAGATGCCGTTCTCGGACCGGACTGGATCTTGGTAGCCTAATAATAAGATTTTTGCGTGAATTCTGTATATTTTTTCCGATTCAACAAACTGCGCGCCGATTATTTGTCGGTCTTAAAGAACAGTTTCTTGTTGGAGCAGTAAATTCTACTATTAAGTCGATTTTAACTTTGATGCCAATAAGCATCTTTTTAAAATCACAGTAAAGAATTTATCGCGGAAAACGTCACTCCAGCCAGAGTTTGAACCTGGACCTCCCTACAATTCGCGACGTGTGGATCTCTTCATCAATTCGACTACTGAGAAAATTATTATGTAACTTTGAAAGTCGTGTAGCTATTGTAAATAACATGACCTCTTCAGATTGGAGGATCACGTCTGTTGCCAGTACGATGGATGTCGCCGGAGAGCGTGGTGTACGGGAGATTCACCTTAGAGACCGACGTATGGAGCTTCGGTGTCGTTCTTTGGGAAGTTTACTCATTCGGAAAGCAGCCGTACTACGGATTTAGCAACGAGGAGGTCAGGCATACGCGAGCATTCGCTAAAATTTCTCTTTTATCAGTTTACCCGATGCGAAGGCCCGCATTTTATACAAGACCCTCTTTTCCCTAGCGGAAAAAATTTCTATAAATAACTACAACAAATTGACTTGAAATGGAAATTTGTAGAAAATTTTATATCTTCGTTGAAACATTTACTTTTGTTGTAAAAATATCTACGAAATAGTACCACAAATTACAATGTTCTCAAATCAAGAAATTATTGCGAGTAGTATTTCATGAAAATGTGCAATTTTGTAAAAATTAGTACGAAACTTTATTAGTTTAAAAAATTTGAGAAACAACAAAATCTTAAAGAATTAAAACATCTGCTTACTTGTAGAATATTACGAAAATTAACAAAAGTGTTGCAATTCTAGCATGTTTATGTTGATTTTTATAACACTTTTTAAATTTCCGTGGAATTTCTTAGATTCTGGCAGTTATATTTAATTTTTTTGTAGAATTTTGTAGAATGATTTCCGACAGGTTTATCAAAAAAAGCGCCTCTAAAAGTGGCTTTCTGATTGGCTACAAGCCACACGGAGAGAATTATCTCTTAAAATTTATCCTGAAAATCATGTAATCGTGGAACAACGTGGTATTTCGGAGAATTTGATGAGAGTTTTTTTGAAATTTTACCGTACATTTAACTAGTAAAATTTCAAACTCATAAAAGTCTTCGAAATCCCACGTTGTCCCACGATTTTTAGGATAAAGTGCACTTTTAGAGGCGCTTTTATCGCTAAAAGAGAAAGAATACGGGCCGTAGACTCGAACGTGTTTCTCGACGATTGTTCCAGGTGGTGAAGCTCATACTTCAAGGAACGATGCTCGTCCCGCCGGACGAGTGTCCGCCCATCGTTCGCGAGATAATGCACGATTGTTGGAAAATCGAGCCGCGGGAACGAATCAAGTTCCCCGACATTCTGGAGAGGCTGGAAAAGGCGCAAAACGAGCTGAGCCGGCAAGGGACGTTGCCCAGACCGCCGCAGGGCCCGGTGCTGCTACGCACCCCGGACGTTTTGGATCCGGACGGCTACTTGCTTCCGGCTCCTGCGATCCCACGCGAGTATCTGCAGGCTCTCCCAGTTCTGTCCGACTCATAAATTCGTGACAGCGAAGGGACCTTTGAAATTTAACTCTCGAAAAGTTGCTCCGCGCGCGATATGCGTGGAGGACACATCGAAAAAGTGCGAGGCCTATCGAACTCCGGTAAAGTGAAAATTAATGTAATATTCCGGTTGTGAAGTGCACGGTTTACTGTACCAAACGAAATTGAAATCGAGTTGAAAGCATAAAGCACGTAGTCCTCGTTATTATTATCTGGCGGAATAATTGCGTAGCAGAGAGTAATTTACGTCAAGTCTATGTATATAATAAATATAAATTGGATCCAATTTTTATGGCAAATGCCTCGACAAGTTTGAAAGTCGTCTTCTGCCTCTCAAATTTCAAACACTATATATTTTTGTAATTAGATATAATTAAAATTGTCTACCGAATTTTTCAGTCAATTTTTACTTGATTTTTCTTTTTGTTAAGAAGAAGATTGACTTTGAATTGATTGAAAAATTTTTCATAATACCTTAACTCATTCGAGACACAAAGTTTTTACAATAAAAAATTTAGTTCAATATCCATCTATGATGTTACACCCAGAAAAAAGTTTCTTTGAAATAAAACAAATTTTCTTTATATTTTGACCTTACTAGATTTTTATTTAATTTCAAAGAAATAATTTCTTTACGTTAACCAAAATTTTATCTGATTGAGACTGGAATCTCTAAGAGAATTCGTATCTATTTCTTCAAATCTAGCAAATGTTTTGGTAGCAGTAAATAAAAATTTAGTAGATTCAAAGGAACATATGGTTTTAACGTATCCCAGTTGGTTAATCTAAATAAATCTTTTCTCTAGGTGTACATTACAATTTAATTAAAATATTAAACTTAAGAATGTAAAATTGATTTTACATTCTATGAGCTAATTAATCGTTAAAAAAGCGAAAGCCCTAATCCATGGTACAAATAAATAATTATAGCACGAATTTTCATAACAATCACTGTTAAATATCGAGAAATATGAATTATACGTGTTACATAAGGAATGTACGAAAGCTTGAGGTATCAAAGTTTTCGAATGCACGGCCACGAGATAGTATTAATATCATTTTTGTGTTAGAGCTATTTTATTAGTGTTTCTAGAGCGTATCAATATATTAAAGATAAATAGAATAAGGCGACAATAAGAAGTAACAGTGAAACCGATGGTTTTCAATTTATAAACTATATTGCGCTTATATCGAGCACAATATATAATACATGCAAAATCTTTTGTTACTCGAGATTTTGTACATCGATATATCTACCCTGCAAGATCCATAAAGCCCCAATCTACAATGTGCTCTTTGCGTCTAGAAACATTCTATTTTGTAGTAAATAAATACGTTTAAAAAATTTGCGCAAGTGGACAAAATGTATACACCATACAATCGTACATTGTCGACAAAGTTTTTGAGCGTTTCGATTTGTGCCTATAAAATAGAATGTTTCTAGATGCAGAGAGCACATTGTAGATTAAGGCTCGAAGCGGGTGAATTAAGAAATGTAAATAGAAAAAGTATTCTCGATAGTTTACGCCCTAAGAGTTTATTCCCGGAGCATGATAATTATAAATAGCAATAGTGTTATAAATAATTTTTATTAAAACAAAAGCTTATGCCATATGACGATCGATGTCCTTCTTTCTCATCCTCGCTCGAGTCATAATTCGCAAAAGGATGTAGGTGCACGCTGTGCAACGAAACGCATTAGACATTTTTTTCAATATAAATACATATTTAAATACCCAGTGAGAAGTTATTTGTCGAAACGATGCCGAATCGACATCAATTTGACGTCGATGTCGATTGACGAGAGAGAAGCGTTCTTCTTCCTCTTCTCTCTTTATTAAAAAAGGAGAAGAGGAAGGTTTCGTATTGTTGCATCGAGTGGACCTTCACCGTGCGCAGTTAACGTGGAGATAGTCACACGATTTGTACCCCATTTCTCATAGCTGAACATACAAAAGTAGAACAGTCTACTGTTAACAAGAGAATCGACAGCGGTGAACGTAGAACAATTTATGACGCGTCGTAGCGGAATAGAATTAACAGTACAACGGTGGCACGGGAAAAGAGAAAATATACAGGAAACGATACGACATCGAGATCCGGAAAGGAGTTTAATATTTATTAATGAAATTGTCTTACTTTTCGCGCTAGAGAAAAAGATTCATGATCGAGCCCCTGTAATAATTCTACAAAAAAAATTAAATATAACTGCCAGAATCTAAGAAATTCTACGGAAATTTAATAAGTGTTGTAAAAATTGACATGAAAATGCTAGAGTTGGAACACTTTTGTTAATTTTTGTAATACTCTACAAGTAAGCAGATATTTTAATTCCTTAAGATTTTGTTGTTTCCCAAATTTTCTAAACTATAAGTAAAGTTTCGTACTAGTTTTTACAAAGATATAATCAACGAAGATATAAAAAGTTCTACAAATTTCTATTTCAAGTCAATTTGTAGTTATTTATAGAAATTTTTTGTTTTATAGAAAATTTTAGTTTGTAGTTATTTATAGAAATTTTTTTCCGCTAGGAAGTTTGTCGCTTTTCCTCTAGCGCGAACTCGTAGAAATTTTTATTGATAAATGCTGAGGCTCGATCGTGAATCCTTTCTCTAGTGTGAACTCGCGAAAAGTGAGAAAATTTCATTGAATTTAATATAAATATATCAATGAAATTGTTCATTCTTCACGAGTTCACGAGCTAGAGAAAAAGATTCGCGAGATCGAGTTCCTGAATTCGTTCCTGAAATCTGTCGCTTTTCACGAGTTGACGCTGGAGAAAAAGATTCACGATCGTAAGCCCCTGAGCGTAAAATCGGTTTCTGGTCGGTGCTGCCGCTTCGATTGTTGTTGCCGTGATACGACGGTCATTTGTTATTTTTCGAAGGTGATCCCGGGTGGGTGCACGTGACGAGAGCCGCACGGAAAAAAAGGGAACGTTCGAGGAGGACGTTCGAAACGATTCGCGCGCGCGCGGGGGGCCGTTTCGATCCGAGCCGATTCGCCAGCCGTCCTCCAGCCGATGAACGAGAGGATGTACGAGGACTGCGTGCTGCAGTCGATGCGATTCCCGCAGAAGCTCTGGCGGATCGTCAACGAGTGCAAGAGCGGGGCGATCTCGTGGGGCGAGGACGGCGGCACGATACTCCTCGACTACAAGAGATTCCAGGCGGAGTACCTGGACACGCGCCGGCCGATCTTCAAGACGAACAACATCACGAGCTTCATCCGGCAGCTCAACCTCTACGGCTTCCGCAAGGTCACGTACGGCCGCGACTCCTCGGGCTGCGACTCCTGCGACCCGCACGTGCACGAGTTCCTGCACAGCAGCTTCCGCGCCGACCGCGCGGACCTGCTGGCCAACGTCTGCCGGAAGGCCGGGAGGAGCCGGTGCGCGCAGCACGAGGCCGCGAGTGCCGCGGAACGGAATCCGCGAGCGGAGGAGACGGAGGAGATCGGGGAGAAGAAGGCGCGAGCGGAGGAGAGGCCGCGATCGGTGGCGAGCCGCGTGTCCCGCTTGAAACTGTGTCAGGTATATTTGTTAAGTTAAGTGCGAATTGTGTGCGAAGTACGCCATCACTTCTCGTACCTTGCGTCGCGCGAGGGAAAGAATTACGCGCGGCTTGTCGCTTACATCGATAAACACCGACTGGGATCTGTTGGAAAATTGGGTTATTCATTTATTGTTTGATGTATGAACATTGATATTAATCGAATGCTTTGTCTTCTCCCGAGATGTTTTGGCGATTCCTTAACGATAATATTAGTTTGATGATTTACAATAGCTGGCTCTGACCAAAACATTGGAGCAAATTGCTCGAGAATACCGACGGGAACACGAGGAAAGAAAATCGATTGTAACAAGGGATTGTCTGAAACGGATAAGAAACTCTCAAGAGGACACAGGTAATAAGTGTTGAAATCAACTTGATTACCATAGTGTTGTCAAAAGAATTTGCGTTGACTTTTCTCATTGATATAAAATAAATAATTGTTTTGTCAGGTTTTTACTATTAAAATTTCGAAATCCTTTATCGCAAATAATAACACTTAATATCGATAAAATTAGCGAAAGAACATCAATGTTGAATAAATTTGATAAAATTCAGGGAAGAGAAATCAACCCAGTGAGAAATGATTCGTCGAAACGATGTCGATTCGACGAGTCATTGCTCGGCGGACAATAAATGCACACAGAAGTCAACTTGAATTGACGATTACCTCTCTTTCGTCTTGCGATTAGTAAGAGAATTGTTGACTTTCAAGCTTTCGCGGCTGCTGCCTTCCTCAGTCGTAATGGCATTCCGGATGGTTGCCGCGTCCGTTTGCAGTGTGGTGCCGACGTTTAAATTTGCAGATTCATAAATGGTCGGAGTGCAAGAATAACTCGGATGCTGCGGAAGCGGTAAATGATACTTCGGATACCGCGTCTACAATAATATACCGCGGGAGGCGGATTTACAGGAGGAAGAAAGACACCGTGTACCATTGTACTCGGAATGGCTGGCGTTGGAAAGACATCGTTCGTTCGATACAGTATCAGAGTCTCCCAGTCCTGCACTGAAAAAAATTTCTGGTTGAATATGGACGAATCAGATAATTCCTTTAGGATTTACCAGAATTCCTTTAGGATTTACCAGAATTCCTTTAGGATTTACCAGAATTCATGTAATCCTACAGAAATTCTGGTAAATCCTAAAGGAATTCTGGTAAATCCTAAAGGAATTATCTGATTCGTCCATATTCAACCAGAAATTTTTTTCAGTGTGATGATGCAAACTGCAATGTATGCGAAACGTCGGTACCACACTGCAAACGGACGCGGCAACCATCCGGAAGCCGTTGCGACTGAAGAAGAGAATTATTATATATATATTTTTTGGAGTGACACACTGTCAATGCGTTCCATCTCACCGGAATGGCCTGGATATAATTCGAGTCTTTGCATATATTATTTTGCGCGTCAAAAGTATGACACGTGTATATAATGTGCTTTGAGATGCAAACTCAACAAATATTAATTGTTAGTGTCGAACACTCGAGCTAAACTTCGTCGAAGATGATTTTGGTAAACGATATCTACACGATTGCATGTTTGAAATACTTAAAAAAAAAGACATTTCACGTGTCGTAAAGATTAACGATTGCGTATATTTCAGTTCCTGTTTTGTACGAGATTGAATTCAGCAATGCTCCGAATCGGAAGCCTATCGTGGAACGGAGCGCAAGATACTCGGCGTTTGTTCCTATAAAGACCGACGCATCGTCCGAATGCAAAGCAATCCCGTCGCCTTGGCGTAATGCGTTGAATAAACGTGGTGTGCGCTTCAACGTTCAAAACTGAATTCGTTCAATTTAGCGTGAAAAACTACTGACTTTTCTCTCACACACGGTATTTATATTACTTACAATATGAAACTATTTTAAGTTAAATAAGTTACGTTGGGTTGTTTAATGTAACGACGATTAGTCACTATTGATAAGAAATAATATCTACATTGAAATCGTACGATCTCTCTAGAACATACAGTAAAAATGTTAAAACTTAAGTTTGAATAAAAGATATTATACGATGGAAAGTGAGGTCGATTTTTTAATTAAAAACATTTTATGAAGATTACGATATATTAATGTTTTAATAAATATTTTATTTGACAGAGAATTTATAAAAGTACATAAAATACATATATACATATATGTATATAATCAATCTTTACTTGTACTAGGTTCGGATTCTTTATTACTTCTTCGTTTAGCTTGATCCATTTTATGTCTGTCTAAGAAACTTCTAAATGACTCTTCCTCTTTCTTCTCTTCATCTTTATTTACCTCGAAATTGTTTTCCGTCCCGTCTTCGTCCTCGCTTGATTCGTTGCATGCGTGTTTCAGGTAGATTTCCGAAGTGTCGCGACCACTGTTAACTGTCGTGAGAAAAGGTACAGCTTCTCCCATTCCTTTTTTACTAGCCTCTTCCAATCGTTTCTTCTCTGCCCTTTTTTGCTTAGCTTCCCACTCTAGTCTGAGTTTTTCCCAATCTTTTTTGTAGCTCCTGTAAAAATAAAACATATCTCGAATAATAACAAACGTACACGACGTGGAGTAACGTGTAGCTTCGTGTATGAGCGGTTGACCCGCAATTTACGAGTTCTGGGTTCAGTCCCAGTCATTACTCCCAAGTACTTAATTTTTAGGATAACTGGGGAATTAAACGTTGAGTGAAGGAACGCGAAGGAGATGACAATGACAGTCTATGTATCTACGTCGACCTATATTTTAAATAAAATGTGGATATAAATGTGCCGTCATTAATGCAGCAATTTCTAAAACATTTATATGGCAATTCTTACGTTTCATACTCCAGCACGGCGGCTTCGACCAGCTTGAGAAACTCGTCGATTCCAGCACCCGTCACTGCGGAAACGCCGCAGCACTGCAAATGATTATAAAACTCGTCTAACACAAGCGCCATGGAGCCTGCAAGGTTGTTGATGTAACTGCCATGTTCCTTGTCGAGTGCTTCCTGGAACGCGTCCACGTTGCGCATCCACTCGATCGCGTAATCGTGCTTGACGACATCGATCTGAAATACATTAGCGGTGGGGCATCATTCGAGCGATTGCGTCTAAATTGATAAGATACGTCTAGTGTGTGGCTTGTGAAGAAAATTAGTTACCTTATTCATGGCCACGATGAAGGGTAATTTAGTTTTATAAAGTATGGAGCAAGCGTACAGCATGTTGGACATGAATGTAGCAGGGTGGACGCTTCTCACGGTGTCCATCACGTACACGATGACGGTCGGGAACTGAAACGCCAACGCTTGCGTTATAATCGTGCCGCTGGCGGACCACGTGAAGACCTCAATCTGCCCCGGCGTATCAATGACCACGTAATTGCACTCTTTACTGGCCTTGTCAATAAGCTTGGTAACCTGGTCGAACTTGGTGGTGAAGAGGTTCAGGCTCGTAACTATGCCACCGTTCGGGCCCAAGCGGTACTGTTTCACCACTTCTTTGTAATTTACGGTGTCTCTTATATCTAACAGAAAGTACAGCTCTGTTTAAGGCAAAGGCTACTGCAGTAATGATAATGTTTATTATAATTGTACCCATAGACACAGTAAATACAGACTGAGCGTCCCATTGAATAAGCTGAAGCTTGTGAAGAGAGAGAGAGAGACAGAGAAGATTTAAGAAGACTTTCTTTCTGTCTCACCATCGAGACCAAGGAGGCGCAGGCACGATTCTTTTCTCTTATGATCGTGTAAGGCAGAGAAAGAAAGTCTTCTTAAATCTTTTCTCTCTCTTCACGAGCTTCAGCTTATTCAATAGGACGGCTCAGTCTACATTTACTACGTCTATGATTGTACCGCACAGTAATTGATGCGATTTGTCATATCAACCGGGTTTACTTTTACCTATTTGGGTGGGGTACGGAACTTCTCTACAAGCAGGGTCTAAATTAATGACGTATGGCTTTCCTGAGCTGTACAGTTTAGAGACCAGCCTAGAAACGAACGATGTCTTTCCAACGCCAGCCATTCCGACTACAATGATACACGGTATCTTCCTTCCTCCTGCGGATCCGCCTGCCGTTGTAGACGCGGTATCCGAAGTATCATTTCCCGCTTCCGCAGCATCCGAGTTGCTCTTGCACTCCGCCATTTGTGAATCTGCAAATTTAAAATTTCACACAGGGCCCGGCGAGAGGGAGGCCCGGGTTCAAACCCTGGCTGAGGTATGATTTTCTGCAGTAGACTTTGAAATTAAAATTACTTGGACATCAACGTATCCTGTCTTGGCTCTTACTCCTTTGTTACCTTGCATTTAAATTTCACGTCACACTTTTGCCGCGAGCAAAAAACCGATCGCGGGCAAAGCGTCTTTTCTCGTTGGATTTGTAAAAGCTGGCCTGATCTCGAACGGCGTAAGAGTCAGAAGGCGATTTACATTGCGGACTAACAATGAGCGAATGGGACAGGAACCCAGATAGCTTTCATATCTAAAAGACATCTTTAAGACGACATTAAGTTGTCTTTTGGATATGCACGTCTAAAAGGGGTCTTAAAGATATCTTTATGACGTCTTTTAGACACGCATTGCTATCTAGGAAACTACCCCAATACCCAAACAATACGTTTGCCTAAAAGACGTCTTAAATTTATAACGAGTGGCATCAAAACACTAGAGCAATGTAGATATTTGTCGCAACCGCTTTTCTCCATGTACACTTTGTACTTTTGCAGAATTGACCGAGCGAAAAAACTCTTTTATCCCCACACTTGCAATTTACCTGTTTATTGAACTGGACACAATTGTTCCTTTGTGCACGCCTGCAATTTTACTCAACGCGCTTTGAACATGAGAATCGCCCCCGGAGCTCAGCGTCCGTCGAAGCAATGCTCTCGGACGAGATGGACGAGATCTTAACCCAACTTAACCTCGCCGAGACGCTCAGCTAACCTAACCTGAGTGCACTCTCCACCTATAGAACTTGCAGGTTTCTAGGCAGTGATCACCGGAAGCACGTGGAACCTGCGAAGGAAGACCTGTGTTTATAGATGTATTATGTAGCAATAGTGTATTAATAATTTGGTGAAGTAAAGTTTACAGGTAAGAGAAACAAGGTTTCTGGCATATTGTCGAGATAACGCGTCAATTTTTAATCGCTATCTTAAAGACCAAAGGACGAGGTTATAAACATCTTGATTCTGTTGCATCTCTCACTCGTGTTCAGTTATGTTTCAGGCCCGGTCTTTCTGGGTGAAAGAAAACGGACCGACGTACAGTTTCTACTTCTGACTAACGATCAACAGTTTATTGTAAACCGGGGGCTCGATTCTTGAATTCATTCGACAGAGAAATGTATGCGAAAATCTTGCTCTCGCAGAAAAGTGCGAGTCGATTGGCTATTCGCATGGTTTTTAACTAATCAACTCTCAACTTGTCTGTAAAAGCAGAATTCTCGCACACCTTTCGCCTTCGAATGAATTCACGAATCGAACCCAGGGCCTTGAGTATATTTATAAGTTACAAAAATTTTTCCAGATTCCCGAGTCGCGAAGGTTCACTCGTCGTCACGATGAAGGTGAAGAAGTTAAACCAGAAGCAGCTTGAGTTGCGAAAACGTAAAAAGTCAACAACCGCCAAGAGGAAGAAGAAAGAGCTGAGCAGGTTGACCACGGAAGAGTTCTTTGCGCAAGATTTCGAGGCGGATAGCGATGCGTGCGACAACGGTGAAGAAGATAAAAGCATAGGTACAAATTAAAACGTGCGACTTTCTCGTATTTTAAATTCAGTACCTCGTACCTTATTGTCTTTTTACGCAGATGACGAGGACAATGAGCGAGTGGACAGTGACAGTAGCGAGGGCGACTTGGATCCTGCGGAGCACAAAAAGTCGCTGGTGAAACTGAAAGACACCGATCCTGAGTTCTATAAATACCTGAAGGAGAATGACAAAAATCTTCTCGACTTTCGAGTGTCGGACGACGAAGACGATGACAATTTTTCGATAGACGGTTCTGACAATAAACATGTTCCCAATGAAAATTTGGAGGTATTGAATGTATTTCTTGTGCAAATGTAATTTAATTCTTTATTCCTTTTACAAGCAAGAAACGAGAGGTCTATTAGGTCCAAGCAAGATGTAGACAGCCAAGTAATTTTAATATATGATTTCTTTACAGTAAGAAAAATCTTGCATGCTAAATGTAGCATTTAAAATAATTCGTTTGTCAACATAAATACGTGAATTCGCTGACGACAATGATTCCATTTAAACGAAATCTGTGTCAAGGCCTGTGTCCGAGAAGAAACCGGCGCGCAGTACAGGTGGAAAACTGTATAAGAATTTACGTATTAAAATTATTTGGCTATCTGCATCTTGCTTGGACCTAACAGGCCTCTCGTTTCTTGTTTGGCTTATAATGGTCCTGATTTAACTCTATTCTTTTTACATTTATTTCCAAGTAATATTATTTGTAGGTTGCTAGCGATGACAGCGATTTTCAGCCGGAAGAAGAGGGCGATTCGAAAAGGAAGATCACTACAAAATTACTGAAGACTTGGCAGGAAGACATACAAACGGATAAGTGAGTTAACAGAACTTATTTCTTGTTGAATCAGTGGCAAGATGTACTGTACGTTGCGCTTAATTTGTAGGTCGATAGTCACTATTAAGTGTGCTGTAGAGGCCTTCCATGCGGCTTTGGATAGCGTTACGGAACTGGCTGATACCACCACGGAATATAAAGTAGAAGGAAGTGCAGGTGGGCTTCGATATTCATTACAATTAAGCTCTACTCACTACAGCTTAATTGATTCTATTAAAATTTTAGCCTTCAATGGTGTAATGCAGCTGTGCATAATGTATCTGCCTGACGCGTTTAAACGCTTTTTAAAACTGGACCCGGAATCGCAGGAGGCACACAAATCCAAGAGATTCGGAAAGATACGGTCAATTTTAAAATTATACTTGTCCGATCTTATCAAGGTATTTTCTATGAACTTTTTCAGTTATCTCGTTTAGCTTATAATTGCTGAATAATAAACATGTACCATATCGACGTGTTATTTTCACAGTTGTTACAAAGTGTAGCGTCGCCCAGTATTCTTACGGTGCTTCTGAAGCACTTGCGTCAAATGCTTCCTTACACCCGCTCATTCTCGTCTTTGTCTAAACCGCTGTTACGGATTTTAATCAAGTTCTGGTCAGCTGCAGAGGAGACTGTTCGAGTTACAGCATTCGTAAATATATTACATATGGCAACTAAGAAAGAGCCCGTGTTAGAGAAGCTGTTAAAGGTGAGATCCGCATGTTACGGTGGGAGGTACTTTGCGAGTTGTATTCAATCGCGTTTGTCTTACGAAGATTTTCTCCCTTTCAGACCATGTATGTGAAATATGTTCAGAATACTAAGTTCGTTTCACCGAACACGCTGCCAGGAATAAATTTTATGAAGCATTCTTTGGTTGAAATTTATTTGCTCGATCATGATGTCTCGTACAATCATGCCTTTTTGTATATCAGACAATTGGCGATTAATTTGAGAAACGCCGTAACGTTAAAGAAAAAGGTAATTTTTAGAAACGACGATTCTACGTTTTACAATGTGCACTTTATATTCCGCAATATTTTAACCTTCTTTTCTTTCTCTTTCAGGAAAACTTTCAGGCCGTATATAATTGGCAGTATGTAAATTCTTTGCGCTTTTGGACGGAATTAATAATTAAGTCGAAGGGTAAATCGATGTTGCGTTCGTTGTTATATCCACTAGTTCAGGTATCGATTACTTTAAATAAACGAGTAATAAAACAGTTTAGTAGAAAACTACAGAGAATTGTTTATTAACAGATTATTATTGGAACGATAAAAGTCATTCCAACGGCGCAATACTATCCATTGCGATTCCACTGTGTAGAAATGTTGATAACAATTTCTAAGGAGACGGGAACGTTTATACCTATTTTGCCATTTCTTCTCGAGGTACCAGTCTCAATTTTTAAACAACATTTGTATTCGTAGGATATACAAGTATCTCACGTTAAATCTCTCTTCTTAGATATTGGACTCTTACAATTTTGATAAAAAGCATAAAGCAGTCACAATGAAACCTATACCGCTCACTTGCATATTGAGGATGTCGAAATCGCAATTGGCAGAGAATGGTTTCAAGGATAGTATTATCGAAACTATTTATCAATTTATATTGGAAGATGCCGCGAGCGAGAGTCATAAGATATATTTCCCGGACGTGTGCATACCTTGTATAATACAGGTACTTGGAAAAAGAATTAAAACAGAGAAATTATCGAGGAATATTTTTTGCTAGATGTATGAGACAATTGATGCGTGCGTTTCGTTTTGCAGCTAAAGGCATTTCTGAAGAAGTGCCATGTGGCGGCTTACTGCAAGAAGATGAAAGAGCTTTTAAATATGATCGAGGAAAATAGAAAGTACATTGAAGCTGAGCGTAATAAAATGACGATTGATCTCAAGAACACGGCAGAGATCGCAAATTGGGAGAACAGAATAAAGACGGACGGCACAGAAATAGCCAAGTTCTATGCTTCCTGGATTAAGATTCACAAGTCCAAGATGCTTAAGCTTCTCACGAAGAACGATGAAAAAGTCAATGTACCGGTGAGGTTGCCGAGGAAACAGAAATTAGACGAGCGGGATGCAGAAGACAGCGAAGAAGAGAGCGAGCTTGAGTTTCGATTAAAGGGAACGGGATCCAAAGCGGAAGGCAAAATGCCACCAAGTAAGGCGAAAAAGCGCAAGAAAAGCAAGGGCAAGGAGACGAGCAATAATATCGAGGACGAAGATTTGCCAAGAGAAGACACAGATATTGTCCAGGACATAAATAGCGACGATTGGGACTAAAAAGATCATTCAAGAATTTATGAATTACGTAAAATGAGTAATACGTGTATTTTACTTTCCGAAACGTATTGCAATAAATCTTTACATTTGGTTCGAAAGAGGGACATAAGGTGGTGCCATTGACATGATCTTGGATAGTCATTTGAAGGGCACCTTCAGTTTTTTAAATGGAACCCCCTATTGTTTATTATACTATTTTATTTTACTAATTAATATGAACAACTTTTGTTTGAAACGTTTTTCCGTGTCTCATATTTTTCGAGATATTTGCATGGATCATCTAAAATGAAACGCTGTACATTTTGATAAATTATTAATTTGTTTGCTCGATAAAACATGTAGAAGATTATACTAACATTAGCAGATGTGTCAAATAATTTAAATGCCGGTAATATTACTATTTTATAATGCTATTAATAATATTTTAATAATTAAAAAAATAATGCGAGGAAAAGTCGCTAGTATAAAATAACTATAACGACAGAAATTAATAGTATGAAGAGGAAAGTGAGATGTATGAATAGTAAAATTAAGAAATTTTTATAAAAATCGGACACCAGCATTACACTGCCCAGTGAGAAATGATTCGTCGATCGACGTCGAAATGATGTCGAATCGACGTCAATTCGACGGTGTCGATGTCGATTCGACGTCGATCGACGATTCATTTCTCACTGGGTGGCGGCTCGCGGTCGCACTGGCGTTTGCGATTGGCTACACTCCAACTCGGTGGTCGGAGCGACCAATCGGAGTTGCAGCCGCGAGCTGTCAGAGTCGCTGCGCATGCGTCGGAAGATCCTGTGGCTATTTAATCTGAAAAAGAGTAAATTTGTACACACGCCTGATTACTACCTAAGTTTCTTACTTCCTTCTGCCTTCTAACTTATCGAACAAGGTCGCAGGTTCTCGACAAATGGTCTGATTGCAATGCGGATGTAATGCAAGTCTGAGCTTGGCACTAATTTGCGTTCCAGTCTGCCGAGTGCGAGGCATCGTTTTGCAGGTTAAGATTATAGAGTTATCGACCGCTTCGAGGTCTATGAAGTATAAAAGAGTAACTTCGCGAGGGCTGACGACCTGGTGCTTGACGCAATTCGCCTGAGACTCGCACTCGTGACATCGCGAGGAAAATATTCCCAGGATGACGTCCATCATAAAGCTTCACGCTATCTCCGGGGCGATGAATGAATCTCCACCCTGCTACATACTGCAAGTGGACGAGCTGAGGATACTGTTGGATTGCGGGTGGGATGAAAATTTCGACCAGGACTTCATAAAAGAATTGAAGAGGTATACGAAACGATTGCCACCGCGACTCCTCGCACACGCGCGTCTTTCACGCCTTGTATTTTTCAGACATGTGCATCAGATAGATGCGGTGTTGCTCTCGTATCCGGATCCATTGCATTTGGGTGCGCTGCCGTACCTGGTAGGCAAGTGTGGCATGATCTGTCCCATTTACGCCACCATACCTGTCTACAAAATGGGCCAAATGTTTATGTACGATATGTATCAGGTATACTCCTTTGTGCACAGAGGTATGGGAGAGCAAAGTCGCCCTTTATGAGATAATCTCCTAATATAAGACAGCGGAGTCTCTGCTAAAATAACAGGCATCGCCTGTTGCTCCCATCGTGAATTTATTGCCTTCGGATTGAAATCTATTTAGCGGCAAATAGATTGGTAAACCGTGTAATTGTTGCGAGAGAGGATTTTGCGATTGAATTCGGATGTTGGAAACCTGCTGTCTCATATTAGAAGCCCTGTCTCGTGGGGGATTTTCCTCTATTAAGCTTCAATCGATACCGGTATTTAATACATTGCATTGCTTTCAGTCCCGTCACAATATGGAGGACTTTGATCTGTTCACTCTAGACGACGTCGATGCGGCGTTTGACAAGATTGTCCAGCTGAAATACAACCAAAGCATATCGATGAAAGGGAAGGGCTACGGTGTTACGCTGACGCCTTTGCCGGCGGGACACATGATCGGCGGGACAATTTGGAAGATTGTGAAGATCGGGGAGGAGGATATAATATACGCCGTGGACTTTAATCACAAAAAGGAACGCCACTTGAACGGCTGTGAATTGGAGAGGTTGCAAAGGCCGTCGCTGCTGATAACAGACGCGTTCAATGCCACGTATCAGCAGGCCAGACGAAGAACGAGGGACGAGAAGTTGATGAGTAAATTTCCTTGTCAAAATTATAAATGAAAGTAGGACAAACGAGAGACGTGCATCTTCAACGTGTATTCCTCACTCGTCATTCTTGTGATTTAGCAAATATCTTGCAAACGTTGCGAGGCGGTGGCAACGTATTGGTCAGCGTAGATACGGCTGGCCGTGTACTGGAGCTGGCGCACATGCTGGACCAGCTGTGGCGCAACAAGGAGTCCGGATTGCTCGCCTATTCGTTGGCGCTCCTTAATAACGTGAGCTACAACGTTGTAGAATTCGCAAAGTCGCAGATCGAATGGATGAGCGACAAATTGATGAGAAGCTTCGAAGGTGCGCGCAACAATCCGTTTCAATTTAAACACTTGCAGCTCTGCCACAGTATGGCCGAATTGAATCAGGTCCCGAGTCCAAAGGTAAATGCAACAAATTCACATTTCTATGTAGTCTCGCATCCGGTGCCGTATGCAACGTACGCTCCAGCGCACAATTTCGAGGGGCGCCTAAGGTCCGGTTTCACCGACGTTGTTCAACTTCAAGCTCAGCTTAATTCGTCCTTCGTCTCTTTTCAACTGTTACTTTAGAAAGAGACAAACACGAGTTGGACTAAGATTAAAGTTAAGCGACGTTCAGTGAAACCGGGCCTAAGCATGTAACATCACCATCAGTGCCGTTACTAGGCGGTGTACATTAACGCTCCAGGGCGCAAAATTTGGAGGAGCATCTAAGCATGTTGTAACGTCACCGCTCGCGCCACTCGGCTCGAAGATTAATCTCGAAATTGTTATGTCCAGGTGGTTCTTGCAAGTACACCCGATATGGAGTGCGGATTTTCCCGAGAATTATTTCTCCAATGGTGCACCAATCCACAGAACAGTATTATATTAACGAGTAGGACATCCCCCGGCACGCTTGCCAGAGACTTGGTAGAGAAGGGAGGTAATCGAAACATTACGCTAGATGTGAGGAGACGAGTGAAACTCGAGGGTGTCGAGCTGGAGGAGTATCAGAAGAGAGAAAAGCTGAAGCAGGAACAGATGAAGCAGGAGCAGATGTAACACACGTGTAGCCGTCTATTATTCAGTTGGAATTTACGTTTTGCTAATTATGTGCGTTTTATCAGGGAAACTGCGGATGTGAGTTCCGAGTCGGAGGACGAGATAGAAGTCGGTAGTGGCAGGGGAAAGCACGATCTACTGGTGAAGCAAGAGACTAAGCCTGGCTTTTTTAAACAGAGTAAGAAGCAACATCCTATGTTCCCGTTTGTGGAGGAAAAGATTAAGCTAGACGAATATGGAGAGATCATAAAGTAAGGGATACTTACATCTCACCAAGTATATTTAGTCAACAAAAATATGTACAAGGGCTTAGTTCTAATGTAAAAAAATTGTACATGCAATCTTCTTCGAAAATCTACGTATCTCTGTAGAAAACGTTAAAACAAAATGTTAGAAATATGCTGAAACAATTATTTACATTTATTTGTATTTTAACAGCGATCAATAATTTGCAGCTTGCTCATTTTCATTTTTATGAATATACACTTTCTTACATATGTAAGTGAATTTTTGTTCTTTGCTATTTATTATTACAGACCGGAAGATTATAAAATAGCGGAGGCTGTACCCGAGGTAGAAGATAACAAGGAAAACATAGAACTGAAGCAGGAGGAAGCCAATTACCATCCAGAAGTAGCCATGGATATTCCGACGAAATGCGTACAAATTTCGCGTACGATGACCGTTAACGCGGCGGTGACGTACATAGATTTTGAGGGTAGATCCGACGGCGAGTCCCTCCAGAAAATCTTGGCGCAGCTAAGGCCGAGAAGAGTTGTCTTGGTCAGAGGTTCGCCTAAAGATACGGAGATACTAGCGCAGCAAGCGCAGAGCACCGGCGCGAGAGTATTTATCCCGGGCAGAGGGGAGACTCTAGACGCCACGACGGAAACTCATATTTATCAAGTAATTCTTGATATTATCGTATTTTAACACATTAGATAATATTAATTTATTAACATGATTTTTCTCTTTTGTTTTCCTTTCCATTGCTTAAAAACCGGTGTGTCTTTACGCGAAAGATATACGTTTTGTTGTAGGTACGTTTGACCGACGCTCTGGTGAGCGGATTGAATTTCTCGAAGGGTAAGGGCGAGTCCGAAGTGGCATGGATAGACGCGATGATCACGGCGCGCGATCAGGTTTGTCGGGACGCCATCGCCGATACCAAAGCCGAGAGCGCGATTGACGAAAGTGACAAGATACTGACTTTGGAACCGCTGCCAATGAACGAGGTGAGACGCAGATTGCAAGTTAAAACTATGTGAGAGGGATTCAATTTATTAACTGTACTTCCACAGGTTCCCGGCCATCAAACAACGTTCATAAATGAGTTAAAGCTGTCTGACTTTAAACAGATCTTGAACAGGAGTAACATTCCGTCGGAATTTAGCGGAGGAGTACTGTGGTGTTGCAATAATACCATCGCCGTTAGAAGGGTTCGTTTTATTTGTGACGTCAGTAAGGCCCGGTTTTACCAACGTCGCCTAGCTTTAAGCTCAGTTTAATTCGTTGTTTGTCTTTTTCCAACCGTTACTTTGGAAAGAGACAGACATGAATTAAACTAATTGTAAGATCAAAGTTAAGCCGACGTTGGTAAAACCGGGCCTGAGTCTCCTTCGCCTTTTACTTTAAATACTTAGCGGAGTGCAAAACGTAATTGTCGCGTTTGTTTTAGCACGAAGCTGGGAAGGTAATATTGGAAGGCTGCATTTCCGAGGATTACTACAAAGTACGGGAGCTGCTGTACGAACAGTATGCGATTGTATAGATTGTACAATGTACACAATGCAGATTAGGAGATTGCGTTTATAATATATTAGGTTGGCAAATAAGTCCGTTTTTTAAGAATGAAATAATACAATTTATTGATAAACAAAGTCAATTGTTTGATTTTAATCAATTAGATATTGGCCATTTTTAGCGATGACCTCTTGCCGTCTTTCCACTGACTTGATTACGCCGCGTTCGTAAAATGTCTGGCCCTTACCCTGTATATAATAATTATAAACCCGTATCAGACTACGAGTTGAGATTGGGATTAGATCGAAAGTTGACCAATCGGAGAGTAAAAGTCGCTACACTTGAGATTAGTGAACTTTACTCCCTGATTGGTCAAATTTCAGTTTAGGGCTCAATCGTGAATCTTTCCTCTAGTGCAAACTCGTGAAAAGTGAACAGTTTCATTGACGAATATTGAAATCTTCAATAAAATTGTTTTCACTTTTCACGAGTTCACACTAGACGAAAAGATTCATGATCGAGCCCCTAATCGCAATCTCAATCTGTAGTCGGATACGGGCTCGTTTTTCCCTACAGTTTTCTCATTATTTTTTGCACTTTGTAAGAAGAAAAATTTATATCCGGCACAGAGAGTGCAGAGAAAATAATTTTTTAATTCTCGAGTTGCGCAACAAATTCCGTCCCACATTTCCGCCCTAAAAGCATTTTGAGTTCAAAAAGAATTCGCTCTTGTGTCACCAATACCGAGCACTTTTTTTTCGAATATAAACATTTTTATACTCGGTAAGAATTAAATTCCTTTGCGTAGTTTATTTAAAATAGATTGCGCGCTTACGAATTTTGTATAATTGACGCCTTTCGGTGACTTTAAAAACTCACTATTCGATAGCCAATCAGGGAGAAACCTACGCGCATGTGAGGTACCGGAAGCGTGTTCATTTATGCAATTCGCTGATGCATGCATGCATGTGTGTGGCCGCATCGTCCGCATTTTCACGTTGTTGCGTGTCCCAATTATGTCAATCGTTAAGCAATAAATTGCGAGGGTCTATTTAAAGTATCGTAATAATTTTGACTTACGTCCGTAACCGAAAATCGGGGAAACACGGCGTCGAGTAGAGCGATCTGTCGGGACGTTCTTCATGGGTTAGGAGGTCACTGGCGAGAAATAGCGACACGCTGCCAGCGAAAATGTTGAGATACAACAGAACAGAGAGTAAGGGAACGTTCGCGATCGTAGCAACAGTTACAGGTATTACAGAATTAAGTAACATAAATTTTCTTTCAGAATGTTCGCTCCGGACATGATTTCGTGACGAGGGTTACGAAGCGCGTTGCGGAAAGAGTAATGACAATCGAGAAATTGATCTGAGCGTCGTAGGAAATTGGGACAATCGTATCGAACATGAGAAAATATCATCAAGCCGCGCTGGCGGTCACGGCGGTGGTGAGCCTCGTGTCCCTGCTGGTCTACAGGCACGAGTACAACAAGCTCAGGTACGTCCTGGAGGTTTTCAATTACTTCGGCAAGCCCGGGCCGAGAGGAGCGGACGCGAATTGCACCAACGTCGGCGCGGGCTTCGCCACGTTCAACGCCAGGTTCGACGAGCCGATTCCCTCTTGGCAACGCCTGGAGGACGATCTGTACATATACTCTGCGTACGGCATCAACGACAGGGAGATACGAGCGGTGGGGCTTGGGACCATAGGCAGCGTCTCCAACGTGCAGTGCCTCGTCTTCTTCGAGAGCGAGAGCAAGCCTATACTGGGCAGCTTCCGATTCCTCCCCATTGGCAACGCGGTCGTCTCGAGTCTAGGGGAGAACACGAGATACGGCGGCTATCACTTTGTCTGCACGTACACCAGCGACGAGACCCCCACCGGGATAACGTTTGTCACCAAGTCGAACAAGTACCTCAGCTACGCGCCCATCTTCCCCATCAAGATACAGCCGCGGAAACCGAGCCAGGACAGGATAGGAGTGTGCGTGACGCAATCGTCGATGAAGCCGACCCGGTCCATAGACATGATAGGCTTCGTCAGCTTCCACGCGTTGATCGGAATGGACAACTTCATCGTGTACGACTCCGGGATCTCGAGCGAATTTAATGGCAAGCTGAAGGAAATGGCGGGCGATCCGACTTCCTTCTGGAAGTTTACGTACACCGTCGTACCGTGGAACTTCCCCTTCACGGAGATCGACCAGAATGTCATAAGGGACATCGTCGAGGCGGATTGTTTGTATCGCACGTACAACAACGTCGCTTACGCCGTCGCTCTCTCGTGGAACGAGTACGTGAATTTGAAGTACCATCGCGCGACAATCGATCTGCTGGCGGAGCTGAAACGGACCAGACTGACGGCCGACCGCTACCGGCTGAACGCCGTGACTTTTTGCACGCAGCAGGCTGACAATAAACGACACGCCAATTCTACGCTGACGGTATTGAAGAAGACGAGGGCCATTGTGAACGACCCGGAAGATCGTTCTATTTATATACACAAGCCATACGTAACGCTGCAGAACTCCCGCATGTACGTCAGAGAGATAGGAAGGGATCTGATAGCTGTGAATCAATATAAGTACTGTAATCAATACAATTATAGAAAGAGCCAAGGGGTGGAGGATCTCACGATTTTGAGGTTTGCCCACGACGTACAAAACTCGTGGATCCTTAGGAAGTATCTTGGACAACGTGCTTGATGCGAATGTAAAGCGTTACGGAATTTCGCTGATGTTAAATTTGTTGATATTTGCACAGGCTTGGGCTCCACTCGCGTACCATTTCATTCGTACATATAGATATCTCATGATTACACGCCGTCTTTCATACTAGGTGCCTTAATCATCACGTCATGTTAGTTGGAGAACTAGTCATGACATGGTTAGCTATTTTTAATATTTTGTATACACCTCGAATTTTAAACTTAAGCTATAATAAAGCGTTCCTACTGGTTGCTTTCAACCGTTTCACGTCTTTGTATCTCTTGCGCCGTGACGGATAACGCAGTGTGGTATGTGCAACGTGCGCGAGAGCGGCAACTTTACTGCAAATACCGCAAGAAATTTCAACTTAACGTTTAACGATAAATTAAATTCAAGACTTTGCGTCTAGTTCTTAGACCTTCGTAGCAACTTGAAGTATTGTTGAACTTGAAATCAATCAGTGTAAGTAACCGTAACAAGTAGGTGATAAAAGAACTGAGAACGTAGTAAGAAAAAAAGGTGCTATATTCCTAATAAAAATACATAGAAATTTTATTTTCAAGCGAGTTAACATATATTTGGTGTCTAATCGTTACATTCAATCTAGGAATTTAGAAAAAGTTTACTTCAGTCGTTGCATTATAGCCGAATTTTGTAAACCAGCCTCCTCGATGGTCTTGTCTTCCGCGAGCTCCTTCGTCGGGTACACAGTTAACAAACTGAAATCTCTTAGGGCATACTGTGGTCTCATACTGACGTTTCTGTGTTAAGAAAAATCTGTCTCTCAAGTCTGATCGACAATGTGCTCTTTGCGTCTAGAAATATTCTCTTTTATAGTCAATAAACACGTTTAAAACATTTGTGTAAGTTGATAAATTGTACGTTATACGGGGTGTCTCATTTTAAATGATTCACGCAAATATCTCCAAAAGCATGAGATACGGAAAAACGTTTCAAACAAAAGTTGTTTGGTTCGAAGGGGGACAACTTTTGTCCGAAACATTTTTTAATTTGCCTAATACTTTTTGGGATGTTCAGGAGAAAATTTCAACGACTATATTGTACAATCGTATATTGTCGATAAATTTTTTAAGCGTTTTGGTTTACTTGTATAAGATAGAATGTTTCCAGACGCAAAGAGCACATTGTAGATCAGTCTTCGATCTCTCTTTGCGTCAGCTTACGCGGACAAACGCCACTGAAGGCACTTGGAAATCAAAGGATACGCTATTATATACCGCCTAAGATCAGCGACTGTATGCGACAGGTTGAACTGAGCCTTCACGATGCTGCCGTCCGCGAGACGGATCTGTAACGTTGTGGTCGGCTTCGAGGCGTCCAGCTCCAGTTCCTTTTTCGCTTGCGCTTCATTGGCAGCTTGATCAGCGGGATCCGTGGGGACCGTCATGCCAACAGTAGCCGGCGATGGACTGAAATACGTTAGGTTTCACGGAAATGAAATTTAGAACATGGACATCGGATTCGAGATCAATTGGGAAGTTCGGTGGAGAAACCGACTTAAAAGCTAAGCTAAAAGCTGTTACAATCGTATTCCACAGATCAATATTTATAAAGTGTGCACTTGGAATCTTATAGCTTGGTCAACAAATACGTTAATTTTCCAGTTCAAAACTTTGAAGGTAAAATTTTTAATATAAACAGTCAAGTCGCTCTTCCACCAAACTTCTCAAACGCAGGTTCGGTGGAAGAACGACTTAAAAGCTAAGCTAAAGCTCTTAACATTGTCTTCTACAGATAAATATTTATAAAATGTGCGCTTGGAATCTTGTACCTTGGTCCACGAATATGTACATAGTCCAGTTCAAAACTTTGAACGTAAAATTTTTGTATCAAGTCGACTCGAGTCGTTCTTCCACCAAATTTCTCAAACGCGGGATCAGCCCTTACGGAAAAAAAACACTCAAGTTTTGAGTGTTAATACTCGATTGTCCGAATTCGCTCCAAAATTTGGGTGTGATTATTTAAATCTGCGTGTTTACGCCCAAATTTGAGAGTAAATTCGGACAATCGAGTGTCAGCACTCAAAACTTGAGCGTCTTTTTTTCGTTTAAGGGAGACTCCTAAAGGCCTGTGGTCCACGATGCCTAGAACTTGGTCCAAGGTTGCATTCTGTTTCACGCATGGTTTATCCTTGTTATTCACTAAATGTTAACGCCCGGTCTACAATGAGTTGTTAGTCGTTAGTCAGAAGTCGGAACTATATGTCGGTCCTTTTTCTTCCACCCAGAAAGGAAAAGGATCAACATATAGTTGCGACTTCTGACCAACGACTGACGACTCATTGTAGACCGGGCCTAAAGAATAAATGATACATTATGCGCATCGTGCGTGAAATGGAACGCACTCGCAAGTTCTGGCATCGTGGACACCGGGCCCTAACAGGCAGAGGGACGAATATCTCCGACGTACCTTCCCAGCATGTGTCCCTTCCCCGAGAAGGCCTTCACCTTAGTCTTCGACGGGACGTAAGTCTCGTGACGGTGGTCCTCCATGTCGAGTCGCAACTCCGCGCCCTGCACCTGCTGGCGGATCTCCGCCGGGATCTCGCCCCGCTTAATGGCATCTAGAAAGTCTCTGTTCTCGGCCTCGTCGTACGATCGTATCTCACTGTCGTTTATTGTAAATCCATCCTTCCACAACTTGAGTACAATAAGACCGTTCGAGGACCGTTGATCCGCGTTTGCTCCCATCACTACTGTACCGTTTACACGACAGAATGTAATAAACGTTGCTTGTCAATTTCTCGCGAGCCAATAAACGACTAGATGAGTTACCTTCGCTATCCGAGCTAGTCTGACCTAATTTGTAACCCGTGCCCCTGAACGTGTTCGGCCTCTGCTGGCCGCCTATCTTCGGCGGGTCCGTGGCGATCGACTGCTCCTGGCACGACTTGAACATGTCGCTGATCAGGTCCTTCTTCTTCTTCCCCGGACCCAGAACCTGCTGGCCGCTGTGCTCGGAGCCGCCGGCGTAGAACGCCTGGCCCTCCTCCTCCTCGGAACTGCTGTCGCTGTTCCGTAGGTCGTTCAGCGTGCCGAACTTCGGCTTCGGCTTGGCGCCCCGCGACTCCGTCGAGTCGGACTTGGCCTGCTTGTTCGACATCGCGCCCGCGCTGTCCTCCGGTGCCTCCGCTTGCTGCACGTCCAGGCTGTCCGTCACCAGTTCGGCCGGCTCATCGTTCTCGTAAAAGCTCGTGAGGGCGACCTAGAAAACAAGAGACACCTACGTGTCAATGAGCGTACGACAAGACCGGGAATGTTCTCTCCGGCAATCCTGTTACGCGAGGAAGCCTTACGCGGCTCGACGAACTTTTAAATCCCGCCGGTTCGCCCTCGGATCTCGCGTGTGTCCGGGGGCTGACGCGCGGGAGGGCGAACGCGCGTCGAGGGCTGCGACGAGAGTGAAACGTCAGAGCGACCGGGAGGCCCGAAAGTCGCCGGGGAACGGACAGGCGTAACGACAAGGTTATCAAAGGCCCGGTGTACCGGGATCACTTGCGACGAGGCGGCCGTTCTGCGTCTTTTTTTGCGGCGGCGGCGGAGCGTGCAAAAGCGAAAGGGGCGAAACCTCCGGGTCTCCGGTGCGTTTCGGTAAAATGTGCTGTCTCACCTCGAGCTGCCAAGCGGATGACTCAAGGTAAAATAGCGCTCTCTCGGCGTCAACACCAGTTACGTCCGCGAATTGCGAGACCAACTCGTCGCGGTTCGCCATTCTCTGCGAATGTTAAAAAAACTCACGATATCTGTTCACCGTTTTCTCTCTTTCTCTCTCTCTCTCTTTCTCCCCTCTCTCTCTCTCTCTCTCTTTTCCTCTCCCCGTTGCGATCCCACGTTCGCGACGAATCCACCCCTGGCCCCTGGCGTGGCCGGATTCTCCAAGAGCTAACGCACCTCTACTGTAACACGTCAATTTTCTCCATCTGTCTGCCTGTCATTCCCCTCGGTTCTCCGGCCGCGGAATCGAACCGGATGTGCGAACGTTCCGGAGGAAGTCCGTTGGAACGAAGGAGCACGGGAGAGCGCTCGCGCGCGCGTTTTCGGAAACGCTCTATCGAATTTATTTATGTATAAAGGACCGTCTGCATTGGAAGTGAAGCAGGACGAAGTAAGGGAATCTTTAATTTCTACATTTAAATTACCTTTCAAGTTACTTAAATAACCTTTACTTGTCGGGGTAAAAGCTAAAGTATAAGCATATAATTTTTACAAATATTTATAGCACTTGATGATTAATTTCTTTAGTCCCAGTCTACAATAGGGATTTAA